AAGAGAGATCCCTGTAATCCCCCTCTGATTTGCCCTCAGTCTAAGGGCTGGAAGCTCCAGAAGCAGCCAACGCCTTGGGTCTACACTCAGGGACTGGGGCTGAGGACCAGGCTTCATGGTCACATACTTTTCATACTGACCTTCTAAGTTGTCTTTGGTGTTTATGGACTGAGAAGTCTGGAAACCACCACAGCTGCTGGTGATTCAGTCCTCTGAGGGCTGCTCTAGGTTGGCTGAGGTCTGTTTTGCCTGCGTGCCCATGCTGAACTGCGTTCCTCTCCCAGCCTGGCGTGATATATCTTTCCAATCAACCATCACGGTTGTCTCGGGCTGGAAATTTGTTTTACTCTGTCTTTTTGTGGGTTCTGTGCTTTAGAATGTGTTTAGAGCCATTTTTTTACAGGTATTTGGAGGGGTTTGGTGAAGAGCTCAAGCAAGTCACTGCTTTTACTTCACCATCTTGGCTCCCCATTGTGGTTCGTCAGATACCCATTCCCACCACCCCTTCCTTTGTGTTTGTATATTCTTCTCATGTACCCCAGTTATGAGGAATAGTTAGTGAGTTTTACCTCCTTCCTCCTTTCTACATACTAATGTAGTTCCTTTTATCCTCCCTTATCTTTCTCCTCATAAAATGCTCTGAACAGAACCAGTCTGTCCCCAGGACCTCTCTTTCCTATCAAACACCTTTTGAAGACATTAAGGTTCTGAAGAAACACTAATTTTTTCTCTCATTAGGATGTTAGCAGTATATCATTATGCGGTCTTTTCCTATTGTTCGGTTAACCTTTCTAGGTTTCTCTTGACTTTTTTTTTCTTAAGGCAGTTGGGGTCAAGTGACTTGCCCAGAGTCACACACCTAGTGAGTGTGAAATGTTTGGTCTGAGGGCGTATTTGAACTCAGGTCCTCCTGACTTTAGGGCCGGTGCTGTATCCACTGCACCACCTAGCTGCCCCTTCTCTTGACTCTTAATGTTTGTCCCAATATTTCTTGTTGTTCTGTGGGATCATTGATTTCTATTTGGTCTATTCTAGTTTTCAGGAAATTCATTTCTTGGGTAAGATATCTGAGCATTTTTTTCTTTTAAGTACCTTATTTCCTTCCTCAGGAGCTTTTATTTCATTATTTCTTTTCTTCTTAGTATGTAATCCTCATGGAAAAGTCCTTTTTTTTTCCCTTTTTAGTCACTTGATTGCAGTTACAGTTTACAACCTTGGTGTCATGCTCCCATTTCTTGCTTTCCTTTACTCCACATATCAGGCTGGGCACCAGAACTTGATATTTTTACTTCTTTATCATCTCTCACCTGTCATCTTTGTTCAGTTCACACAGCCACCATTTTAGTTCAGCTATTTCATCATCTTTTGCCTAGATTATTATAATAGCCTCCTTATTGGTCTCCCTACCTCAGGTCTCTCCTCTTTCCACTCTATCCTTCACATAACTGCCTAAGTAATGCTCTTTTGTTTTGGGGGGGGGTGTTTCAAAATCAGTAAAACTTTGTTCTGTTCCGTTCTTTCATCATTAACAGAAAATCTGAGAAAGCAAAAAGTGTTTTGGATTCATAAAGTTAAATGCAGCCTTGTCCCTCAGAGCAGATCATAGCCTGAAAATAGGTTGGGGAAAACATAGAGTATGGGGTTTTCCCTCTCCCCTTCATTTTACCCCCCATTCAGCCCATACCAGGCAGGTCTGATTATCCATTGACCGGTCATTCCTCCTTGGGCCTTGTATGACCTATTGGGGATGAGGAAACATACCCCAGGACAGAGAAAGGGATGTTCCTGAAGTCCAGGTTTGACCCTGTCACTCTATTTAATGAATGAATGAAAGAAGTATTTATTAAGAGTTTAATATGTACCATGCACTGTGATAAGCTCTCAGGATATAATTATAAAAACAAAGATAGTCCCTGTATTCAAGCAGATTATAACGACTGTGTGGGGGAATAGTGGCTAGGGAAGCAGGAATTATTTGGTCTCATAAATTAGAAGGATGGTGAATGAGGCTCTAGGGCAGTAGATTGACATACCCCATTTGGGAACAGTGGAATAGGGAATTTGATCATGGTCATATTTCCAGAATGGAAGGGTAGGGAATGAGAAGAAAGGGTAGTTTTCAGGAACAAAAAAGGGGGAGATGGCTAGGGAAGTGAGGGCTGGTGTCTGGGTCTTTGATGAGATCTAATCTGGGAATGGCAATCAGCAATTCAGACAGCAGCTGCCACAGAGCAGGATTTTCTGTAGGATGGAAAGACTGTTGTGGTTGTTCTGGAGAGTAAGGAGTGAGTTAGGGCATGGTAGCTGGAGCTTTTCTGAAGCAGTGGTCTAGAAATACCAGTCGCTAATGGTGGTAGACAAGGTAGTCAATAAGGAGACAGCTAGACCCTTTTGAATCTAGGATTAAATATCATTTATTTTTATCTTATCCTTTATTAATTTGTTTTTTCTATAAGTTTTATAATATATTACTAGTATAGTAGTGCATGCATGTAATTTATAAATAAATAAGTATGTACAATGGCATTATATGTTAAACTTTTTTTTTAAACTAATGACCAAACATTTTAAACATAGAACCAAACGTTTTAAACACATGACCAAAACTGTTTGGGCACCACTACCACAAAACTCAATACAGGGCCCTCTTTCTTCTTCGTGTTCTCTTTTAGTAATCTCACCAGTTCCCAGTGACTTCAGTTATTTATATTCATTTAGATGACTCCTAAGTCCAGCCCTGAGCTACAGTCTCACATCACCAGCTGCTATTAAACTCTTCTAACCAGATATTCCCATGGCATCTCAAACTCACCACGTACAAAAGAGAACTTACTATTCTTCCCTCCCTTCCCCATCCCTCTAACCTAGTTCCACTCCAGATTTCACTATTTCTCTTGAGGGTAACTCTTTTCTTCTGGACACTCAACTTCATAACTTTGGAGGTACTGTTGTTAACTCTTCCTCTCACTTCTCATATCCTATCAGTTGTAGAATATTGAATGAAGATTCTATTTTAACAGCATCTCTTTCATCTGTCCTTTTTTCTACATTTACAAGGCCACCACCGTAGTCCAGGCCTTTATCATCTTTCCTGGATTATTGCTATAGCTTTTTTATTGGACCTGCTTCTTTCTCCCACATCTGTGCTCCCCACACCCCCAAGAAAATCCCTTATCTATCTTTCACACAGTTGCCAAAATCTTCCTACTGCTTGTCTGACCATGTCATTCTTCTTTTTAAGAACTTTTTGTCTATAGGATAAAATTTAAGTTCCTTAGCTTAAAATTTAAAGCCCTTTTCAATCAGTCTTCAGCTTACCTTTCCCATTTGTGTTCTATCCACCTCTCACATACTATGCAAGCTTATCAAACTAGACTACTTACTGTTTCCCAAACTTGGTAATCCATTGCCTTCCTCAGTGTTTTTGTACAAGTACTGGAATGTACATGCCTGTAATACACTCTTTTCTTTCATCATTTGTCTTTTTCAAGGGTCACCTCCTTCTCCATGTTTTGTCAGTCCTTTCCTAAGTTATCCTCCAGTTGCTAGGAGAGGACTATTCAAGTTATTTATATAAGTTATGTATACTTACCCTGCTTGTATATACTTAGATGGAGGAATACAGGGGAACAGAAAGAAACTTCTGGGTCTGATGACTTTGCTTTGCTTTGTCTTTCCAACACTTTGCTTATAGTAGGCACTAATTAAAATGGATTGGATGGTTTTAATAGGACAGATTAGAGGGCGTATTTGGGAATCTCAGCCTTAAAACATCTGTCCAAAAGTCCTTAGAGCAATAATTCACAATCGTAGTTGAATAATAGCCTAATGCTTCAACAACAGTTTTCTTAAGCAGTGTAATGAAAGTCTCTATCTTTGTCACACTGTCTCTCTCTCTCTCTCATACACACACACACACACACACACACATATTTGTGTATATACAGGATAGGATAGGAAGTATACCTGCAATTCATTGCTGGAGAGAACTCCTGCCAGAGGAAATATCTACCAATTTAAGTCAGTAGTTCTTTCTCTACTATACCATGCTGCTTCTTATTTGTGTATGTTCTACTAGGTTTTTTATTTCATCCTCAGACCCAGTAAAAGAAATGACAAGAACCTGCATGTGTGGTTATGTTTGTGTTCATACATTCATGCATACATTTTAGCACAGGTAGAGAATATGAGGAAATCAGAGAGCTATTCTTTAATGGCATGATTCTGAAGAAGTTGAAAATCACTGCCTCAGATCCACGTAGGGCTATGGACCTATCAATTAAGTTTTCTGTGAAGTGGCTCAGCTACCACTACTCCAGACTCTTGGTGAGATATAGAACTGGTTTGAGGTTCTAAGGCAGTTTTGGGGGTCTTTGTCATCTTCCCCAAACAGTAATAAATCTCTCTTTTTTTCTATTATCTCCTGAACTTAAGGGCTGTATTCCACAGAGTTAAAAGACTCTTATACAGGCTTAACGACAAAGATTTCAAAAGGCCTTTAGAGTTTAGAATAAAGAAAGAAGATTGGGAGTTACCCTTCTTCCTTTCCTTTTTAAACAGAACTTGGTGACTATGTTGGATCACTCTTGGATGTGAAAGGATCTTAATAGTTGAATCAGAGTCTAGTTATATGATTATGGGCCCTGAGTCATCACATTCTGACTGCTTCTCTTGCTGGCTTTGAGGATGGAGTAGAACACTACGTTGGTTCTCTGTCTTGTTATTTTGGTGATGTGTTCACTTTACAAAATTGTAGTGCCTAGATTCTTGACACTTGTATTTATTAACTGACACTCCTTTATTTTTCTGTACTTGTGTATATGTATTTTATCAGCTATCCTAATCAACATTCTGATTCTTCATTAGTAGTTGGCCTTTGCTTAATTATTAGTGATAATTGATAATTCAATGAAGAGGGTTAGGGGAAAAAAAACCAATCCTGACACTTGAATTTTGTGATTTGCAATATATTTATACTTTTTTTCCTTTTCAAATTACAGATCAACTTGAGCGAGTCTTCTTACGACTTGGTCATGCTGAAACAGATGAGCAGTTACAGAATATTATCTCTAAATTCCTTCCTCCTGTTTTGCTCAAACTGTCTAGCACACAGGAAGGAGTACGCAAAAAAGTAAGTGTGCTATACCTGTTGGTAGAACAGTATGTCTGATTTGAGTACTTGATTACATTGATATGTATTGTGAGATTATTTTTCAGATTCTATAATTATCTATTCTCTGTGGTTTTAATGACTTGTCTAACCTTCGCTTATCTAGCAGGCATTTATTAAGTATGTACTGCAAGTTTAATTGCTGCTTTCTGGAATACCTGTGCTCTGGTAGGCATGCTAGCACTTTTACATATAAAGTAGTTCATTCTGGGAATGATTCACCCTGTCTAAAATTGTATCCCTGTTTCTTCAAAAAACCAAAACAAGCATGCCTGGGAGGAAACAGTTCTAGTCCCTTGCAATCCGTGATAAATAGTGAGTGAGTTAAGCTGAACTCTTTATATAACCTGGACATTAGCCAGGGTTTAAAATTTGAGATCATTTTGAATAACCATTTTGACACTAAGTGATGGATATATTTTACCTGCAAAGCAGGATGTTGCCTTACAATTTTTAATGTATGTGAAGTTATATTAAGGAATTATAAACTCTTGAATTAAGGCCAAATCATTTAATTTTTAAAAATCTTTTTAATGTATATACATATATATATTTTACTTTTCAAGGATTAATGCTTTACAGTATACAGAAAGAAGTTCAGAAGTGATCAAATCCAACCCATACTTGAAGAGACCTTTTTTCTCTAATGTCATTGACAAAGATCATTGTTTTACTTTAATATTCTAGTGATAGGAAATCACCATTTGTGAAGATAGCTAGTTCCAATTTTGGATAGCCCGGATGGTTCGGAAGTTTTGCCTTTATATTGAGCCAAAATTTCTGTCTAGTCACTTTGTCAGAAAAGAAATTATAGTCTGCCAGGACCTGTCTGGAGTGCTGTGCTACCCCTCAGTTGTTACTGTTTCCTTTTCTGAGATTTTCAAAGACTATCATTGGTCTTTGGTTCTAGAATAGGTTCTAGAATTTTGGCAGGAAATTGAAGTCAAGAATGTTGGCATGTGGTATGAAAGAAACCTCTCTTCTCTTGGCTTTTTTGAAAATTAGGACATTTCCCTCACTTTAGCTGTGTATCACATTTCTTAATTTTCATGATTTTTCAGAATTTCATTGGTTTAGAAATTTCATCTGCTCTTTCAGTGGCCTGGAGTTCAATCCATTGGACTATGATGACTTGCATCCTTAGGGTGCCTAGGTGCTCTTTTATAATCCTTTTACTTACCTTGGATTTATTCTTTCTTAATTTCTATTTTCTTAGGGTAGCTAGGAGAAACAGTGGATAGAGCACCAGGCTAGAATCAGGAAGGAAGACTTTAGTTCACATCTAGGTAGCCTCAGACATTTACTAGCTGTGTGACCCTGCGCAAGTCATTTAATCTCTGACTGGCTCAGTTTCCTCATCTATAAAATGAGGATTATTATAGCACCTTCCTATTAGGGTTGTTGTAAGGATCCAGTGAGATAATTATAAAGCACTTAGCACAGTGCCTAGCATGTAGTAAGCACTATCTAAATGTTAGCTGCTATTTTAGTATTAATGTTATTATTATTATTAACATTAACCATTTCTGTCATTTTTTCCCATTCTGGAGATTAGATTCATTTTGACAAACTTTTTAAAGCATTTACTCTGTGCAAGACACTGTTGTAGGTGCTGGGGATACAAAGGTCACTGACCGTTATTGAGTTTATCTGCTATTTGAGATGATGTTGCGTGTGCACACCAAAATAGATAAAAGATAATTTGAGGAGGGAAATAGTCTGAACAAAAGGCTTAACATCAGAGGTGGCAAATGAGCCTTAAGGAAGCTAGTAGTCTACTACACGATGGGTCCTTTGACTAAAGCAACCATTGAAACAAAGCAGCATGCCACTGAAGAATTTTGCTGGAGGAGTGGCATAAATGGTATTATCAAAGAAATGTGTGACTGGAGAAGGAGCTGGGCCCATCATGTAAGGCAAGCAAGTGATAACTACTGGGTAGTTTGTTTGTTCCGTTGGTATCCATGTAATATCAAGAGATTTAGAGGTGGCCCCCAGCACTTCTGGTGTCTCTTATGGGTACCTTGGGAAGTACTAAACACATAAGTGAAATAATAGAGCTTTTGCAGGATAACGTTCCCAGTTCCTTCAACTGAATCATCTTTTGAGCCCCTTTTGCTTTCCTGGTCTCTCTGGTCTTGACCTGCTTCAGATTATCAGTGTCTTTGCAAAGAGACATTCCAGGCAGCCTATCCTAGAATGCAGCATAATAGATTTAGTCTGAGTAAGGCAGAGTACAGTGAGATGATTGCTTCTGTAGTTCTGGATGCTATATCTCTCTCTGAATCCTGAGGACTGAAAAGTTTGAAAAATAAATCCAACCATAACAGGTATGTACAGTTCAACAAAACAAGTTCCTGTCTTGGCCATGCCAAAAATGTATGTCTCATTCAGAATTTTAAGTCTATCACTTCTAGCAGGAGAATCAATGGAACAGACTAGACAAGGGAGAATCAGAAATAATGGAACTCAACATTCTAGTGTTTTATAAGCTGGGAAACATAAATTATGTAGGAAAGTACTTCTTGTTCAGTAAAAACTGCTGGGAAAACTGGTGAGTAGTCTGGCAGAAATCAGCCTTAGACCAGCATCTTAACACCATGTTCTGTAGTATAGGCAGCCCTGGATTCTGTATATAAGAAGGTCTGAAGTCAATTTTTGCTTACTCTGTGAGGGTGCAAATTGCTCTCTCTGCAACTTAGTTTCCTAATTCATAGAATTGGTGATAATAACACTTGTAGAACTTATCACACAGTTTTTGTGAGAAATTTGTTTTTGAAATTGTAAATTGTTATGTAAATTTAGGCTATTATTCAGTCTTCTAGATCAAAGTTGTTAAACTGCATGGAAGCTAGCTAGGTTTCCTTGTGAGTATTAGTTTGTAAATTAAGCTGCTGATTGAATTAACATTTTACCTATAAATTTGTATAAGAATATTCTTTCTGAATCTAGTCCCATTCTCTTCTGTTTCTAGTTGTACTCTCCGAAACTTGACAACATAGTTTGTTTCTAAGCGCAAGGATGGTGACAGAATACAGTTCTTTAGGTCTAAGTTTGTTTTTTGCTGTGATCCAGAAAAGAAACCATACAGAAAGGAAAGAAAAATGTTAACACCTATAAGATTCATTCCTAGTTTGAATACCGTTAACACTTAACAATTACTATTTTTTAGAACCCCTCACTCACTTAATTGAATTGTTGGCTGATGTACAAACCAAGTGAATTTTTTTATACTAAATTTATTGATGGTATAATAATTGAGAATTTGAGAAATTCACGCTTCTTTACTCAGGTCATGGAGCTATTGGTCCACCTGAATAAACGTATAAAGAGCCGTCCAAAAATACAGCTTCCAGTAGAGACTTTATTGGTTCAGTACCAGGATCCTGCTGCTGTTTCCTTCGTCACAGTGAGTGGTTTTCTTAGAGTGTTCATTGGCTAATAATGTTTTCTTAATGTATTACAAAACCTGAAATTTGAGCTTAGATTTTTTTTTTAGTTAAATTTACAAGATACTTTCTGTTTAAGCAATATTCCAATTTTTGGTGAATACTTCCCCAGAGAGATGTCCTTAAAGAAAACTCTGAGAGTAGGTCATTGAGGGGCATTATACAGTAGAAAAGGGAATTTGAATAAAATAGGTTGTAAGATTCAGGAGAATTATGTATTAGTCGTAAAATAAGTTACTTTTTCCTTAGCAAAAGAAAAAAATATAGAAAGAGTCTTAGAGTATAAGTATACTTAAAATAGGTGACTGAAAATAATGAAAAATAAGAATGTAGAGGGAAAAACAAGAAAGGCACAGTTTGGTTTAAAATTTTTTTGTGTATCTTCCATCCTTATCCTTTTGGTATTTTAGGGGATTTTTGAAAAACCATCTCTTACTTAAATAAGGGTACAGTAGTACGCAAAGGCTTACATATCAAGAAAGGTTCTTGATAATGAGATTCGGATTACACTGTTTTCTGAAGAAAAGTTAATGATTTTCGGAGTGTATATGTAAACAGTTTTTTATACCATGTAATAATACCAGGCCTTGCTACAGATGTAGTACCTTTTTTATCCAGGAAGGTCCACGTATTAAGTGGACCTTCTTCTGTGTGTTTTTAGTCAGATAAGCTGCTCACCTTTCACCACATTACAGATATATTTTGCTCTAAGTACTAGATGTTGCCAAAAAAATTGTGTCAGTTTAATTTTAATAAATCAGATGGTCATCTTTGACTCTTCCCTTTTTTTCACTTGCCACATCTAGTGTTTCACAAAGTCCTACTGACTCCATGTCTGGAATATCTCATCTATTTCTTTCCATTACCACCATTCTAGTTCAGACTATCATTAACTCCGAGGTGTTTCTAGTTTTTCCTTTCACTAATCCACCCAACATACTCTGTCAAGTTCTCATACAGAAACATCTTAAGTGCTTCCCTAATGCCCACCATAGAGAGCTCTAGTCTATCTTTTGAGCCTCATTTCTCATTTACATACTATATATTTCAGCCAAACTGTAGCACTTTATTTCCCCAAATAAATCTTGGTATTCTTGGTTTTTGTTTAGGTGCATCTATAACTTAAGGTATTTTTAAGGTAGGCTTGTTCTATTTCAGAAACAAAAACAAAAATGTCAGCTTTATATTGCAGAAATTGAATACTATATGGTTAGGTCTAGTAACAAGAGTTCTTTAATAATATTAGAGGTATATATGAAAAATTGTTTGACCTGGAAGAGTTAATGTAGTTAACAAAGATCTAATGAATCTGCCTCAGTTTCGCTATGCAAACAAGCTGTGCATGAACAGGCTGTTCCAAAAGTCATAGTCTAGTTTAAAGCTGAATTAACTTAAAACTGTATGTAAGAAATTTATAGTGTATGAGAGCTTCAGATTGTAACTTTTCCTCAAACCCAGCAGTCCAAGTATCTATAATTCAGTAATGGATTGGTGTTTTTTTTCTTCAAATTTAATATTTGACTTAAAATCTAGAAGCAAAAATATTTGGGAAAGGGAAGATGTGTTGCTAGCAGTTTCCAACAAATTTTAAACTTAGATTTACTGCCAAAATTATAAACCATGTGTTTTGATTTAAGTCAGATTTCATTTATTTTGGTACTTGGTTTTCTCCTTTCCTTTACAGAATTTTACTATAATTTATGTTAAGATGGGCTATCCTCGCTTACCAGTGGAAAAACAATGCGAACTTGCCCCTACTCTTCTTACTGCAATGGAAGGGAAGCCTCAGCCTCAGCAGGATAGGTATGGTTTTTCTTGATTACTTCTGTTTGTAATAAGGTCCTACATTGATTTAAAATAAGAACTATGTACATTTGGTTTCAGTTAGGAAAATTTGAAACCCCTACCTCTTTTAGCTGTCTCACAACTATATATTAGGTAATCTTTGTTACCTCTTAATGTTGTTTACTAAAATTCTGAATGCCAACATAATCAGAGGTGTGCAAATTCAGCATTCTAGTGATGTGTGTATTTTGAAGCCTTTAATTTCTATAACTACTAAAATTGTATGTGTGGCATGGCGTTTCATCAAACTATTAGTCACTTATAAAACAGCTTGTTTCTGAACATGGTGCTTTTGAAGGATAAAATACTGGGAACATTTTAAATGAGGGGAATTAGTTCACTTTTCATTGTCACTTATAGATCTAAGTTAGATGAATGACTTGAAATTTATGAAGGGAAAATGAAGTTAAATAGTGCTTTCAACAGATCTTTCAGTAGACAGCTGACTCACATGAGTCTATCTGAAATTTAAAAAAAAAAATCCTCCGAGGATGACTTTTAAAAGTCATTAAAAAATGATTATATAACCCTGAATGCCCTCTTCAGATTATTTTATTTTTAATTTTTATAATATTTTTAACTGCCTAATACCAAGTGTAGATGAATATATTATTTTGCCTGAACACTGCCTGTCTTTATGAGAAGAATTGTTACTGCCATGATGGCCATTTGTTAATATTCTATTTGTTGCTTCGTATCTTACGTACTAAGTATACAAAGTTATTTCTTAAATAATTGCAGTAAACAATTATCTTTTCAGCTTAATGCATCTTCTAATACCAACCCTTTTTCACATGAAATACCCTGTTGAACCGTCTAAAGCAGCTTCTCCGTTTAATCTTGCTGAGAAACCAAAGACTGTACAGCTGCTTTTGGACTTCATGCTAGATGTCCTTCTGATGCCTTATGGGTAAGTTAAAAACTCCCACCTCATTTTTTATTGTTTCTTCTTTAAATATCATTTTAAAGGAATATCAAACTATTCCTGCCATATGGATTACTACTACATCTAGATAGCTCTGACTTCTCACTTTTGAGTTCCATTTCTTATATCTGTAACTCCAACTCTGCTGTTGCCTCAAACTCATCCTGTCCAAAAAAGAACTCATCGTATTGTTTGGACCATTTCTGTTTCATGATTCGTTATTTCTGCTGATATCATTGCTCTTTCTGTTATCTAGGGTTTACAAACTTATGAGCATCTTTGGTTTCTCTGTTTAGTCCCGTATCTAGTCCATTCCCATGCTGTAATGCTTTTTTTTAACCATCTCTTCCTACACTATAATATTCTTACATTACCTACATAGAGTTTGATAGGAAAGTACTTTAAAAACTACAAAGGACTATATAAATTCCAGTTGTTAAGAGATTTGGAAATATCAATATATTCACAACTATTTAATAATAATATTATTATTATAACTTCATATTATAATAATATCATGTACTTTATGTATATAGGTGACATCAAATTATGTGCTACCCTGAAAAATACATTAAACAGCTTCTCTATTTTGTGAGATATTTCTCCAGTGATGTCATAATGTCATTTGGACTCAATAGGTATAAAATATTTAATGTATACCAAAGAAAGATAAAGACTCAAGACTTCCAGCTCAGATCTAGAGGTCATGTTAAACCAATGAATGAAGTTGATACTTAAAAGTACATTGCTCTAGGGGGCAGCTAGGTGGCGCAGTGGATACAGCACCAGCCCTGGAGTCAGGAGGACCTGAGTTCAAAGCTGGCCTCAGACACATAACACTTAACTAGTTGTGTGATGCTGGTCAAGTCACTTAACCCCATTGCCTAACATAAGCCCTCCCCCCAAAAAAAAGGAAGGAAAAAAAAGTACATTGCTCTTCTGCAGGCAAAATATATCAAGCATAAAGCTATCAAAGAGAAGACTGTGGTTGTTTGTCTAGTCACATACTTCATCCTGAAATCAAACTCAGTGGGAAGAACATGCTTAAATCAACATCTAATGTAGTTTTAACATGCACTTTCAGAATGATAAAATGGACTATAAGAGATCTGGGAAAGTAAATGTTGATGATAGGTACACATCATTGGATTTATGGAATGTAACTGAAAGATTACCTCAAGATAGAACCTGTGAAACAGCCAAGTTTCAAGAGTAGAATCAAAAATTTCTCTAAGAACAACAGCCCCATGGCCTCAGCCAACAATTTGTTCACAAAAAAAGTACAGAACAAATGATTGAATCATGTAATTTGGCTAGAGAAAGAGAGGGGTTTATGATGGCAATTCAAGACCAGGTTATTATCATCAGAAATTACTGATGAATTGTCTCTAAGGAGCCTTGACCTTAGTGATCAGTGTAGATTATGCAAAGGAACAGCAGAATTTGTAATACATCACTGCAGGCTGAAAACTGGCACCTATGAGATACCTTACAGGGTATCCGCTAGACTTATATATCGAAAGCTCACTCTCTTCCATGAACTAACAGATGTCAGATCTCTATACTATAATTCAACAAATAAGCTATAGTGGAACCAGACAGAATGGTTGGCCACATTTGCTTGAATATGTTGACCCATAAAAATTTTGCTCAACTTATATATATATATTTTTTAAATCAGCAGAAACCACCTTTCTCCGCCACCCCCACCCTATCATCAATTGAGAATGAAAGGAAAAAACCCTGTAACAAACATGAATAAGTCAAGCTATTGGCCACATCCAAAAGAAAAAATATATGTGTGTGTGTGTCTGTATATATTCATATATACATACACATATCTATATTCACATATACATATCTTATTCTGTACTCTTGAGTCTTTCACCTCTCTAGTCAGAGGTAGTAGCATGTTTCTTTATTAGTTCTCTGGAATATGGTTCATCATTAAAGTGATCAGAGTTCCTAAGCCTTTCAGAGTTGTTTGTCTTTATAGTATTATTGTCATTGTAAAACTTGTTCTTTTCATTCTGCTCACTCCTCTCTGTATCAGGTCATATAACTCTTACCAGGTTTCTTTGAAACAATCTATGCCATCATTTCTTTTAGCACAACAGTGTTCTGTTACATTTAAATACAATGACTTGTTCAGCCATTCCCCAATTGATGGGTGCCTCCTTGGTTTCTTATTCTTAGCCATCAAGAAAATTGCTACTGTAACTATTTTTGTACGTCCTTAGAATTTGTTTTACTTAGGACTGATCTCTCCCTTAGGCTACTCTTCCTCTAATTCACCATTTTCTCTTCTCATTTCCTTATTGAGTGAAATACATTTCTATACCCACATATTTGTGGATATGTTCTTTCCTCCATTAATCAGTTCAGATGAGAGTAAGGTTCACGTGTCAGCTGCTACCTCCACTTCTTCCTCCTTATTTGTATAGACTTCTACTTGTGCAATCCAATGATGAGTGAATTTTCTCTTTCTTTCCCTACCTTTCCCCTAGTTTATTCCTCTTCCCCTCTCTTTCCATTCTTTTGAGATGATCAAGCCATACTCCCAGACCTTCTGCCTCTAATTATTAATTCTGACTCCTACTATGACTCTTGATAATATTAGGGTTGAGAGGGAATATATCATATATTATCTTATACTAAAATATAAGAAATTTATCCTTGTTTAATCACTCATTGTTCATTCATGTTTAACCTTTTTATATTTCTCTTAATTCCTGAATTCAAACTTCAGAGCTTCTACACAGCTAAATTCTTTTCATCAGAAATGTTTGGAAGTCCACTGTTTTATTAGAGGTCCATTTTTTCCTCTGTAGAATACTCCGTTTTTCTGGGTAAGTCGTTGTTGGATATAGGCCTATATCCTTTGTCTTCTGAAATATCATATTACAAGCTTTCTGTTCCTTTGTAGAAGTGGAATATTTTCTTTCTAACTGCATGCAGTATTTTTTTCTTTGATCTGTAAGCTCTGAATTTTCATTATAATTTTCCAGTGAGATTTCATTTTGAGATTTCTTTTAGGAGGTGGCCAGTAGATTTTTTTTCTCTTCTGCTTTGGTATCTGGTTCTCTGGATAATGTTCTTTTAAGATTTCTTGAAATATGCTATTCAAACTCTCTTTTTGTTCATGGAGTTCAAGTAGTCAAATGATTTTTTTTCTCTTCAATCTGTTGTCCAAGTCAGTTGCTTTTGCTGTGAGATATCTTAACAATTTCTGTCTTTTTTTCCATCTTCTGATTTTGTTTTTAATGTTTTTTGTTGTCTCATGGAATCATTGTCTTCTGTCCATTTGAATTTTCAGGGAGTTTGTTTCTTTAGCAAGGTTTTGTGTCTTTTGTGCCAAGATGTTAATTCTCTTTCCAGTTCTTTCTTATATAACTCTCTAATTTCTTTACCAATTTTTTTCTTTTAGCACTCTCATTTATAAAAACATTTTAAACTCTTGTTTCATGTATTCCAGAAATTCTAATTGAATTTTTGACCATGGTATATTTTACTTTGAGTCTTTCCTTGTAGATGTTTTCAAGTCATTGTCTTCTGGGTTTGTGGCTTTTATATCCCTGCAGACATTATAGATTTTTATGTTGGGATTGCTTTTTTTTAGGCTTCCATCCTACTTTATGATTTTGAACTTTATGTTAGCTCCATGCTCTACATACTTCTAGAGGGAAGGTTTAGATTTTACCTGGGCTGATCCTCTTGCTGTTTTCTTAGGATATTAGGTGTTGTGTTATTCTAGGCTCCTAAAGACAGCTCAGGCTGGGGACCTGCAAGCTTTCAGTGTTCCCAAAGTAGCCTAATCCAGAGCAAAGTCTAATCACTGTCCTCCTTGTTCTGATCTCTGCAAGTTCCTGACCTGAGTTTGAGTGTGAACAGGTAGACTGCTGCTGCTAGTTCAAAGTGACAGAACTATAGGCTTCCTTTTGGTCTGGTATTTCTGCCCTGGTTATTCCTCTGTTAGTGTCAGACTGGAATAAGAGCTGTAACTGAGATTCTGTTGATCTCCTGGGGTCTGAGCCACATCGCTGCTGCTTGTATCTAAATTTGCAGCTAGCTCAGTACATAGCCCATCCTAGACTGCCACCTCTCGTTGCAAGTTTTCTAATTCTGCTGTGTATCTGTGACCTGGAGCTAAGGTCAAAGCTGCTAGTTGCCTCCTATTCCTGTACTTTGAACAACATGGTGGTGCACTGATAGGAGTCTGGGACATCATTGTGCCCTTGGATTTCCTGATCGGGATTTGATCTGGAGTATCTTCTGGTTCTTTTTGGAGGAGTTTTCTTTATAAGAAGTGGGAGCATTATATACATCTTCCTGCCATTCCTCCATATACAATTGAATACAATACACATCAGAATATGAGTGCCTCAGGGAAGGTACAGTAAGTACATATTGGGTATCAGAGAAGGGATTATACCACCTCAGCGAGGGAAATTGGAAAGCCTTCATGTAGGAGAAGTATCTTTTCCTGAAAGCCTCAAAGTGTTAAGTTCAGGCAGCACTTATTAAACATCTACAGTTTATAAGGCTTGAAAAGTTGAAAAGACAAAAACCAGTTAGTCTCTGTCTTTAAGGAATTTATATTCTACTGGTATAGAAATATGGATAGGATTTGATAGAGAATGGTTTGAAGAAGAGTATAAACAATGGTACAAGGTTGGGAAAATGAGAGGACCATACTCAGGAACATAAAATAGTCCAGTTTGACATAGGATACATGATGCCAGAATCATTTGGATTGAAATGTAATTGCTACCTTAATGGCAGGGAACATTTTTTTCTCAAGTGTGGTAGTGTTGTTCAGGCCGGGCATGGAAAAAGGCTTTTTTCCACTGAATTATTAGTTGAGATTATTAGTAGAGATAAGTCATAAACAGGATGAAAAAGCATTGTTATAATAGACTACTTATTGGGCTATGGAAATAATTTTGTCATTCAGATTTTTCTTTTTGATGAAACTTTGATTTCTTACGTATATTTTATTTCACTGAAGTTAAGGAAAAACGTAACTTAACAGAAGGGTTAAAATTCCATTTCCTTTATAGATATGTGTTGAATGAATCCCAGAGTAGGCAGAATGTGCCCTCTGCACAGGGCTCCTCTTCCAGTGGTGCTGGAGGCTCCGGGATTCCACAGCCACCTCCAGGAATGAGCTTTTATGCAGCAAAGCGAGTCATTGGAGACAGTCCGTGGACTCCTGAACAGTTAGAGCAGGTATTGTGTAGCTCTGCATTGGGCTTTCTAACTTTATATACGTATATATCTATAGCCCTGGTCTTCTCTAATGTATGCATTTTTTTCTCTCCTTTTAGTCTTAATCGAGACTTTTCCCCTGTAAAACCTTTCAGCAGTATAAACTGGATATAGTCTTAGGCCAGTAAAATTTGTTATGTACAGACCTTTTTCATGATCATTTATAATTCCTATCATTTTATAAAACATGTAATAGGGTATTTTCTTTGGTAAACTTTTTAGGAACTTTAGAGTGGTCATTAAGAATTTTTTCTGCATCTAAACAGGGTTCAAGTTGTTCTTGCCATTGAGAGAGAAATAAAGGCCACAGTTGGAGACAGATGTTTTATCATTGCTGAAGTAATTACATGTCTTAGATAATATTTTTTACAAAGTCTGGGTATATGACAAATTGCATGTAAAAACTTTCTTTATAGAGAAATACATTCATGAGAAATAGGCAGAATAGCCAGATACTTAAGTATTGAGAACAAACCTGGCCAGTGATATTAAAGAAATGTTTAGCAAAAGAATTAAATGGAAGGCACTTAAATTTTAATTACTCTCATTTATAGATTTGCTCTCACTTTCCCTGTGGCATCTAAATAAGCTAGGAGATAATCCTTTTTATTAATGTTTGTATTTTTTAATTGACAAAAATCTTTCTCTGTGTCATAGCTCTTTTAGTTAAGAAGGGCACTTTTCTTTCAGTAATATAGGAGAAAAAGAATTTTTTAAAAAGAACATTATATTGGTTAGACTAGTCATTGCATATCTTTTTTTTTAATTATAGAAGAAACAATTTGGATTAAAAACTATTTAAGCCAGCTTGCCCTAGTTGTTTGGTTTATTTTGTATAGTTTTTCAGCATCAAACCTTTATGTTGAAGATAAAAGAATTTTTTTGGCTGAAGAATATTCTTTCCTCTCAGTAACATTTGTGTGGATATGTATTTGAATGGATAACATTCAATTTATAAACTTCCTTTTTCATTTGGACGTATTGTATCATAGCTTTCTATTCTGTATTTGCGAGAAAGAAAGCATTTCTAAGCTTCTTATTAAGTGTGTATTCTTTATCTCTTCAAGTTCTTTGTTTTCTTCTAATAATGCAAGTGAACTTTTTTCTCATATGAAATCTGACATGGTTTCTCATTCTATAAGGGGTTAATAAAGTGTCAATTTTAAGTCAAATTAACAAGCCAATCAGTTAGCATTTTAAAAGCACTACAGTCAGCCATTGTGTGGCAAACACAAGAACCTAAAAAATCACAATCTGTAACTTCATGTAGTTTACATTCTTTTGGGAAGAGACAACATGGAAACAACTAGGGACATACAAGAGATATATGGAGTAGAGGAAAGGCATTCTGAGAGAGGAAAGTATTAGCAAGTGAAGGGACTAGGAAAGTCCTGCACAAGGTGGTGTCAGAATTGAATTTTGAAGGAATTCAGAGAAATTAAGTGGTAGAAGTGAGTAGACAGAGCAGGTAGGCATGGGGGATGGCCATTGCAGAGGCATGAGATGAGAGGTATGAGTGATATGTTTGAGGAACTCTAAGTAGGCCCTTGTTCAGTGTATATTGCATAGAGGAGAGCAAAGTATAAGAAGTGTACAAGGCAGGGAGATACTGAGATATGAAGAGCTTTAAATGCCAAATTAGGAGTTAAAATTGTATCCTGGAGGCAGTAAGGGGCCATTGGAGCTCATTTGTTCAGAAGAGCAGAGCATAGTCAGATCTGTGCATTGGAAATATCGTCTTGGCAGTTCAGTGGAGGGTGGATTGGAGTGGGGAGAGATCTGAGGCAAGCTAACCAGTTAGATGACTGTTGAAGTAATCCAGGCAAGAGATGTGATGAGGATCTGAAGGTGGCAATGTGAGTGGAGAGAAAGGGATGCCAGGATGTCTCATAACCTCTTTGGTAGAGGGAAGAGTTTCTGCCACTGCATATGTGCTGCCCATCTTGCTTTTCCCTCCCCTAGCTCTTGCTGCCCCAGAACCCATTGTGCTAATCAGGCAACAGGAAGGCTACCCCTACCACCACCACCACCACTGGTGGGAGTGGCTGTACTTGCTGCCATATCCTGGGCTGGGCTGGGCTGGGCTGGCCCAAAACTCACTTGGATGGCTGGGTGGGAAGAGTGCCTTAGCTACTTACTCCTTACTCTTCTTGTCTGTGCTGCTTGACTTCTTGCAGTCAAGGGTTTAAATAAGGTGGAAGTAATAAACTCCATTCCTTTTGATGAGTTGGATTTACCATCTCTCCTGCCATTGCCTCTTAGGAACCTCTAGGCCTTAACATTTATTTTGCTTCTATGCCCTGGAGTACTCTGGCACTGTCATGTTAACCACTTAAGTAACCTAAAGACCTTTGGGCCTCGCTATACCCTTAAGACTTGTGGGCCTTTCCATATGCCCTGTGGCTGAACTTTATTTTTTGTGTTGTCTCCCCTAATTAGCATATGAGCTCTTTAAGATCAGGAACTGCCTAGCTTTTTCTTCTTTGTATCCCTAACACTTACCATGGTGCTTGGCACAGGTACAGTACCCAAGAAATGCTTTTCCTTTCGTTTATTCGAGGTAGAAATGACAAAGTTTGATAAAGGTTTAGGTGAATAGATTGAGTAGTTGAGAATGATAGAGTTTCAAACCTGACTGAAACCTGAGTGGATGGTGATGCTTCCACACCTGTGGGGAAGGTCAGTAGAGGGCAGAATTTGGGAGGAAAGAAAATGAGTTCTGTTTTGTATGTGTTGAGCTTGAGTATGAGATTCATGTGGTAGGTCCAGTTCAAGATGTCCTAAAGGCAGTTGGTGATATAGGATTGTAGCTTAAGAGAGATGTTAGTACTGGAAAAATGGATCTGGAAACATCTGCATAGAATTGATAACTAAAGTGATGGGAATTTATGGGATTACCAACTGAAGGAATATGGAGGGAGAAGAGAAGAGAGCTGAAGATAGATCTTTGGGAGACACCCTCAGTTATTGGGTGTGACAAGAATGGAGAACCAGCAGAGGAGATTAAGCAGGAGTGGGTTTGAACAGATAAGAGGAGAACCAGGGCACAGCCGAGTCATGAAACATGGTGAGGTGAGATTATTCAGGACCACAGAGGGATCAACAGTGTGAAATGGTGTAGAAAGGTCAGGAAAAGGTTGAGAATGGAAAAAGAGTTGTGACTTGTTAAGGTGACTTTGGTAAGGGCCGGGTTGAGATTACATAACATTTTTAGAGTGAATTCAATCATCACAGTTTTTTTATTTTTTTATCTAGGTCAGCAGCTTGTGACTAGGAGTAAAGAAGGCAAGCAGTGGGGGTGATTGATCCAGCTTTGGTGTAAGGCATAATCAGTATTAGGACAGATAGCCAAGGGACAGTGGAGGCACTAAAGGATGGAAACAGAGAAGGGAAGAGAGTGTAGTCAGTGCAGGACATATGGCCTGAGAAAGAACAAAGGCATAGAGGAAATGGTGGTCACAATGAGGGGGAAAAAATAAGGTTACTGCCCCTAAAGTATTGAGAAAGATGGAATTATAAAAGAATATGATCAAATAAAGGAATTTTAGAAGCTTAAGAATGGGAAAAATTCTCTATAAATTTAACTGTAAAGAAATTTCTAGTTCACTGAAGCTTTTCAAAAGTTGCAAGAAGTGTCTTACTATATTTTGTAGCTCTAGTGAAATTTGTATTATATCTAATAAAATTATGGATTACCCCTTGAATATGTCATATTAAAATTTTGCATGCATTAACTAGAATGCAGTGTTTTGTAGTGTGGTGTTTTTTTTGTTAGAATACAGAATTGAATATATATTACTACATATTACATACATATTCACTGAAATGAAAATATTTAGCAGCATCTAGTTTAAGATTGTTAGTACTCTTCTAATTCTAATTTAACTATTATAAAAAACCTGCATGAATACTATATTTCTTTTTCTCCCCCAATTTTTTAACATTTAAAAAATTTTTTAAGTTACAGATTCTGTCCTTCCCTCCTCTGCTCCTGGATTTCCCTGGTTTGAATTTCAAGTTAAGTTTTCGCCTTTCAGAACCTTTAGCTCTGATTAATATGGACTTAATGGACTTTATTTTTTCATAATATACCCACTCATATAGTTCAGGGGTCTTATAGTTGTGAGGACTCTTTTAATTGATGATGCATACTTAAAATATAAAAATGTGGATGAATTCTTTGTCTTATATAATCCTATTGTTGTTACACTTTCCAAACCTGATTCCATCTTCCCCGTCTTTTAATGTTTTTTAAACATTTTCTTAACAGTGCAAACTGGGTATAGTGAAATTCATAGAGGCTGAGCAGGTGCCAGAACTCGAAGCTGTTATACACCTAGTGATTGCTTCTAGTGATACACGCCATAGTGTAGCCACTGCAGCTGACTTAGAATTGAAGAGCAAGCAAAGGTAACAATTTACTAATATCATAGTTTATATGTGTGAAAGAAGTATAGGATTTAAAAAATATTACTAAGCAAATTTTTAAAAATATGCACTGAATGCTCATTACAAGATTGTTTTCTTTAGTACAATATTTGCCTTCTATGAATCTTAGAGACAAAAAAGAAACAATGTTTAGAAATGCTTTTAAAAGAGAATGCAGTGTGCATTGAAAATTCGTGTCTGCATTATATCTTCTTTTTCTTATCCTAAGTAAAATTAGCTATATAATAACAGTAACAAAATACATGTTATGTTTTAGTTCGCTTGTTTTGAAATTCAGATTTTGAGGATGATATTTAGATTAATCTTAACAATTAGAAGGCCTAAGTAGAGAAGCCCATGCAATGTGATAGAAATTTATTTTGTTTACAAGCCACAAATGAGTGCTACTCAGCCGTTGCTTGATTAATTCCATGACTTTGGTTGAAATAGTCAAGCTCACTGGGCCCACATTGCTGGTCACTAAAACGAGGGACTTGGATCACTTGTAAGTGATACAGTAAATTTAGGACAGATACTCCAGGTGAGGGACTAGAGTTTACTTGAAGTTAAAATATCAGGTGTTAAGTTGGGGAAGTGGGGAGAGCATATGAGAATTTCTTTTAAAATGCAAATGTACTGACCTTGAAAGATATTTTAGCATTACATTTACTGAACTGTATTGTTGCACCTAGGTGTTTTGTGTGCTGTCACTCAAGGTTCTTCGAGAAATTTTTGGTAGTTTACCTATAATATGAAATTACGTTATGGAAGATACTTGTTATCTCTAACATTTTTTGGAAGGAAAACAAGTTTAATTTACCCCAATAAGCACTAAAGTTTCTACAAATTCTTGCTACTCCCCTTTAACCTAAAGTATTCTATGCCATGAGATTCCAATTTATGTTTTAGGTAAATGTATTTCAAGTCAATGAGTGACCATTTATTAAGCACCTACTGTGTAGCAGGCATTAAGCTAAGACTGGAGATAACAAAGAGAGGTAGTAGTGACAGTCTTTGTGCTCAAGGAGAGCAAACATGCAAATTTATACAAATATATACAGGATAAATATGAAATAATTAACAAAAGGAAGGCACTAGAATTAAGAGGAGTTGGGGATGGCTTCCTGTAGTAAGAGTTTAGTTGCATCTTAAGGAAGTCAAGGAGGTCAGTAGTCAGAGTAGAGGAGGGGAGAGCATTCTAGGTATGTGAGAGAGAGAGAAAAAATGCCCAGAGCTGAGAGATGAAGCATCTGGTTTATGGAACAGCCAGGAGTCCAGTGTCATTGGATTGAAGAGTACTTGTCAAGTAACAGGATGTAAGAATTATGGAAGGGTAGGAAGGAACTAGTTTACAAATGACTTTACATTTCAAACAGAACATTTTGTATTTGTTCCTGGGGACAATAGGGAACCATTAGAATTTATAGAGTAGGGGGGAAAGGGGGTGATGTGATTGGATCTGAACTGTAGGAAAATCACTTTGGTAGCTGAGTGAAATATAGACCAGAGTGGGCAGTACTGGAGGTAGGCAGATCCACCAGTAGGCTCTTGCCGCAATCCAAGCATGAGATAGTAAGTGCCTGTACTAGAGAGATGGCAGTTCTTTCGAAGGGGACATTTAATAAGAGATGTTACAAAGGTGAAATTGATAGGCTTCAGCAACAGCTTGGTTATAGAGGGTGAGAGATGGTGAAGAATCCAGGATGACTCCTACATTGCTAGCCTAGGGGACTGGTAGGTTGGTATTGCCCTCTCCAGTAATAGGGAAGGTGGGAGGTAGAGGGTTTAAGGCAAAAGATAAAGAGTTCTGTTTTGACCATGTTAAATTTAAGATGTCTACTGGACTTCTAGTTCAAGATGTCTGAAAGGCAGTTGGAGATATGAGATTGGAGGTCAGCAGAAAGGTTACTCCAGATAGGTAGATTTGAGAATCTTCAGCATAGAGGTGGTGATTAAATCCATGGGAAGTGATGAGATCACCAAGTGAAATAGTACAGACAGAGAAGAGAGAAAGGCTCAAGACAGAAGTCTTAGGGACAGCTACAGTTAGAGAGCATAATCTGGAGTAGGATGCAGGAGAGGAGTCAGGAGAGACTAGTGTCCTGAGGACCTAGAGAGAAGAGAGTATCAAGGAGGAGAGAGTGATCAACATTTCAAATACTGCAAAGAGGTCAAGGAGAATGATGGTTGAGAAAAGACCGTTGAATTTGACAGCTAAGAGTTCACTGGTAATTTTAGAGAGCACCATTTTGGTAGAATGATAAGAACAGAAACTAGATTGAAAGGGATTAATATGACAGTGAGAGGAGAGAAAGTGCAGGCATGTATTATAGACAAGCTTTTTGAGCAGTTTGGTCACAAAGGGCAGAAGAAATATGGGACAATAGTTAGTGGGGATAGAAGGATCCAATGAGGGTCTTTTCAGGAGGGAAACATGGGCATGTTTGTAGGCAGTATGAAAGGAGCCTGTAGATAAGGAGAGACCGAAAATAAATGAAAGAGTGAAAATGGCAGAGGGGGCAATCTGATGCAGGAAATAGAAAGCCAAAACCTGTTTTGTGGCCAAATTATTTGGGTTGATACTGTTCTAAGTATATTCAGGTTTGGGCTATATGGGAGGAAAGGACCTGGAAGCCATCAGCCTGGCCGAGGTCTGGACCATAGGGGCTGAATGCTCAACAAAAGAACAATAGAAGCTGGAGGAAATGTGGGCTGGTAATTAAGAGCCTTTGAAAAGAAGAAGGAAAAGGGGCAGCCAGGTGGTACAGTGATAGAGCACTTGTCCTGAAGTCAGGAGGACCTGAGTTCAAATGTGGCCTCAGACCAAACACTTGACACTTACTAGCTGTGTGACCCTGGGCAAGTCACTTAACCCCAATTGCCCCCCAAAAAAAAGAAAAGAAAAAGAAAGGATGAAAAGAAAAGGGAAGGGTAGCTAACAAGGTGCTCTAGTGGCTTGAGAAATCAGAATCTAAGAACAACTGGGCAATAGGCCTATTTCATATACCAGAGAGAAGACTAAGTTTTGCTAGTGACATTGATAGCTGATGAGAGAATAAAGTTTTAATCAACTGTTGTAGCTCGAATAGGAAAGATCCTTAAGGACAATTGGAGAGTGAATGGTGTGAAGGCTGCAGTGGGAGGAAGAAGGTTTTGAGCTTTTGATGGAAGAAATTCTCCTCAGCTTTGTATTAACTTGGGTTGTAGCAGTAAAGAAGTAACTATATACATCTTACAGAAAAGGATAAAAGGAACCTTGGGCTAGGGTGTCATAACCTTGTTTTGTTACAATTTACTTTTAAAGTATTTCCATTATGGGGGCAGCTAGGTGGCGCAGTAGATAGAGCACTGGCCCTGAAGTCAGGAGTATCTGAGTTCAAATCTGGTCTCAGACCAAACATTTGACGCTTACTAGCTGTGTGACCCTGGGCAAGTCACTTAACCCCAATTGCCTAAAAGAAAAAAAAAATATTTCCATTATGGCATGATTACATATATTAGATCCTTCAGTGTCTTCAAGAGCAATATAGTTAATGTACTTTTGTTATGGAAGGCAAAAAAGTTAAACAGGAAAGCTTAATCTGTAATTGAGTATTAAAAAAAAAAAAGATTACCCCCAAAATATTGTACTTTGGTTCTGTTCGTAGAGTTAACTTCCTTTGTGGAGTCTTTTCAGTGGCATAGTTTGTAACATGCTGATTCTATGAAATAATCAAGCATGACTGTTATTAGGGCTGGTTAAACTACAGGGTTTTTTTTTTATTCCATATGGACCCCTCTGGTTAAATAATACATGATCTAACTGTTTTTGCTTAACCTTAAGTCAGAAATGAAAGTGTTGTTCGCTAAGACTATTTAACACAGAGAATCTGATTTCTAGGCAGAAGAGAAGTTTCTTGAACGAGGAGAATGCATGAACAGTGAAGTATAAGGGTGAAGTATTGCTAAAGCATGAGTAAATACTTAAAACTTGACAGAATGTTTATACATAGATAGGAGTGAAGCACAAGTAAATGCTATGGACATTTTTCCAGTGATCACATTCTTTTTAGTAGGTAGCTTGCAATATCCACAATGGAGCTATAATTTTGCCACAGATTAATTTCCTATTTTGTTTAGGTTTTTACTAACAAATAATGAGGCTACAGTTTTATAAAATGTAAAAGTGAGTAGTAAAGATCTCAATTTTAATGCACTGAATTGAAACATTCCATAGCTTAATTGACTGGAATAACCCTGCAATCATTAACAAGATGTATAAAGTATACCTTGGGGATATACCACTGAAGACAAAAGAGGTGAGTACATTGTTGCTTTTTCTTTTAAAAAAATATTTTATTTACTTGAACTATGTTATATCCATTGATTCTTCATGTTTGTTTTGATCAGATTTTATTGTATGCTAGAGTATTGAGCATGTCAGTTATGCTGTGAGTAAGCTATGACACTCCCCCTCTAGACAATTTAAACTAGTTTTTTAGATATTATGCATAATTATTAATGAATTTACATTATATATATACAACAGAAATCTCCCTAATTCTTGAACTAAATTCATTATCTGGATAGTTAGATTGGGTGGAATATTTATTTATATTAAGTTGTTTTTTCTCTGTAGTTATAGTTCTTAGTAAGATTAGAAATGCTGCAGAAAGTGACAATCACTCCACTAGCAGAAGTGTGAAGCATTGTGATAGAGTGAGAAGTGCCCTTGACTGGCTACAAGGACCTTGGGGTCTGACCTCAGCTCCTAAGGAACCCTGCTGAAACCTTTGGCCTCAACTCCTTCAGGCTCAAAGTTTCACTCAGGGTAAGATGAGGGTATCAGATTCAATAGATTCTTCTTAATGGAACATCTCTCTGACAGGGGGCTGTTTTGAAACCAGAACTGAAAAGAGATCCTGTTAGCACACGGGTTAAGTTAAAGATTGTTCCTCATCTTCTGCGATCTAAACAAGCTGCTGAAACTTTCCCAGCTAACATTCAGGTAATCTCCACCCACACCCCATATAAAGAGAGCATCATATTGGCAGTTCTAATATTGTGTGTGCGTGTGATGGAAGGAGAGGGGTAGGATTGATTACTGTTGTACACTTAAGCATGGTACTGTGAAAAGAGCACTGGACTGGGTGTCAAAAAACATGGGGTTCAAATCCTGATTCCAGCTTACTTAACTGTAAAACCTTGGGCAAGTCACGGAACCTCTCAGCTTCTTCATTTGTAAAATGACAGGGTAGGACTAGATGACCTTTAAAGTCCTTTCCAGCTCTAAATTATGATCTTGTGATCCTGTAATTCGGGGTAGTCAAGAAATAGGTTAATATATTTGAAAAGAATGAATAAGGTTTTTTTGGTATTTTCACCTTTTAAAATTAAACATCTATTTTTAGCTACAGAATTATGCCATTATTCTTTATAAATCCTTTATCCTGCTGTTATATATTAAAATTAGATTGTGTATTCTACTGTTAAGTGTTCTATTCTGTAGACTGTAAAAATTTTCAAGGTGTTTTTTTTTTTTGTGAAAATATTTTTGCCAGGCTCAGATTCTTAAGATCTGGCCTACTTGCATTAGTGATACAAATGCCTGGATTCCTTAAGAGTGTGGCCAATGTGGCAGATTCTTAAAATCATTCTCCCCCCCCCCCCCCCCCGTTAATGTTCTAATAAACCTTGTCTTTAGCTGAAAGAAGGCTTGGGTCTAATTCATTTGGGCAGGACCCGTGTTCTGATTTTGGGGTCCCAGAACCCCTAGACCTCTAAACCTCAACATTTTAGGGGCAGCTAGGTGGTGCAGTGGATAGAGCTTTGGCCCTGAAGGCAGGAGGACCTGAGTTCAAATCCAGCCTCAGACCAAACACTTGACACTTACTAGGTGTGTGACCCTGGGCAAGTCACTTAACCTCAATTGCCAAATAAATAAATAAAAAGAAAAAAAAATTAGGAAACCTCAACATTTTGGTAGCCTGTATAGGGAAGCTGTCTAACCCCAAGTTCTTCTCCAGTCAAAGACTGAAACGTATGTAAGCCTCCCCCTCTCCCCTGCCACCCCCAGGTTCTTTTTTGCCCTGAAGTTGAGGTCTTTCTCTAAGCACCTAGGAAGGCTTGGAGGTGCTTTTCAGGCAGATAGTTAGGAGGCTGTCTCACACTTGGCCTGATGCTCTCGGGCTCTCGTTCCACTGGTTTGATTCAAGGCTATGGACCTGGTACATCTTTTGCAGCATAGAGGACAAGGACGGATGCCCTATCCAGAAGCGTATGCCCAATTCTGTCGATTCTCTTGGTGCTAGGGAATTGGGAAAACTGTAGGCAGGTGCTTTTTGGTTCCCTGAGGCATAGTTATTCTCTTCCCTCTACACCCCTGAATCCTCCTTCATGGAGGTTAACAGGGAAAAGTTAGAACAGCTGAAAATACCTTAGCAGATTCTGGAGGTTTTGTGATAGATCATTAAGGAGTTTTGAAACAGTTCCTTACAACCCTGGTCACTCCTTTCTCCCACTGCCTTCCCTTGAGTCAAGAGGGTATCTGTTAATCCCTCTCATAGAGAGTTTCATCCCCCCAATTCACCTTCCCCCACCTGGTGAAAGGAAGGAGGGGGAAGGGGCAGCAGCTATTGTGGGCCCCACTGACAGTGGCCTTGGGCCTCGGGGCAACCTTTGCCTGGAAGCATCACCCAGGTTTGGCACATCCTGCTCAGCCTCTGAACTTGGCTAAGCCTGCTCTTTTAAAGTTGTAGTTTTAACTGTTAATGATGCAGTATTGATTCTCTTTGCAAAGTAATTTGGAAATGCATTTAACAAAACTAAAGTCACCTGTTTGGTAATGGGTTTTTCAAGTTTCAAATTGGTAGACTTTTTATATCAGTTATGTCAAACAACTTTTCATAATTTTGTTACACCTAAAACAACTTGGCTGTTGTTGGTTATTGTTTTAATGGTAAACTTGCCAAAAAGCTGGTTTGAGTTATGGCTTGCTGAGAATTTGCTAGTGTATAGAAATAATCTCTAACAATTGGCTTTTTACACCAGGACAAATTATAATTTGAGATGTAAATCCTGGAAAAGTTTTTCCTAAACTGTGATTAGTGAAACTTACTGTTTGAGGTAAAAGCTCTTGAGACTGTAAATGATTTTGAGTTGTCTGATGGATCATAATCCATCTGTAATTAATAGTCAATAATCCACCATTGACAGAAATGCCACAAGCTACCCAGAAAAAATGTGATACAGGTGGGAAGTCTGCATCAGGAAAAGCTGAGAGCACAAATTTAGCCTCAGTCTAAGATGGGATCCTCCTGGCTCAGTTTCCCTATTGTGTTCCTTTGAAATGGAATGTTACCACCTGGTTATTCCTGAGACTGGCTATGAGGTGGATTTAATACTGCATGGTTGGAAAACTGTGAATTATCTGAATCCAAATAGCTAACAATGTTTTATCTTGAAATCTAGTCCCTGCTTTATCCTTTTATAGCAGATTTCTATAATCAGAGCAAGTGGTCAGTAAAAAAATCAGTGCAAGTATGTGAAATCTTGCTGTTTTGACCTGAATGTGTAGTTGTTCGTTACCCTCAAACAATTGAAATTAAATCAGAAACATCTTCAGTTTGATTTGGGGAAGAGAATTTCAGTGATAATTAAAGTGAAAGTCAGCCTCTGGCAAATGTGTAACTGTTGAACCCGAGTGGAAAACTACCTGCAAAAATGTTACTTAAACTTTTGAAAAAGTAACAAGATCAGATAATCCTGCAAGTTAAATGTAAATAATTTTAATGGGGCTCTTACACTTTTATTTCTGCCTTTATGTGGGCCCTGCAGTCTTTTCTGTCAGATTTGTGTCTTCCAGACTACAGGCCGTTCACCTACAGTTGGTAGCAAACAGTAGGTACCTCCCAATGTCTGCCCCCCCCCCCATGGTCCCCTGGATACAGCTGTGCTTGGTTCCAGTCTGCCTCTTCTTTGGGATCCCCTTGAGGCAGGGCAGCTTTACACCTCTTGCCAGCTTGAAGATGTTTTAGAAGCCAAGACCTTTGCCCCTTACCCGAAAAGAATTTAGGTCCCATTTGTTTGAAGGGGAATGATACGGATGGGATCTGAACCCCTAAAAGGAAAAAACCATGTCTTTGGGATCTGGACCCCAAAAAGGAAATCCCTGGACTTTCCCAAATCTCTGGCATTTGCCTGAGGCTATAATGCACTTACCTGCCTTTCATTGTGGCTAAGCCCAATCTCCAGGTTCTGTTCTTTTACCTCCCAGTCGCCCCTGGCCACTTTCCACTCATAATCCTATCTAGACTCCATTCTCCCTAGGCCACGTGGTCCAGGTTCCCGGCATTCTGTTCACTTCAGCTTACTGGGCACTTTCATCCAGATCCTCCTTAGACCCCTCCTCCAGTCACCCCAAACTACTTGGCTACTCCTAGATCCCTCTCACAGTCTTTTTTTTTGGTTAGGCAGTGGGGTTAAGTGACTTGCCCAGGGTCACACAGCTAGTGAGTGTTATGTGTCTGAGGCCAGATTTGAACTCAGGTCCTCCTGAATCCAGAACCAGTGGTCTATCCACTAGGCCACCTAGCTGCCCCCACAGTCTTTCTGTATATAAGGGCCATCTTGTCTCCATTAAGGCACTCAGATTCTTTAAGAGTCTAGCCAATAGCTCACAAATGTTCAGATTCCTTAAGAGTCTGGTCAGTATGGTAGATCTTTAATAAATCTTGTCTTTGGCTGGGAAAAAAAAAAGAAAATATTTTTGCCAGGTGTGTATATCATAGTAAAATTAATAATTGAAACATTTTGAACATTTTTCTTTAGGTGCTCAAATAATCATTTTTATTGTGAAATTCTTTTCTGGATTTTTGTCCTAATAATATAATACTTTAAGATATGCAAAGTGATTTACATATATTACCTAATTTTATATTTTCCAGGACACATTGCTTTTTTTTAAACTGTGTTATTTATTTAATTTAAACATTCTTTTTACATTTTGAATTTCAAATTCTCTCCTCCCTGCCACATCCCCTCCTACAAGGAAAACAATATGATATCAATTATACATGTGGAATCATACTAAACATATTTCCATATTAGCCATATTACAAAAAAATAAATTGAGAAATTATACTTTGATTTGCATTCAGAGTTCATTATCTCTCTCTGAGTGTGAATAGCATTTTTTCATCACGAGTCCTTTGGAATTGTTTTGGATCATTGCATTGATCAGAGTACCCAAATCTTTCATAGCTGATCATGATTATGACATTGCTGTTACTGTGCACAATGATCTCCCAATTCTTTTCACTTCACTTTTCATCAGTTCATATGTGTCTTGCCATGTTTTTCTGAAACCACCTGTCGTCATTTCTCATAGCACAATAGTACTCCATCACGATCATATGTAACAATTTATTCAGCCATTCCCCAATGGTGAGCATCTCCTTGATTTCCAGTTCTTTGTCACCACAAAAACATACATATAGGTCCTTTTCCTTTTTCCTTGATCTCTTTGAGATATAGATCTAATAGTGGTGTTGCTGGCGCACATTGCTTTTAAGACAATCCATCTTAAGTTCCAGCCATGAATTATACATATTTTAGCTTTGTCTATTCACACTGCATAATATTATTAGGAAAACTAAGCAAAAAAAACAACAACAAGAAAAACTGGGCAGATGTGATGTGTTGTTGGGTTATACTGTCCCACTACCTCTCAGTCTTTGCTTCTTCTGAACAAATCTGCTGTCTGCCTTTATAATTTTGGACTTTATCCTCATGAAGTTTGTACCAGACTGTCTTCTCTCTTGAGGTGCAAACCCACCCCATTTCTCTTTAAAATTATTACCTCCTCTGTTTATTTCACTGATAAAAGACAATATCAGAATCTCTACAATATTTCAACTCTCTTCGCCTCAGCGTGTTTTCACCTCTATCTTTCTAAAGTGAAAGGGATGAGTCCCCTAAAATTTAGCCATTCTGAATTTAGCTCTCTGAGTCCTATCTTTTGTTCACTCCTTGGTAACTTTGCTCTCATGCTTACCTTTTCCTTCATTTCATTTTTAGTCATGCTTTGTCAAATGCAGTACTAGATTAACATCCTACTGTTTGCCTTACTGTTATACAAAAACTTATTCCGCTAAAATCAGTGATGACTAGCCTCCTACAAAATCCAGTGACCTCTTTGTCTTCTCTGCTACATTTGATCACTACTTCTTGAAATTCTTCCTTTGTTTCTTAAGAAATGCTCCTCTCCTGATTTTCTTCTACCTTTGGGACTTCTCCTTGGTTGGTATCCTTTTCTTCTTCTGCTTTCTAATTATTTGTGTGTGTGTGTGTGTGTGTGTGTGTGTGTGTGTGTGTGTGTGTGTGTATGTATATGTAAAAGTAAAGGCTCAGTCCACAACTCTTTACACATATTGTGTTAGAAGTCTCAAGTACTCTTAAGAATTAAATATTTTATTGAAAACTAATTATATTTTAATTAATTTCATTGTTTAAAATATATTTATAATATTTCAGTCACTCCCCCTAAGTCCTAAGTAGGATTATTTGTCCATTAATTCTTATTCACTTCTCTTCTGGGGCTACAGTTACAGATTCCTCTTTTCTTCTAGTTCTTTTTTAAACTTTGCATTATTTTACAAAGATCTTTCCAAAATTCTTGACATTCCTTGTACTTGCTAGTCTTAATTACAGCATACTATTCAAAGTTTACATCATTGAATTAATATAACACTATTTAAGCTTTTCAGTAGTGTTATATGGTTAGTCTTTTTCTTGTTTTAGCTCTTGTTACTTTTTATAACATTTTTAGGCTCTACTTTCAGCAATGGAATTATTGAGTCAAAGGGTGTGATTATTTTTTCAGCTTCTTTGTGTTTCAGGTTGCTCTTAATTGCAGTTTCACCAGCAATGAATGAATGTATTTGTTTACCCATGATTCAGCCTGTATTAAGTTTATTTGCTTTTAATCTGATGGGTGTGAGGTGGTACCTCAGATTTTAATTTGCATTGCTCTGGTGGTTAGTGAGGAAAGCTTTTCTTCTTTCAGAGCTTCAGCTGTTATCTCTGAGGATGTTATCCAGATTTACATTTTAGTTTAGTACCTTATTGGTAGCTTCATTTAAGCATAAGGACTCTTAGGGTTAGGGGTCCATGAATTTATTTTTTAACAAATATTTTGATAACTTTCAATATAATTGGTCTCCTGTATAATCCTATATATTTTATGCCTTTAAAAACTTTATTCTAAGAGGGGTCCCTAGTCTTCAGCAGACTGTCCATGACACAAAAATGGTTACAAATCCTTGCTCAGTCTAGCACATATATGCCTTTCCATCACCTTATACTTTACAGTGTTGAAAACCAAATTTACTTGCTTCACACGAAGCTCTTTCCTTCTCACCTGTCTCCCATTTTTGTCAAAAGCACTACTATTTGCCACCCCAAACTCAGAAGTTGAGCACGTACTGTGCATCTCCCTTTTCTTCATCCTCTCTTTCCAGAGAAAATTCAGTCGTCAAATACTTGAAAATATCTCTGATTTGTCTTTCTCTGTTACATTACTACTCTCCTAGTTTGGCATTTTGCTGTAGTAGCCTTTTCTCTTCTTCCCTCTTCATCTCCTTATTCTAATCCATCTTATTTGTTGCTATTTCTGGAAACACTACTTTGTTTACATTACTTGCTTTGAAAATTTACAATTTCTTATTGCCTCTTGTACAGAATCTACATTCAGACAAAGATTTCAAAAACTTTGATAATCTGGTTTCTGTCATATTTACCTCTCTTTGTCCTCCCACTATTCATCAATATTAATTTCTTCCAGTTGGATGGGTATCTTTACTCTTCCTCTTATATAAGCTGTCTTTTTCCAGCCTCATTACTTTTGATCAAAATGTTCATTTTGCCTAGTATAGCTTTTCTTTCTCAAACATTCCAAAGTTCTATATTTTCTACTGTGTCAGGTGAAAGATGAAAGGACTGAGGAAACAAAGGTTCTGTCTTCTGAGCATTTTGATTCATTAAGCAATATATGCCATTTGCCTAACAAATTGGGACCTGGCCCCTTCCTCAGCTTAGGGCTGTACCCCAAATACAGGTTGAGACGTACTTTTATACATTAAAAACAATCAAATAAGGCTAATTGAAAGGAAACAATACAACATTAGGTAATCTGATTTCTAATTGGATGAAAGATTAGGCATTTTCCAAATTGGTAGGAGGGAGAACAAACAGCTGTAATTCCCTGAATTCGGAAAAAGAGGTGTCCCACTCCTCCTAAGTGTCTATGAATAATCAAAGGAACATGGAAACAATAACTTGATTTATCAGTATGGGACCAGTTTTCAGATAAGACATGGGTTGTTTGAGATGTACAATTGTGAGAAAACTCCTTGCATCAGTGTTTGTGTCTGACTGGGTTTCTGGTCAGCATAACCTAGGTCCTTAGTTAAGAATCTCTAAGCAGCAAATAAAGGTGGTCCAGTTTCTCAGCCATGCGGGACCAGATACAAACAATGCAATTCATATGTGCCTAATTCCCACAACTGAATAAAGTTTTCTCACAGGAGAGAATTTGGGCTAGACCCATAGTTAAATAGAAAGGGAACTGAGCTAGCTCCAGATTTGAGTCCCAAGATCAAGTCAGTGTGGTTCACTCAATTCTTGCAGTTAACCGCTTGCTGTCCTAATCCCCTCAATTCCCTTACTACAAAGTCAGTTTGTTACATTATGCTTATTCTTAAGTAATGAATCAGCTAATCTATTACTAATTAGTTAAATCATTGCTAATTAAGTTATTACTGATGAACTAAGTCTTTTGGGAAAGTGCGTCTATGTGTGTTTTACTGACTAGGGTGCTTATTGGAGAACTCGGATAATTGTATTTTTTCCTTCGGTTTAGCTATAATTAACTTTGCTTTTTTAAAGAAAAAATAAAAAGTTAGATTTCTTCAATGCTGTACCTGCTTCACAACAGCCCTGTGAAGTACGTTGTACCAGTATGATAACTCTTTTTATTTTTTATTGGTAACTTGTTTCTATACATTTCTCACTCACCAGTAGGCCTTCCCTTGTAACAAAGAGGTGGTGCATTTTTTCAACCCTTTTCTGGGACCAAGATTGATCATTGTAATTATACAGTGTTCTGAATAACTTTTTAAGCCAGATAACCATTTGCTTCACTTATATTAGATTTCAAATTTAATATAATGAATGTTTATATTTAACTTTTAAGAATAAAGTCTTGTTGAATCCAAATGAAGTGTTACAAGGGCTCTAGCTTGGAAATAGTGAATAATTTTTGGTAACAGAAAGTTGGTATCTCTGACAGTTTTCTCTTCCCATAGGTGGTGTATGATGGACTCTTTGGCGCAAATACAAATGCAAAATTAAGAACATTATCCCTGCAGTTTGTCCACCATATATGTATAATGTAAGTTTCTTAAACTGTTTCTATGATAAAGTTATTTTAAATGGTTATAGATATTACATTTGTCATATACATCCATTTCACTCCTTATGCTGAAGGAATGATTGTTTACTTTTTAGAAAAATATTTATGTACCTCTAGAGCTTAAATCTATGACTTCTTTCCAAGTGGTTCAACCATAATATCTCTTATTTCAAATAACTGAATTTAAAATAATCAATTTAAAGACTGAACAGTGACATGAACTAATATTTTGCCTTTTTATAAGCAGTAGGGATAATTTGAATTATTTTGTTTTATTTTTCATTTTAGATGTCCAGAAATCAAGATTAAACCATTAGGTCCAATGCTTTTAAATGGCCTCACTAAACTAATCAATGAATATAAAGAGGTGAGTGGCTTCTCTTTACATATACTCAAATGATGTATTGTAGAAGTGGCTATTTAAAATGACTTTTTTATAGGATTACTATTCATAAATCTTTGAAAAAAGAAAATTTGGTTATTTCTAAGTACAGCTACTGAAAACTGATTTTGCAGTATTACTTTATCTATGCTCATTTAGATTTGGCACATATTAGGATATGATTTTCATTATTTGGGAACTACATTTTTGATGTTTAAAATGTTTGTCTGGTTTCTTAATGACTTATGCTAGTGGGGTGTACATTCTAGCAGTTTTTGCCTTATTGGAAAGATTGTCTACTTGGTGATAAATTCTTTGGCATGGCAACTCATGAAACAAATCAGAATACAAAATGGTCTTAGTCTTGTGTGGCTTTGCTTTTGCTTCTACTGCACCAAGTGCTAGAGATAGGTTAGGATAATTTTTATGTAGTCTATAAACATTAGCTTATCTGCTGATATTTTAAATGTGAAAACTTGATTGTTGACATAGTACTAGAAGCACTGAATCCAGTTAGTGTTGACCAGTGAACCAGATGGCAAAATAAAATTGCTCCTAAATGGAAAGATGGCTCATATGCTTTCTTTGGAGAGGCACCTGAAATAGTTGCCATAATTAGTGCATCCAAAAAATACAATTTTAGGGGACATTTGGTTGTCATATTGTAGTGCTCATGAAAAGCATTTGCATGGGTACTAGGAAGGTAATTGCAGCTTATTCATCAACATATTTTATAGGAGATGAAGAAGTAGAGAAATTCTGTGAAGAACATGATGACATTGTCCAAATCAAATTTATATACAATTCAATATTTTATGATTTTAGTGCAAAGGAAGGCATAAGATTGCAAAATACTATGTTAGGAGTATGGCTTACATGGAGTGAGGAAGGAGAGAGGTCAAAGAAGCTTCACTCCTATATAACATGACTATTTCAAGAGTTAATTGGAAGGTGTTAGACTGGCAAGAACCAATACCAAGAGCAGCAGCTCACATTTATGTAATGCCTACTGCATGCCAGGTGATGTGCTACACACTTTACAAACGTTTATTTGATCCTCTCAGCCACCCTGGGAGATAGGTATATTATTATCTCCATCTTATAGATGAAGCAAATGATGCAAACAGGTTAAATGACTTGCCCTGGATTATACAGCTAATAAATGTCTGAGATAAGATTTGAATTTAGGTCTTCCTTATTTCCCACCCAGTGCTCTATCCACTACACCACCTATCTGTGGATAGCCAATAGAGCTGATCCACCAGTACAGACACCATAGGTAGACAGTGCTCTGTGCATGGAATGGAACATAAGGACAAAAGTGGGTTAGGCTGCCTTTGGTCTGTGATAGAGGGTTTGATGACCCTAAACTTTTCCCTGAAATAATATCAATAATTCTTTTAGTGATGCTGCCTGGCTACAAGCTATGGAATATCAGCTTCCAATTAATTAAGATCATAGGATCATAAATTTAGAATTAGAAAGGACCTTAGTTTTAGAAAGACCTCCTTATTTTAGGAAGAGACCCTATAAAGGTTTAGAGGAGAAAGTAACCTGAGCGAGGTTGTACAACCAGTACATGTTAGAGGCACAATTTCTACCCAAGTCTTCCAGACTCCAAATCTGGAAATCTGTACACTGTACTGCGAGTTTTTGACCCTGTGTCCATGAACCCCTAAGGAATTGTGAATAGATTTCAGGATATCTGCAAACTTGGATGGAAAAAAAATTATTTTCATTTTAATTCACTTCCAGCTGAATTAGTGTTTCCTTGTTTTTAATTTGAAAAAATTATTGCAAAAAGGATTCTCTTAGCTTCATCGGACTTGCCAGAAGAGTCCATGACACACAAAAGGTTAAGAATTCTTGCACTGTACCAAGCTACTTCCTTAAATTAATGTTGATGGTCATCCAGTGGAAAAAAGAGAGGTATATGTAGATTGTTACTCATTACCAAAGAAGAATTATACAAAAGAACTGGCACATATATGACATATGACTGAAAACAAAGTGGGACTCCTCATATGGTGAGAACAAATGATAGCAGATGGACAGCCCTCATTCTCCATTGGTATTAACATAACATCCACCTTTCTAGAGGAAGGACCTCTAGCTCACGTTGTGTGACTTACTGGAACAAATGGGCAAATTCATACAAGATGAGAGGGCATGAAGATGTTGTAATTTGCATTGTTGGAGTGAGTACCCTCAGTGGTGAAATCAGATCTGTTGAAGCATCAATTTTTATTCTTAATACATAGAGACAAGGCTTACAAGTCATGAATCTCTACATCATATTTTCCTTGGTTGTGTCTTTTTAATGATCTGAGATTATTGTAGATGAGCTAGATTAGGCTAGGATTTGTGCTTTTCGGTTAACACAGATTTCATGATTTGTGGCTAAACAAGATGCTTAATATAATATATGAAAAATATACAAAAAAACTTTGCCTTCAGAATCATATATTAAGCATTTTAGTTCCTAAAGTATGTACTTTTAGGCATAGTCCAAATTCTAGTTTTATCTTTTCTCTGGCCAATTTATCAAAATTTATGATAGATTTTTTTCTTTAATTTAAAATTTTTATTTTCAGTTCCATGTTCTCTCCCTCCTTCCAGACCTTTCTACATCCATTGAGAAGGCAGAAAATATGATACCTACTATATATATGAAAGCATGCAAAATATATTTCAGCATTAGCCATGGTGTTCCCCTGCCCCCCCAAAAAAATGCGGTAAAGAAAGGAAAAAAATGCTTGTCTGTATTCTGAGTCCATCAGTTCTGTGTCTTAGCATTTTATATCATGAGTCCTTATATGAATAGGTCTGTTTTAAGGGAGGCTGTCTAACTTGATAACTGGCTATTGATGATCATAGAAGACCTGATAAAAACCTTCAAGTTATTTTTGTATCAAAGATAGCAGGGTACTTTGAACTGGCTGGCAGGAGGGAGAAAAGAAATTTTAAGTAAAATTACAATGGAGGATTAAAATAAATTCAAGTCTTCAAAAATATACCATTTGTAATAACTTTCCTCCTTCTCTATTGTGATTGGGACTGCAAAAGGTACTTTGTAAGTCATCAGTACTTGCCTCTCCTACAAAGTAGTTGTAAAAATTGTATTTTTAGCACTAGAAACTTGGGTTGGGGGTGAATGGAGCCAGGAGAAAGCTTTACAGCTGAGCTCCCCTAATATTCCTCTCCAAACAACTTTAAAATAACACTTTACATTGATCTCTGGAGTGGTAAAGCCAACAAATGTCGAGGTGAGACATTTTTCCAGCCCAAGAAAACTTAGGAGTTTGAAAGGAGAGGTCTGTGTCACTGGGGTGGAGGGCTAGCCTGGAGTGCAGAAACACAATCACTGAGTCTTGGAGGTGACAGTGACAGTAGCAGCTTTGGGAGCTCTTAGCACCTTGGTAAAGTGATTAGATAGCTGGTTAGAAAGAGATAACATGGGGAACCTTGTGCTGGCGCTAGGCACAGGATCAGCTGTTGTTTGGCAACTCCATTGCTTATCCTACTCTCTGGTCACAATTCCAAGGCAGAGAGGAGTACTTTCAGTCTAAAGGGATCAGGAGCTCTTCCAGGTTAAGGACCAGAGCTCAGATCAGGAGAGCAATGACTGTGCCTCTTCCTGGATCACACCACCTTGGAAACACCAAAAACTTCTAGATCCCTCCGGAACTAGCTCTGAAAACAGCAATGTGAAAAAGCCTAAAGCTTGGGATTGTGCTCCCTGCCCTGGGAACAGAGCCCAACTTTATCATAAGGTTTAAATTAAAGAAATAGACTGGGAAAATAAGCAAACAACAAAAAAAAAGAACCTGACCGTAAAAAAGTACTATGGTGACAGGGACAATCAAGACAAATTCAGAAGAGGAAGACAGTGATGTTAAAACAGCCACAAAGCAAAGCCTTAAAGGAAAGAAAAAATGAGTTTGACATAAGACTTAACAAGAATTCCTGCAAGAGCTAAAAAATTATTTTAAAAACCAAATAAGAGTAGTAGAGGGTAAAATTAGGAAAAGAGATGAGAGGAATGCAAGAAAATTATGACAAGACAGTTATCAGCTTGGTAAGAAATGTACAAAACGTACTGAAGAAAATAACACCTTAAAAAATAGAATTAGCCAAGTGGAAAAAGAGGTACAAGAGCTCACTGAAGAAGATAGTTTCTGAAAAATCAGACTTGGACGACAGGAACTAATGACTCCATGAGACATCAAGAAATAATAAAATAATGTCAAAAAATGAAAAAAACACTGAAGAAAGTGTGAAATATCTTATTGTAAAGAACAGCTGACCTGGAAAATAGATTGAGGAGAGATAACTTAAGAATTATTGGACTACTTGAAAGCCATGATCAAAGAAAGAGCTTAGATATCATATTCCAAAAAATTATAAAGGAAAACTGTCACGGTATCTTAGAACCAGAGGGCAAAATAGAAATAGAATCACCTCCTGAAGGAGATCCCAAAATGAAAACTTCCAGAATATAGTAGCCAAATTGCAGAGCTCCCAGGTTAAGGAAGGAATATGGCAAAGAGTCAGTATCACGCAAGATTTAGCAGCTATCTTGTTAAAGAATGGAAGGCTTTGGAATAGGATGTTTCAGAAGGCAAAGGAGCTAAGATTGCAACCAAGAACAACCTACCCAGCAAAACTTCAGGGGAAAAAATGCACAACTAATGAAATAGAGGCATTTCAAGCATTCCTGATGAAAAGAGCCAAGATAAATAGAAAATTTGACTTTCACATACAGATTCAAGAGAAAACACAAAAAAGTAAACATGAAAGATAAATCATAGGAGACTTAATAAGGTTAAGAGATAGCTATAAAAAGGTAAACATGAAGCAGATATCAAAACATACTTCCCATGTAGGAATGTAAATAGGAATGTAAACTATTTACATTCCTATATGGGAAGCTGATATATATAACTCCTAAGAACTATATCATTATGAGGGCAGTTAGGTGGTTAGAGGGCATGGGTGTGATTCAGTGATATTGGCATGATCTCAGAAAAAGAGGGGTGAGAAAGAGGGGTGAACTGGGAGAAGGGGGAAAGGAGAGGAACAGTGAGAGGAATCTCAAAAGAGGCATGCAAGGAAGAGCTTTTACAGTGGAAGAGAAAATGGGGGGGGAGGGGTGGAACTTCCCTCTCATCTGAACTAGTTCAAAGAAGGAAGGCTATATATACACGCTTAGTTGTATAGAAATACATCTTATCCAACAGAAAAGGAGAAGTGGGTGGGTATAATAGAAATGGATTGGGAGGACTGATAAGAGGGAAAGCATATTAAGCAAGGCAGCGGTCAAAGGCAAAACAGACTTTTGAGGAGGGACAGGCTAAAAAGAGAGAAGGATAAACAGAAGAAAATAGGATGGAGAAAAATGCACAATTAACAGTCATACTATGGATGTCAGAGGGATGAACTCATCTGCAAAATGGAAGCAGATAGCAGAATGGATTAGAAACCAGAATCCAGTATATTGTTTACAAGAAATAACCCTTGAAACAGAAAGATGCACTCACAAAGTTAAAATAAAGGGCTAGAGCAGAATCTGTTCTGCTTCAACTGAAGTTAAAAAGGCAGGGGTAGCAATTATGATCTCAGACAAAGCAAAAGCAAAAACAGACCTAATTAATAGAGATAATCAGGGAAACCACATCTTGCCATAGACATTGAAAATATCAGTACTAAATATATATGCACCAAATGGCAGAGCGTCCAAATTCTTAAAAGGAGAAGTTAAATGAGTTACAGGAAGAAATAGTAAAGCTGTATTAGTGGGGGACCTCAACATTCCCTTCCCTCAAAGGTAAATAAATCTGAAAGAAGTTAAATAGATAAATAGAATTTTAGGAAAATTAGATGTGATAGACATCTGCAGAAAACTGAATGGGAATAGAAAGGAGTATACTTTTTTCTCAGCTATACATGTCACCTTCACAAAATTAAGGCATACTAGGGCACCTTATTAGGGCATAAAAACCTCATAAACAGATGCAGAAAACAAATATTAAATTCACCCTCTTTGGACCATAATGCAGTAAAAATTACATTCAATAAAGGGCCTCAGAAGGATAGATTAAAAATAAATTGAAAACAGTAATGTAATCTTAAAGAATGAGTGGGTCACAGAACAAATCATAGAAACAGTAATTTCATTAAAAATAATGACAACAATGAGACAGCATACCGAAATTTGTGGGTTGAAGTCAAAGCAGTACTTAGGAGGGAAATTTACAACTCTCAGCAGGTACATCAGTAAAAAAGAGAGCAGATTAATTGGGTTAAGGCACAATTCAGGTACAGACGTAAAGTTATATTGATGACTTTTCATGATATTCTGAAGTCTGTTTTCTAAAGCCATTTGATTGAAGCTGAATTTTATTTAAGAGAGTACAGTATTTTACAGTATTACAGTAATTGTGGATTTTTAAAAATTACTGTGTATACTTTTAAGATTGAGGTAATAGGAAAGCATGTTTAAAAAGGATAAAATTATAAACTAGTATGTAACATAGCCTAGCCTATAATCAGTCCTATATTCAGTAGAATGAGTTGTGACTTCTTAGCATGTTATCCTCTCTGTTTAGAGAAGGCATATTTTAGTACTTAGTGATGACACATCAGGTCGGAGAATATGGTGTTAAAATATCCTCTCAAAAAATAGCTGGCCAAAGAAGAAACATTCAGTTTCAGCCATGATCATATTATGGCTTCCTTCCTGATGTAATTTTGACAGAAATTTTAAAAAATTTTTATTATTATGTAATTGAATTTTGTTAAATTTTATGTGTTCATATTCTAAGATCTGGTAGTTGGAAATATAAAGAAAACTAAAGGTTTGATGGAAGGTACATACTATTTTAGTGCTATTTCAGTCATTAGTTTTTCTTAATACTTTGTCATCTTTTAAAAAATGTCTAGGATCCTAAACTACTGTCGATGGCATATTCAGCTGTTGGAAAACTTTCCAGGTGAGTAAACTATTATCTGTAAGGTACCTGTGTCGTATCTAAGGGAATTTGTATATATGGTATTTAGTATTTGTAGGTGAGAGACGGAGAATAAATGTGTCCTTTTCAGAGCTTGGAAAGAAGGATTTTTGTTTGGTGTATCTTCTTTGTTTTTTTTGTAGAAGAAAGTAAAGGTCTTGGAATCTGTGTTCAATCTATTTTCTAGGTTTATTTAACATGTCTTCCCTTTATGGACTCTGAGGTCTAGTCAAAATCATCTTTTTTCTGTTGGTCACACTTTGCTGCCTTTTCTCAGCCTGTCTCCCATGTCTGGAATACACTCCTTCCTCACCTCTATCTCTTCAAATCACTGCTCCTCTCCAAAGTATTTTGAGTTCAAAGTGTCTTCTCCTTCATAACGCTGCCCTCTCCACCCTGACCTCACATGCTAAGTGCTCCCTACCTCTTAATTTGAAGTTTTGTTTCCTTTTTGTATATTTATATAGGTATGTTTTCGTGACAGAATATAAGTTCCTTGAGGGTAGAGACTTTTAATTTTGTCTTTGGATCCCTTGCTTCAAGCATGGCGTCTGTCACGTAGTAGGCACTTAATGAATGTTTGTTGATTGATTATATATTAGTATGTCACAGAACCGTTGTGAAGAACAAGTGGCTAATAGAATAAAGTTCTGTATTAAGCATATTATGTTAATACAGCGCTTCTGCATTCTAACCGTAGTAAATATCTACTCTTAAGCATATGTTTCATGGTGGAAGTGGTTTCCTTTACTTAATGTTTGTGTAATTACTGGCTAGAATCACTTGAATGGTGCTTTGAGGCAAAAAGGGAAGTAATTGCAAAAATAAAATGTTTACCTTTATCCTTTCTCAAACCATAGAATTGTAGGATCATAGATCTAGAACTGGAAGAGACCTCAGAGATCATCCAATCTTAACCCCTCATTTTACAGGTGAGGAAACTTGAGAACTAGGGAGGTTATTGATATGCCTTAGTTCACAGGTAGTATCAGAATCTGCATTTGAACCCAGGTCTTCCCACTGCAGAACCAGTCCTTTGTTGCTTCCCTCCCAACATGTTTATTTTAAATAATTTTTGTGTGTCTGTTTTCTTGTAGTCGAATGCCTCATTTGTTTACCAAGGACATTGCTCTTGTACAGCAATTTTTTGAAGCATTATGTAAGGTAGGTGAATAGAAATATTAAGTAAGATTTTTCTGCTTGAAGTGCTTCCCTGCGCTGAGGATGTTATTGATAGGTGGGGTAGAAACATTTTGTCTTTCATCCTTTTTTTTTTCCTTTTTTTTTTTTTCAGGAAGAGCCTGACACTAGGCTTGCCATTCAAGAGGCTTTATCTATGATGGTTGGAGCATATAGTACTTTGGAAGGAGCCCAGCGTACTCTTATGGAGGCACTGGTAGCTTCGTACTTAATAAAGGTAGAGTCAAATCTTTGAATACTTGAATCTGTTTTAAGTAGTTTGATGACTTGTATAGTGCAGTTTTAAAATTCAAATTTGTTTTGAAATGGTTCTCATTCCTTACAGAATGGAGAAAGGAATTTATGTTTTCACTTACCATGGTGGTATAGACTTCACAGAACATTTTTCTTTTGTTTCCCACTGTAATAAAGGTCTTCTAGCTTTAGGGAAGAATAGGATGATGGTGGTATTTTTAGGGTAGCCTGGTACAAGATCTAGTTGCCTTGATATTCTTTCTTTTAAAATAAGTAGTGCTTTGTTTATTTAAATAGCAACTGGGCGTTTGAACCTTCTGATGTTGTACAAACACATGTATGTACAGTGGGAACATATGAAAATAAGCAAATATTCAAGACTTAAATGAAGTAATAGCCTCTTTTGTACTCTGCCTCTTTTTCATTCCCTTTTGTTTGTTTGCCTTGAAGAATGAAAGAATTCTGAGTATATTTTCCTGTAGACATTTTTGTCCTATTAATGATGATAGGTGGAGAGGGATGGATTTGATAGGGGAGGTTAAATGTGTTTGAGATTAATATAAATTTTTGGGTCAAGTGGAATTATGGCCATTATTTTAAAATTTATTAAGATAAATATCAATCTCTTGGCAGTAGTTCAGAAGTTTGTTTTGAGCATTCTAGTTTTAGGATGTAGCATGGCTGAAGAATTAGGATAAAATATTTGTATTATATTCACAGAGGGGAGTTCAGGCATACTTATAAGTATCATTAATGATGCATGGTACGTAATGCTTCATGATCGTATATTATTGTGGTTAGCCATGGAAGTACTTAGGTCTGTTTGAGGGCTTCCTGGAACATGACTTGCATCCCTGTGTAGTAGCTTCATCAAGAGAGAGTGTAGCTTTCAGTTCTCATACAACAAAATTGTCAAGCTTGAGACAATTGACCACTTACTGAGAAATCTATTCAAAATGACAAAATCTTAATTTGATCGAGGAATTTAGACTATCCTTTGAAGTTCATTGTCATATATGTAAGCTAAATTAGGGAGGCAGAACAGTAAAGACATACTGAAAGAGACATTCTTGTGCCTACTCATTGTTACTAATTACTGACTGCCTTGTTTTTATACCCCTTTTGTGTTTCCATTTTTGCTAGCAGTTGTGATTGAAAGAAGTTAATGGTTTTGAGGGAGAGTTCAATGAGAATTAGGCCTCAAAAAACGAAAAGTTTAGGTATCATGATAATATGAAACTACTTTCTTAGTTGTAAAGATTGTGTCATTAAATCTATTCAAATTTATTGCTTTGTTACATTTGGAGAGCAGAAATTTTGAGATAGTGCAATGCTCTTTCAGAAGGAAATCATATGTCTTTAGGGCTATAGTTGAGTATCAGTTTCTGTTTTTTTAAGTTAGTTGTCTTACTTCAACTGTGAGGAACAGAGGAAGTCTCCTGATCATCTTCTATTTCAACTCAGAAGAACTATTTCTGGTTCTTATGTATAATTCAGAACTTTGGAATTGGCTTAGCAGAGAGAAAGATTTTGTTAAATTGCTACAGAAGAGCAATTTCAAGAGAGGGACTTTACATGGGGTATGTATATGTTTTATAGGACTTTTCCTGGTTACCAGAACATTCTTCATAGGACATCAAAACACTTTTAAATGAGGCCACTTTCCAAAATTTATTGTGGAATTTTTTAAACAGTAGAATTATTTTGGTCAGATTAATATCTGTCAGTATGTCCAGTTAAAGATTTTGTGTATTTGGATTGTTCTGTCTTTATGGAAACATTTATGAGTTTTAAAATATTTATATTTAAATGATTACATAGACTTAGATGAGTTGCTGATAATTGATTTATTTTTTATGTGTCAAATAGCCCGAAGTCCAAGTTCGCCAGGTGGCTGTGAAATTTGCCAGCACGGTGTTTCCCCCAGATCACATACCTTCCAGATACTTACTTTTACTAGCTGCAGGAGATCCGTAAGTTTCAAAAGGTGTTACCTGAAATTTGGATTCAGTTGTAGTTGCTTAAAAGTTTTGTCAGATTATACATGTTTAGCAGTGCCCCACTTGGATGAAATCTTTTATGAAACCAAGCAGACCTTCTTGGGGATAAAGGTGAGAGTTACTTGATGAACATCAGTAAAATTTGAGGGGCTTTAAAGATATTATATCTTGATTTGAAAAGTGGGATGGTGATAGAAACATTTCCTTCAGACAAAGATGGCCTACTAAGATGAAAGTTTGAATTTCCTCAGACATTTTAAAAAAAGAAGAAAAGTCTAATGATGTCAGATGATTTTATCTTATATCTCATTTTATTATTTTATTCTCCCTGTCCTGCCTGATTTGATTCAGTAGGAGCAAAGTAAAGAAATGAAAATCAGGTAGGGCATCAATGGAATTGGAAATAAGAGAGGAAAGGCTGGCAAGGTTGTTAATAGGGGGACATACTATGTATTCAGATACTTTTGTGGTCTGCTTTCAGAGACTATGCCAGAGAAAGATCAGAAATAACACGATTTAAGGCTAGTTAAAAAGACCCAAGAATATGATTTTGGGTCAGACCATTGGTAGTGCATCGAGCCCAGTATTTTGACAGTAATACTAAGCCATGTGGTTAACCTCATTATACTTTACCTTATAAAATTATGCCTGGTGATCCCAAGCTTTTCATAATGAATTCATTTGTAGGACTGTAATACATCTAATCTGATCCTTAGTCTGTACATGTTTTTGCTTGTATCTGGGATGACATCTACATGCCATCTTAAGTGTTTGATTTTTGAGAGAGTGTCACTTTAGAGTATAGTCATTCCCTCCTTCTCATCTGTATGCATTCCTGGAAATTGTGTTTTAAAACAGAGTATTTTCCAATAGGAACAGTGTTATACTTGGGAAATGTGTTCCTGATCAAAGACTTGCCATTAAATAGATTAAAGATATGATCAATAATGCCATTAAAAGAAAGGTAGCTAAAGTCTGCCATGACAATTTAAATAAAATTGGGCCTTAATTTCCATTAAATAAGAATAATTATATTATTGTAATTATACATTCTACAGTAATTGTAAATTTCAACAAGGGACTTCCATCCACAAGTATACTTTATCCCCCCCTAAACCTGATTTCATTGATTCAGACAAATGTAAGTGGTCTCTAACTCATGTTCACATAGCTTACTATGTGGCTGTTAACTTCTGTTTTAGTGTTCTGTGCATTAGGAAGCTACTAATCAACAACAACAACAAAATGCTGCTAAGTCAGTTTACTTGGCACTTGGTTGATAGATACTATAGCATTCAAAGTGCTGTGAAAATTAAATTGTAAAGTAAAGCTGGTAAAATTGAGTACTTTCTATACTTATTTTCACTTTTTTTCCCCACCCTTTCAGTTAAACTTTTTTACTTTTTAAATTATTTTTACTTTAGATCTATGATTTTATTAGACCTGTGATTTCACTGGTAACATGAGCCATCACTGTAAAAACAACTCTACCGTGCAGATCAGCCACTTACCTGTAATTTGGAGTCTTTTAAAATTGGGATGACTTTAAAATAGGCCAGAGGGATAAGAGGTTAAGTGATTTTTCTATGGTCACATAGCCATTGTTGTCTTAGATTTCTCCTCTTTCACTGTCAGACTCCTAGAAAAAGCTGTATACACTCATTTCATGTACTTTCTCACCTCTTCCTCACTTCTTAGTATTTCATAATCAAGTTTCTCCCCTTAACATTCAGTTGAAGTTGCTCTCTTCAAGATTACCCATCAATCTTTTTACTTCCTAATTGATTCCTAAAAGATTCTGTCTTGCCCGAGCCTGCAGACAACTTGATGTGAATATTCTTTTATAGTATATTAATATTAATTTATTGTTATTCTGAACGTGAAAGCTTTAGACAACATCCATCAAGGAGACATGTTATTAGACAAACTGAATTATATCAATATTAACAGTTACACTGTGAATAAACCCAGAAGTCCTAAAAAAGTTAAAACCAAATGGACAGATAGCACATCAGTTCTTTTTGGAAAAAGTGTAAAAGGAATTTTAAAATTATGCACAGAAAGGCAACAAGAAACATCAGTTTCATGAACTAACTAGGTCATCTTACCTTGTATTACTCAAGGTGAACATAAGCAAAATCATCACCATCAGTGTACTTATGATTTGGTAGTAATAGTCTTGTTTTATTACTGAAGGCCCTTACACTTTAATAAATTGTGATTTGGTCAGCATTACAGAAATAGGAAGTGACAGAGTAAGGAGGATTTGAATCAATCCAGTGGTCCTTTGATTATGCCATAACCTTACCAGATGTTCAACTATTAGGTATTGATGTGGAAGTCACTTTAAAATCAAGTATCTATTTGTAGTCATACCAGCTGGTAGAACAAAGGTCAGCATTAATATCAAAATAGAACAAAAGATAAACTTGAGAAGACACTGAGTCATTATAGCAGTTCCACCCTAACGCATTTAAACAGAGTTTTAATTTCTGAAGTTTTGTAAGTGACTAAAAATGAGGAGAAGGATGTTACCGTTTCTTTAGAGAAGATATAGAAAGGCAAAACAGTTTGTGGAAGGAGGTTAAAGAGCCCAGGAGCTACCTAAGCCAGCAAACACTTCATCTCCTTGCCAGAGCCTGCAGACAACTTGATGTGAAATCCACCTAAGCCAGATCAGCCCAAGAACATTTGTAGATGAAATGGAAAGGATGACAAATAGATGTAAATAAAATATCCATTTTAATGGAAATGATAATGTAGTCACTACATTTAGACTCTCATACCTTAGGGCCATGGGGCAGCTAGGTGGCACAGTAGATAGAGTGCCGGGCCTGGAGTCAGGAAAACTCATCTTCAAGAGTTGAAATCTGGCCCCAGACACATACTAGCTGTGTGACCCAGGGCAAGTCACTTAACTCTGTTTGACTCAGTTCCATATATGTAAAGTGAGCTAGAGAAGGAAATGGCAAATCACTCCAGTATCTTTGTCAAACAAAACCTGAAATGGGGTCAAATAAAGAGTCAGTCATGACTGAAATGATTGAACAGCACTTCAAGGCCATATTTGTTATTTGAGGACATTTCCATCTTCCCAACTTAAAATGTAGTAGGGAGGAGCATCTAGACTTAACCAATACTTGGAGCACAAACCTACGCTGGAGGCATTCTGCAAACAGTTTTCAGGATATCTCAATTCTGAGAGAAGATGGTGCTATTATCAAAAAGATGACAGAAAAATCAACCACAATCAAACCATTGACCTACTTTTCTATTATACATGCAGATCCTTGCTAGAAAATGTCATAAGGGTACAAGCAGACTTTTGTATACAATTTTATATAGCATACCAGATCAGCAGGTTTTTACAGTTGACTCTAAGGTATAAAGAATCTAAGACACTGCTGTCTGTTGTTTCCTTATTGGGGGAAAAAAAAACCAAACCATTTGATTTGGTAGAACAAAGTGCAGCCTTCTATGTCTTCCACTAAAAAGATGTCTCTCACATATGTCAAGATCAAACATTTGTGACACATATAAGCAGAGAGGTTGCTTTCATATTTAGTGTTCCTCTGAACATACATAACAGGGAGATAGCTTTGCATGCTCAGTGTTCTTCTGAGTGTCAGAATCAAGTGGGGCATCATATAGAAAGATATGCATATGCATGCTAGACTTCATTGTCATAGAAGATGTCTTGCACACAGTCTAAATAGATCCCTATATTGATGGTAAGATTCTACAGCTCTTTTTGTTTGTGGATAATACTGTAATAATTGAATTGAAACCCTGGAATACTGTTGTTAGTAAGATCAATCGTCACTTGAAGATCAGCTTCATTACCTACACAAGAAAAACAAAACAGATGGACAGCACTTAATGCCCAACAATTCAATTCATCAAACTGATTGATTACTTAGAGTGTTTAAAGTCCATGCTAGGTGCTAGTGATACAAAGATAACTGGACACAAAATGTGCAGATCAGGAAACAGTTACAAAATTATGTTTCAAGGGGAGGAATTAATGAAAAAAATTTTTATTAAGCATTACTATGTGCCAAGCACTGAGATATGTGTTGAGTATACACGTTAAAATGAAGACAGTCCCTGCATAAATGAGAATTCAATGAAGTACTGTGAGAAATTGGAGGAGGATGTGATCACCTTCACTTTTGGAAATTATGGAGAGTTTCATAAAAGAGCATGGAATATAAATTGAATCTTGAAAGAGCCACCTCTATAGAGATTGTGTTAGGGAGTCCATTAAGGGTATAATTGGTGTGATGCAGAGAGTGCATTATTGGTGTCAGGCAAAGAGATGGAAAAAGGATAACAAAAGAATTCCACTTTACTTGGAACATAGACTACATAAAAAAGAGTAGGATAGTATGAGGGGAAAAAATTGGGGTCAGAATGTGGTAAGCTTTAACTTATAGAGTTAGAAATTTATACTTTATTTGGTACTCAGTGAGAAACTAGAAATTTGTTTCTAAGTAGAAGAGTGATGTGCTTAGAAGAAAGGGCACATTTAGAACAATACCTGGGCCTTGGTGTGAGCAGAACTGAAGAATAGACTTGAGGTAGGAAAATCAGTTATGGAGTTACTGCAGTAATTTAGGTGAAAAGAGATGGAGGACTTAATTAGGGTAGTTTGAGAGCATGCAGAGGGAAAGAGGAGTGTTTTGGAGAGAAATAACAGAATTTGGTTACTCTTTGGAGTGAAGGGGAGGAAAGAGTCAAAGATGGATGCCTAAGTGACTAGCCCATAAGCAGAAAGATTTAAAGGTGAAGGCTAGATTTTTAGGGAAAATGGGTTTAGGTTTTAGACATTGAATTTGAGGCCCTGGTGGAATATTTAGGTGGACATAACTAGAAAACTGTTTGTAAAATGGGCGTGCAGCTCTGGGGGAGGTTGTGGGTCAATCAGTAGGAATTAAGAGCTTACTCTATGTCAGTTACTGTGCTAAGAGCTGGGAATACAAAGAGAAGCCAAAACAGTCTCTGCTCTCTAGGAGCTCACATTCTAACAAAGAAAACAACGTGCAAAGAACTAACCATTAAGTGGTGCTTTAGCAGGGCCCTATTATTGGCCAATCAGTGAGAGCCAGAGTGAATTGGATTTAATTGGATTTTTTAAAAAAATTTTTATTAAAGGGGCCATCCCTTGGCTTACTTCTTAGAAACCATAATCATTGAATGGGTGTTGCCTCAGTCAAAGTGAGAACTCAGAAGGACCTTAGCTTAAAAAAGCCAACGTCTCCCACTGCATCCTGAGAGCCATCTCCACTTGTCCTGATGTGTATCTGACCATTGGATCCAAATGGCTCTGGAGGAAAAAGTGAGGCTGGTGACTTTGCATAACCCTCCCTCACTTAAATCCAATTCACAGCATCATCTTCTAGATGTCATGGTCCTCTTTGAGAATGAAGGACAAACCACAGCCTATGAATAGTAGAGCTGTTTTGAGGGGGGGCAAGTCAGCTCCTGCTCCTACTCACCTTGCCTCTCCCCTCCCCTCCTTCCCTCTCTTCTTTCATCTCCTCTGTAAATTTTGATGGCTGAAACGTACCTTGATATCTTGGAGTTTACTAGCTAGATTTCTTTCTTAAAGACCATGCCTTAAAACCCTTAAACACAACAGTAGGTCCCTACCCAAAATGAAATGCTAGATTTCTATTAGAAAGTAATGAAAATATGAATGTATTTTTTTTTCCTATCCAAGTTCATGAACTTCTTAAAATCTATTCATGGACCCCTGGGGGGGATGTCTTTGTATCGTAGATTAAAAGCCTCTGATAAAGGGAGGAGAGAAAAGGGCCATGGACCCTTGGAGAGCTCCCATTTTTAGTGGGTGTGAGTTGGAGAAAGACCTAGCAGAGGAGACTGAGGAGTAATCAGAGAGGTAGGAGAACCAGGACAGATCAGTTTCATTAAAACCTACAGAAGAGAGAGAATCCAGGAGGATAGGATGTTCAGCAGTGTCAAAAGCTTCATAAAGGTCAAGAAAGGATGAGGACTGAGAAAAGGTCACTAGATTTGGTCATTAAGAAAAGATTGGTAACGCTGGAGAAGGTAGCATCAGTTGAAGATGAAGTTGGAAGCCAGACTGGAGAGAGTTTAGGAGAAAGTGAAAGGAGAGAAATTGGTGTGTACTGATTTTAGTCAGCTTTCACAAGGAGTTTCTCTATGAAAGGGAGAGATAATAGGAGGATAAAGAGAAAGGTCCTTATGCTCTACCTACAAAATTTACAGTGCCTTAGGCATAAGAAGGCAGTGTTCAGAGAAATGGTGTGGTCCTCGAGAGGGCTGAAAGTTGTGCCAGGTAACTGAAATAATAGTGCAAATTTCTTTAAAATTCTTTATTTAATATATTTTTTAAAATAATAAAAGTCCGTTTCCTGTCCCACTTCCCTTTTCCTTCTTTCCATGTTGGGGATGGGTGGTGCACTGCAGGGAGAAAAAACCAAAATCCTCGAAACAGATATGCATAATTAAGTAAAAACAAATTCCTGCATTGGCTGTGACGAATATATTTAAAAATTTTTTTTTGTTTTTATAGTGTTGTTCATCTATAAGTTGTTCTCCTGGTTCTGTTTACCTCATTCTGCTGCAGTTCATATAAGTCTTCTCAGTTTTCTCAGAAACCATCTCCATAATTTTTTTTTAAAGCACAGTAGTATTTTATTACATTTGTATACAGTAATTTGTTCAGGCATTCCTTAATTGATGGGGGCACCACTGGAGTTTCCTCTGATACCACAAAACAAAAGTTACTTTAAGTATTTTTGTACATATAGGACTTTTTCCTATTTCTTTGTTATCTTTGGGGTCTAGTAATATTGCTAGCTCAGTGACTTTCTGGGCCTAATTCCGCATTGCTTTCCATAACAGCTGAAACCAATTCATAGCTCTACCAACTGTGCATTAATGATCCTTTTTTCCTACAATTCTCTAACATTTGTCATTTTTCTTTTTTGTCAAATTTGCCAGTCTTGTAACTGTAAGTAGAGTCCTAGAATTGCTCTAATTTGTTTTTATGTAATTGTAAGTAACTTGGAATTTTTTTCCTTATGGGTAAGAGTGCATAATTTTAAGGATAAGGCTTAAAGCACTCATCCTGTTTTTTTTTAATCTTGTTTTGTTTTTGTCTTTGTATCCTTATCAGCCAGCACAGTGTTTTGCATTGTTGTTTTCAATAAAAGGTTTTTGAATTTCAAAAGTTATCATTGTGGATACTGACGTTTTTAAGGATGAAGTTGGGAGAAATGGTCTGAAGGAAAACTGAGATCCAAGTGTGGAAAATCATTGAGGAGAAGACTTAAAAAAATTTTTTTTAACTTAAAATGCAAAAGTATTTCCACATGCACAAGCAGAACAGAAAAAAAAACGGTTCTAAAAGAAATGGAATTTTTCATTTTATACTCCTTGCTTTAAAAAAATTAGTATATAATAAATTCTCTAAGTTACATTCATAACTACTTTTTTTTGTCTGTGATTGCATCTGAGCTTCTTTCTCTTCTCTGTGCATTTTTAAAAAAACAGGTTTTGTTGACCCTTGTTTGGTGGGGGTCAGAGGGCTTTACAATATTGCTAGACCCCTTCTCTTACAGTTAACTAAAAGGGAAAAAAAAACCTGCAGAAAATGAGCATAGTCAAGAAAAAAGAATCCACACCCTAGTAATATTTAAAACTCTGTCTTGTACCTTGCATCTGTCTCCTCTCTGTCAGGAACTGGGTAACATGCTTCTTCATATATCTTCTGTAGACATAGTGCTTCACTGCTCTGATCATACTTAAAATCTTTCTAAGTTGTTCTTCTTTTTACAATGTTGTTATCCTTTTATAAATTGTTCTCTTGGTTCTAGTCACTTCATTTGTATCAATTGATATTACCCAGGATTCTCTGAAATAATTTTTTAAAAAACTTTTCTTATAATAAAATCATATTTTTTATATTCATTTACCATTATTTTTTCCATCTATTCCCCAATTATCCTTAGATTCGAGTTCTTTCTTTTCTTCTATCCCCTCATTCCCACCTCCACCCCACTCCCACCTCCCAATCCTACCTTAGGAGCATGAAATTTATTTTGCTTGTGACTATTCCTTCCTTGGTATCGTCCTCCCCATTTCAGATCTTAAGGTTCTTCTGATACCCACTCTTCCCTACTCCTTCTTCCATGTTTGTAGACTGTTCTCTTGTACCCCAATTATGATAAAGAACAAGTTCTACTCCATTTTCCTCCTTTACGAGTTCCTTTTACACCTGCCGCCCTTTTCTCTCTTCAGACCTAAGAACAATCAACCATCCCTAACTCTTTTTTTTTCTTTCTTATTTCAGGCATTTAAAGGCATTAAGGTTCTGAAAAGACACTTGTTCCTTTACCCAGTAATAAAATTTTAAGTCTACATTATCACACACCTGTTTCCAAATTCCTAAATAAATTCACTTGTCCAGGTTTCTCTTGGCTCTTGAGTTTAAATTGCAAAGTTCTTATTCAGCAGTGATCATTTCCTCAGAAATGCTCAAAAGCCCTGTATTCTATTAAAAGTCTCTCTCTCTCTCTCTCTCTCTCTCTCTCTCTCTCTCTCTCTCTCTCTCTCTCTCTCTCTCTCTCTCTCTCTCTCTCTCTCTCTCCCCCCTTCTCTCCCACTCCCCCTTCAATAGGTTTATACTCAGCTTTCCAGAGTAAATTATTCTAGGTTGTAATCCTGTATCTTTTGCCTTTCGGAATATTGTATTCCAAGATATTTTCTTATTTATAATAGAATCTTTTAGGTCTTGTGTGAGCCTTACTGTGGTTCCTTAGTACTTGAACTGTTTCTTCCTGTATGCTTGTAGCGTGTTTTTTCTTTGAAGTGGAATCTCTGGATTTTGTCTGTGTCATTCTTGGCTCTTTTGGGAGGTGATCTGTACATTTTCTCTATCTTCACTTTGCCTACTGGTTCTAATTGATCTGTACAATTTTATGATTTCTTGAAATAGAGTACCTAGGTTTGGTTTTTTTTTAATGGTTTTAAGACTCTAGTGATTGTTAAAATGATTTCTACTCGTACTGTTTTTCTAGGTCACTTGTTTTTTATATTAGCTTTACGTTTTGTTCTGCTTTTTCTGTCTTTTGAGTTTGTTCAAATATTTCTTATGTTCTTAGGAGAAAGAGACTTGCTTTATTTTGGGTAAAGTTTACCACTTTCTGTGCTCGAAGGACAAACAGTATTTTCTTTCCAATTCTTTCCTCCAAAGCTTTTAGAATTTTTTTTTTTGGTCACTTCATATCTTCTAGGTATTCATGTAGTCATTGTGGAAAATCCATTTTAAAAAAAATTTTAAATCTCTTGTTTATAGTTATTAGTAAAAGAGAGGGAGGGAGAGGGAAAGGAGTCAAGGATAATACGTGTAATATCAGTATATATGGTTGTAACTCCTAGTACATGTAGCCTTATACTTTGGTAGTTAAATATTACTTTATTGAGAATTTGAAGAAACCTAAAGAAACCTGTTGAAGAAACCTTAAAAACCTAAAGCAGTTTTATTTTTGTAGGCTATGGTTAATGAAGAGTAATCTATAATTTATTTATTCTTGAGAGTAGAGTATTTGGTCCATTCTTTGATTTATATTCCTGGTCCATAATTCTATCTGTGTCTGGTGCATAATAAATACTTATTGAATATTTGTTAACGGTTTATATCATTGGTTATAGAATAAAGGTAAAGTGACAGAGTAGTTCATCTTCAAGAATCAATTGCTTATAATGTATTTAGGCTTTAGGGTGTTATAGAAGAACAAGAAAATTTGTTTAAAGAAAGCACCACGCCATCGCTAAATTGAACTGTTATTTATTTAAAACTTCATACTCTTCTAGGTGATAATGACTTTACCTTTTTTCATTTTCTTTTTTGAAAGGCGAGAAGAAGTCCATGGAGAAGCACAGCGTGTACTAAGAACTCTTCCGGGTAAAAATGAAAAAGAAAGCACTTCCAAGCAAATGCCTTCCTTCCCAGAAATGGTACATTATATTCAAGAGAAGGTACAGTATGGAACTTCGGATAAATTTATAACTTGGATAAATCCATAATGAAACTTGAGTATTTTGCCTGTATTCTTTTCACATATTATTTAAAGTAATGAATTTTTGAATAGTATTAAATAGAAAATATACTAAAAAAAAGGCTGATATTGAATGTAAATACTTAGACTGAACAGAGTAAGTGCAGTTTTAATGATGTGTGCATTTCTGAGCTGTCTAGATAGAGTTAAGAAGGCATTGGAAAGTTTGTTTTTCAAAACAAATCAAACATTGCGGAACTTCGAAAACATATTGAAACTAGTATATGTGAAGCAGTGACATGCTTCATTACATTGACATTACAGTGACAACTGTAATGGTTTTAGCTGTGTTGTGGTTTGGTTGTTTTCTTTTTTCTTAAGTATCAAAACTGAAAGACTCTTTCCAACAGCCATATCTGCTTTAAAAACAAACATATGGCTCTCTTTTGGAGACAGAAGTGGATAACAGGCCTTGAAAAAAACTTTTACAGTTGATTTTTAGTTTTAATTCCTCTGAAGATAGCAGGAGGTTGGATCTGTTTTTACTTAGTTTATACTCTCTGTTGAATAATGATAACAATAACTACATTTATATAGTGCTTACTGTTCCAGGCACTGTGCTAAGTGCTTTACAAATATTATCTCTTTTGATCCTCACAACCCAGGGAGGTAGGTGCTATTATTAACCTTATTTTACAGTTGAGGAAACTGAGGCCCCTTACTCTATTCACTATATTCCTTAGCTGTCCCTTAAATTATAGAACTGTCAGTTCCATTGGCCAGATCTTGCTACTCATCTAGTCAGCCATCATATTAATCTTATCATCAGTGTTTTAATGACCTAAAGCATATGTCACTGTGCACTTATGTATGATTTCTTATTTTATTGCAAAATGAGGGAGATAATATAGGCTACTATTGCTTTGCCCACGTATAGGTTCTTACTCATAATAGATGTTCACTAGGTATTTGTTGAATGAATGAATATTTCCTTAAAATCCCTCTCCTTCTCCCTTTATCCCATTGTCACATTCTATCTATATTTACAAGGGATTTATTATTCTCCCTTGTTTTAGCTGGTATGGGAAGACCTGGGTATAGCATGGCATTGCTATAGTTATGGTGTAATTTATGGAGTAGATACTATGGCTTTAAAAACAAACCCTTCTGAATATTCAACATGTGTTAAATTGAATGCATACCTAACAGAATTCTTATAAATAGTATGAGGGAAAGTTCGTGTTGCAATGTAATTTATTTGTGACCTATAAATTGCACATGTGCATCATTTTTAATGATTTTTCTCTCCTACATCCTACTTCTTTGACATAGTCCTTTTCTTTAGGCTTCACATCGAATGAAAACTCCAGCCAAATATATGACAGGAACTGCCGTTCTTCCTTTTAATCCAGCTACATTTGGAGAGGTAGAGCTTTCACTTCATTTTGTGTGTGTTGATTTTCATAAATATTTTGAATACACATTTGTGAGTTGATAATGTATGTATGTGTATATGTATATGTATATACATACTTAAACATGCATATATGCACACACTGAATTTTTCAGCTAGTCTGTTGCTTTTATTTTAAGAAGCAAGTTTTAGAAATAGGCAAGTCTTTTTTTAAAAAAATTTATCAGTTGATTTTGGTTTTATATGACAATTATTTCTGGAAATACATTCCTGTCTGCTAAACATTCTCTTTCTTATTACAAAGAAAAATGGTTAAGCAAAAACACCTAATATATTGGAAAATTGTTTCTCTTTACAATGTTATTGTCTTTTTAGTAATTGTCCTGGTTCTGCTCACTTCACTCTATGTCAGTTCATACTATCTAGGATTCTCTGAAATAATCTCTTTCATCATTTTTTTCTGGTGGAATAATATTCTGTTACATTGATATGCTACCATTTGTTCAGCTGTTATTTTCCATTTGATGAATACCTGTTTAGCTTCTTAAGGTCCATTTTTTTTTCTTTATAAATTACATTCAGCTTTGCTGGATAAGTTATTCTAGATTCTAAACCAATTTAAAAAAAGCTTTTTGGAATGTTGTATTCCAAGATCCCATAAGCATTGTATAAATATTATCTTATTTGATTTTCATAACAACTCTGGGAGCTAGGTGCTATTCTGATCTCCATTTTGCAGTTGAAGAAATTGAGACAGACCAGTTAAGTGACTTGCCTAAGGTCACATGGCAATTAATTGTCTGAGGCTAGATTTGAATTTAGATCTTCTTGACTTCAGGCATGGCACTTTTATCCACTGCACCACCTGACTACTTAATTAGTAATTTAAAATGTTTTCACATAGTAATGTGATTTATGGTTTGCAACTTTTGTGAAACTTCTCATCCTTTGATCTCTTATTCACATCAGTTCCCAATATAACTTGCATTTCAGACTTTTATCAGTGATTTGCTTTAAAAAGTTATCTGCATTCAGTGGTTTCTTTTCTTAGTCTCTCTTCATTGACTTTATTCATGTGAAAGCTTTTCAGTTTTGTGTAATCAAAACGATCTGTTTTGTCTTTAAGGTCATCTCTGTTTTATATGTTTCTGTGTGTTTGTTTATTAAGCATTCTCCCCAGACCCATCATTGTGAAATGTTCTTCGTAGTCTTTAATTTTTTTTCAAATAACGTTTCCCTTTCTTTTCCAACTTAAGTTTATTGTGGTTTATCAGAGACAAAAAAGAATATAACAGTGTGTTGTCAGTTCAAAGTAAGATATAATAATTAGAACCTCACAACACTGGAACCACTAACTAACAATCCATACACTTATATTCACATGAAATTGATCTTAAAGGATTATCTTGCCCAGGTCCTTATAATATCAATAAATAAAATATTCTTAAAGGATGATTGCTTATCCTATAAGGTCTTACAGAAAATTTCAAAAACATTCCTTAAGAATATATTCTATTTTCCTTCAGTATCAAGAGGTTCTTAACTGATACTGACCTGTGTTTGTCCTAAGTGCATCATTTTCTTGTGTTATCCTTAGTGGCAATTGACAAGGTCTAGGGATCTTTTTTGATTGTGATATTTTTTTTCAACACACTGTGTCTCAGATTTCTGCCTAGCTATATGTTTTATATCTTTGGCTCATAAAAATAGTAATTTTTAGCTAAATCAGCATGACCTCCAAAGTTGATTTTGGATTTTAACTATGATTCAAAATTGCATGCTTATTTGTTAATTGGTTTAACAAATTTCAATGGCTTGAAATAATAATAACTGGCATTTCAGGGTCATTTTTCATAGTGTACTTAAGGAAATTTAAGTTCTTGTGAAGGAAAATGGAAGAAGCTGAAAGTTTTATTCTCCCTCTGTATTGTCTGAGTAGCTTATTTAGAGTCTTCTTTTTTCTCTTCTCAGATAGTCCTGTATTTGCGAATGTGTCTTGCTCACAGTGCAGGTGTGGTTCCCACCTCACAGAGCTTGGCAGATATGCAAGACCATGCCCCAGCAATTGGTCGTTATATAAGAAACCTAATGTCTGGCAACCATATAACATCATCATCTTCTTCTAAAGGCGGGGAAAACAACCCAGTGCAAATTTATATTGGCCTCCTTCAGCAGCTCTTAGCAGGTGTTGGAGGTAAGAAACCTCAGTGCTAATAAAAAATAATAAAGGTGTTACAAAAATAATTTAGGTGATTCTCATATTTTACTTTTGAAATTAAAGGAAAATGTTCAGTTTGTGCTCAAATATATTGGAATTAACTTTTGTTAAAAGCTTATTTTTTATCTATATATCATCTATCCAAAGTTTTCTGTGATGTATCACATCAGCTAGTCATATGAAGGTTACCTTTGTCCTTCATGGTGATAGAAGTCATCTTTGAGTCTTAAGGTAAAAACCTTAAGTATAACTGCAAAACCAGATTTCCCAAAGAAAGGAGGAAGGGAATTGTTGACCCAAAAGAAGAGATTTTTCTTGGGGAATCTTCAAGGTACATATTAATTAATAAAGTCATTCTAAAGTGAAGATCATAACGACATATTAGATGGGCAAAGAAAAAAATACTCTTTTATGCATTTGGACCGAAATTCTGATTCTGGGATTCTTAATGTTTCTTTCACAATGGACCCCTTTGGACTTATTCTTATTCTAAGCCCATCTTAGAATATTTTTAAGTGCATAAAATAAAATAGATGCAATTAAAAAGAAAACCAATTACATTAAACTACAGTTATCAGAATATTTAAAACATAAGTTTACAGCTCCCAAAATAAGAATTTGGCATTTATTTTAATGATGATGTTAATGGTGACAACAATATGATAATAGTTAGGATTTTTTTGGTCCCTACTATGTGCCAGGCACTTTTCTAAGCACTTTACCAACGTCTCATTTGATCCTTATCACAGCCCTGGGAGGTTGGAGCTATCATGATCCCCATTTTACAGATCAAGAAAGTTAGGCTAACAGAAGTTATATAACTTGGTCAGGGTCACACAGCCAGTAAAGAATCTGAGGCTGGATTTGAACTCTGGTCATTCTGACTCCATGGCTACCTGTTCTGTCTACTGTGCCATTTAGCTTGCCTCCTAAGTCACAATTGTCTTGACCCTTGAAATGATACTTGCTGTGCACAATTGAGAAATGATAAGATATTCAACTTTAGAGCAACACACTTTATAATGATCGACTTGAAAGAATTTTAAGAGAACTTTAGGGGTTTTATGATGAAATGTATATTTGTTGGTTCTGATAGTTTTTAATGTGATTCTGAATTTCCATATAGGATTGCCTGTCATGTATTGTCTTTTGGAAGCTGTTTCCGTCTATCCAGAAAGATTGGCAACCAAATTTGTAGACAAAACAGACTGGATAAAGGTAATTCCAACGCATGCATATGTTTGGTTCTGATGATTCTGCAGAAAGTGCTAGTTTAACTTACTTAAGTTAAATTTAAGTGTTTTTCAAACTTGGCTCATATAACCTTTCTTCCCATTAGGACTCCTCTGACTCTTCTTTATGGCCCCCTACCATAAAAAAAGCTTTTAGATCATCTTGTAATTTTTACCACCATGAAACATATTCAAGGATCTCTATAAGGTAGATTTTTATGATCCCCTTGAAAATTCTTTCATGGATCTGTCTGATACTATGTTCGAGGAATGCCAACACAGTTCTCTGAATTGTGGCAGGTTATTGTCAGAGGCATATTTCTTATAGACCAAAGAATAATGACCACTGATGTTTGCATAGCATATTCGCAAAGTATTTTCCTTTTATTATCTTCATTTTACAGATAAGAAGTCATGGTCAGTGAAGTTAAATTATTAGCCACTTAGCAGCTCAGCCTAATAGTTGACTTGAACCCAGATCTTTTCATTCTGAATCCATTCCTTTTTCCAAGCTAATGGCTTTATTCTGTTCTTTTAGTTGATAGTTTATCAATAAAATTAAAATACACTCACCATATTAGAATGAAAGTATTTGAATCTGGTTATTGTGTCCTTCCCTAAAATTCCAGGCCAAATACCCCCTGTTCTTTCCACTGATTCATCTGTGGCTTAGTTTCAAGCTTCTGTGCTAGACTCCAGCGATAAGTTTGAGACATAGGTTTCAAACTTAGAAGGGGCCACAGGAGAGACTAGAACTAGAGATGTATCAGACCTTGAGATAATAGTTGAGATATTCATCAAATCAAATTGATCAAAGTTGGTCAGTGAGACAGGGAGCCAATGAAGAACACAGAGAAAGAAGAGTTGATTCAGGAGATAAACCTCATTTACCAGATTTAGTTTCTTCTGTCTTCACAGCATCTCTGACATGCATGCATTGGATTCTCTTCCCTTATGTGGCTAGTGCCCTAGTTCAAGCCCTTGTCCCTTCTCAGACAGTTGGGAGAGCTTCCTATTAGGCCTTCCTGCCTCGGTTCTCTCCAAGCCAACTTCTATACATCTACCAAAACTACTCTGTAGACTCCAATCCAGTGGTTTCTTAGTATCTAGGATCAACTATAAACTCCTCAGTTATTTAAATTTCCACTATAGCCTGGCTTTGTCCTACTTTTCTAATCTTCTAGCACATTACTCCCCATGCGCTCTGTAGTCCAGCCACATCACCCTACTTGTTGTTCATCATAGATAACACTCTGTTTTCTGCTTCTGTCTCCTAGCATCCCTGGTTTCCTTCTGGACTCTCTTCAAAGCCATCTTTCTGTATGAGGCCTCTGCTGGTTTCCCCAACTGCTAATGAATGCTTTCTCCTCCCAAGTTAACTTGTAGCTGCTTTTTTGTGCGTTTTATATATTTCTATATGCACACATTGTCTCCATTAGAATATAAGCTCCTTAATGAATACTTACTTGATTGAATATCTCCTAATTAATCTTCCTGCCTCAAATCTCTCCCCACTCTAGACCATCCTCCACACAATTGCTTTAAAAAACAAAAACCAAAATTCTACGAGCTTCTGTTGCTTTTAGGATATGAACTTGTCCATTTGACTTCTAATGCTTTCCTCAGCCTGGCCTCAGCCTACCTTTCTAAGTTTGTTTTATGTTCTTGTTGCTGCATGTTTGGTCTAGCCAGACCAACTTTCTTGCCATATCCCCTCATGCCTGGAGTATAGTCCTTGCTTTGCCTTTGCCTCTCAGAATCTCCTGTTTCCTTCAAAATCCAGCCTATATTCCACCTTCTAAATGAAACTTCCCAGGGCCTTCCTCTCAATAAATTACCTCATATTTATTGCATACATACTTATCTAGATACATGTTGTTTGCTTAAGTAGTTAATAAGTTCCTTGAGAGCAAGGACTCATTTTTGTCTTTATATCCCTGGCATCACAATATGGCCTTATTAATTGGCTGATTGGTTGACTAAGAGAAATTGTTATATTTGAAGCTTTATTCAGGGCAACAGTATACAAAAGGAGGGGGGTGATTAATAGTATTAAGTGCAACAGAGCATTTTGGAAGGATTAGCATGGACGATTTGGCTCTTAAGGAAGCAGTTTTAGTGCAGTAGTAAATGTGAAAGTCAAATTGAAAGAAGTTGGCCGCCTGAATAAGGAGATAAAAAAAAAGTATAAATACTTTTTTGCATCTGTTTTAAAATTTTTTTAAGTTAAAAAGAATTCCCTTTTCCTCTTATTAACTTGACAAACATCATGACAAATTAACATATTGACATACAGATATGAAAATTTCCCTGTGTAAGAACAGGAAAAACACTATGTACATTTTGGGTTTTCTTGTAAATTTCAAGTTTAACACAGTAGTTCCAATACCATCCTGCTTGTTTATGTCCTTTCTGAATTCTTTGTGCCTGCTTTTTTTAAAAAATGATTAATTGATCATCTTTCCATTTTTTCCCCTTTTTTAAAAAAAAGTTACATCTCCCTTATTCCTCCCTTTAACTTCTTCCTTTCAAACATGCTTTTTCCTATAACAGATAAGTATTGTCACTAAAAACAAATTGTCATATTAGCTGTGTCTAAAAATGGGTATGTCATTTTGTTCCTCTTGTCCATTTTTGCAAAGAGGTGGAAAGCATATTAATCATCAGTCTTCTGGAGTTGTGATTGGTGGTTGCATTGATCATGATTCTTAAGTCATTTAGTTTATTTTCTGTACAGTGTTGTAGTCATAGTCTGCATGTTTTTCCTGGGTGTTCTGTCTTCATTCTGCATCAGTTCATACAAGTCCTTCCAGGCTTCTCCATATCTGGCCCTTTTATCTCATTTCATTTCTTCTAGCCAGTCTGCTGTCCTTCACATTAAGCAATTTTTTTTTCTTTGAGGTTCTGCTTGTAGTTGTGAGTCTGCTTTCATCTTCTGGATTTATCTTCTGGGCCTTTTTAACACATAGTCTGTCTTTCTTTCTTTCTTTCTTTCTTTTTCTTTCTTTCTTTCTTTCTTTCTTTCTTTCTTTCTTTCTTTCTTTCTTTTTTTAATTTTGCTAGGCAGTGGGGTTAAGTGACTTGCCCAAGGTCACATAGCTAGTAAGTGTTCTGTGTCTGAGGCCAGATTTGAACTCAGGTCCTCTATCCACTGCTCCACCTAGCTGCCCCATAGTATTTCTTTATTGAGTTTTTTTCTTTCTTTTTTTCTCATATTGTCAGCTCAATTTTGAGATTGGGATTTTGTGCTTGGATCAGTTCCCTCAGGTCCCTTGAATTGGTTGAGTAGATGTTTCTTCTGTGGTCTGGTTGTTACTGCCATTAAAGATCTAAATGGGATAGCTGATATTAGGCCCCATCCCCCCACTGCCTCAATCTCTGTCTTTTTTCTTAGCATTATATTGATCTACTTGAGGGTAAGTCTTTTTCTTAAATGATCTCTAGTCAGAATTTGGTCTCATCTCACCCAGGCCACAGGTACAGTAGCTACCTGTGGGCCCCATCCCACTGTTCTTTGGCACGAGCTTTGATCTGCTCTTTCCTTCCTTGGCTTTGTGACCCTTTTTAGGCATGCTAGTGGCCCTGTCCCCCAATCCTGAGGGCTCACCATATTAATGCCAGTCTTAGTGTAAACAGCCTGTTGCCTTATCCCGCTGCTGCTTAGTACTCCCAAGCTCAAGAGATCACCAGTTCACTCTCCCTGAGATTAGGAATTATAGGCTTGGGCCCTCAAGCTCCACTCTTCAGGCCCATTTGTGAAACCTAAAGGTTTGAGACTCCCCTAGTACCATTCTCTTTGCCTTCATTGTATATGAATCCACTTTACTGGCTTAGCTGGCTTCTGGTTCTAGATCTAGACTGGGTGAATTACTTATCTGTTTCTTTTCATTTTTCTTCATCGATGGTCTTTCTATAGAGCCCTTTTCAGATATTTGGTGAGATTTACGTGGGAGAGCTGCTCTTTTTGTGCTACCATTGTAATTGGAAGCAACCACATCAGTGTTTTTACACAAAGTTTGATGCTGAAGTGCTGGGCAGAAATTGGGAAGGTTGCTTGACTGTAGAATGGTTACAGGAAAGCCTTTTTAGAGTTGGGTAGTTCTGTGTATGTTTATAGAGGAAGGGGAGGGAATCAATGGGAGAAGATTTTGAGAGAGAAGGAACAATTCTTCAAACAAGGTACTGGAAAAAAACAGTTGGGGTACCAGGCATGTTGTATTAGAAAGGGCATTGAATTTGGAGTCATAGTTCTTGGATTGGAATCCTGACTTTTGTACCTGTGTGACTTTGGGCAAATCATTTAATTTCTGAGCCTCCAGTTCCTTTTCTGTCAAATTAGGGAGCTAATCTAGATGGCATCTAAAATTCCTTCCCATTTAGAATCCTCTGATTCTGTATATTAACAAAAGAAAGGAAAGGAAAAAAGAGATGAAGGGAGAATTTATTAAGTACAACATGCCAGGCCCTGTGCAGCACAAAAAGAAAGTCCCTGCTCTCTCACTCTTTTTTTTTTTTACCTTTCTGGTTTTGTTTTTTTTTTTAATATATTTTATTTAAAGTTTTGAGTTCCAAATTCTATCTGTCCCTTCCCTCCTTCTTCTCTGAGATGATAAGCAATCAGATATAGGTTATACGTATGAAATACATTTTCATACTAGTCATTTTGTACAAGAAGACTTGAAGAAAAGAAAAAAATGAAAGAAAGTGAAAAATAGCATACTTCAATCTGTATTCAGTCAATATCTATTCTTTCTCTGGAGGTGGATAGTATGCTTCATCATTAGTCCTTTGGGATTGTCTTGGATCATTATATTGCTGAGAATAGCTAAGTCATTCACAGTTCTGCATCAAACAGTATTGCTGTTACTGTGTACAATTTTCTTCTGGTTCTGTTCACTTCACTATGCATCAGTTCATTTAAGTCTTTCCAGATTTTTAAAAAATCATCTAGCTCATCACTTCTTATAGCACAGTAATATTCCATTACAATCATATACCACAGCTTTTTTAGCCATTCCCCATTTGATGGATATCCCTTTGATTTCCAGTTCGTATCCACCACAAGAAGAGCTGTTATAAATATTTTTGTACAAATAGGTCCTTTTCCCCTTTTTTGGGTGTCTTTGGAATAAGACTTAGCAGTGGTATTGCTGGATCAAAGAGTATGCATAGTCCCTGCTCTCTTAAAAGAGCTTATAATTTAATGGAGAAAGACAGCACACAAAGGGAGTTGAAAAGCAAGGGATTGGGATATGGGATATGGGATATGAAGGTACATGGCACAGGGTCATGTTTTTGAAGTCCAGTGGAAGTCAAGAACAGAGCCCAGGAGAGCAATGAAAGTTGTTGAGCCTAAGCACCTCCACAAAATAGATGCTCTAAGAGGAACTTGCCGAAGAGGGGCATTGGAGAGGGGTATACCATAGTGATACATAATGAATGACAGAATACATTTTCTCCTCTCACAGGATGAAAGAAAAAGAAAATGAGTAATAATACTGAAATTTTGAGGATTATAAGAAGGAAATTGAAGTAGCTTACATTGGATGACTTCAGTCTTAGGAAAATCATTTGGTTTTAAGTGGTAGGGAAGAGGGGAAAGGAACAGGTACCTAATATGTGGTACTGTTATGATCCCCATTTTATAGTTAAAGAAACTGAGCCAGACAGGTTAAGAGACTTGCCCAGGGTAAAAAAAATTTGTAGGTATCTGAGGTGAGATTTGGGCCCAGCTCTCTAACCAGTCTACCATGTAGTTGCCATGTGGTAGCAGGGGAGGAATCTAGTTGAGAGTTTGAGGTGATAAGAAAATATTAGCCATGGTAACTATGGGGAATAAAATGAGTCAGAGTGAAATAGATAACTTATAATGAAGCCTTTATAAGGATATGTATTGTAAATCTCTAAAAAACATGTTGAAAGTTTAAAAAGATTTCGGTTTCTATTTAAATTTGTTTTCTTTATTATAAACTTAAAACAACAAATATAAACATTTCAGTATACAGGGATCAGGAAAAAAGATTGTATATGTAACTGAACTTCTTTTAATATACCTTTTTTTAAAGAATATATTTGGCATGATAGGAATTTACCTGATTATCAGTCTATCCTGCCTGAATTTCCTTAACTTCTCATCTGTTTTGAAAATGTTTCATTGATACTTTTTTCTTGTTTCACTATCTACCAACTCCCTACCCTCTATTTTTTCAAAAATATATTAATTAATTTATATATTTTAAGGCTCACTCTCCCTGAGTCAAATAGGTTGGAAGTGCACAGGCTACACATAAGCCCAGTCTTACTACTGCTAAATAACATGGGAGCTTTGACCTGCCATCTCCCTCTGGACTATTTCACTTTTCCTAAAACACCCTACTACGCCATTACCCAGAGAGTATCTGTATTTAGTGGAAGATATTTGTGGCCAGGAAGTAATTCGAAGTTAAAATAGAAAAATGCTTTCAAATTTATTTCTTTTCTTTTTAATTACATTTAGTAATTAAAAATTTTTTAATGGTTTTAAATAAATAGTTTAAAACTTTTTAATAGTTTTTCAATATTTTCTCTAATTTTTGCTTTGTGGATTAGCTGTTGTGTAACTTGACTTTATTGGTGATATAAAAATAAATTAATTCTTACTCCTTGGTAATTGATGGTGTAAAAATTGTTTAGCAATCATCAGATTGTACTATAGTCTATTATTTGGTGGCATGTCATTAGTAACTCTCTCACTTGGAAGAAATTGTTGAATGATTAGTTTTCCCATAGGCACCAAACAGATCAGAACACTACTATCACGTATCATTTATCTTATTGGTTTTGGATCTTTTTATTTTCATATTTCAAGTGCAATTTACCCATATTACTATATCAACCATTTATACTTATATTTCATAAAAATATATTTAAACTTTAGTGTCACAATGAATAATTTTACCTGTCTTATTCCCTTTTTTATACATTTTCAGAGTCTAATGAATACTAATAAGGAAGAGATGCGGGAATTGGTGGCATTATTTTATTCAGTGGTGGTATCTACAATGTCAGGAAATGAGTTGAAGTCAACTATACAGCACCTTATAAAGACTACAAAGGACAATCATGTAAGTAATCAACTCTTTTCACTCTTTTTTTAGCATGTAGCGTTGTACATTCTAATCATACCACTTACTAAGTAAACTTTGAGAAATCCATATATGTACTCAATATAGTTCACCTGTCTCATAGTTTAAGGGTTTTAAAAGACAGGGGTGTGGGGTATGTGTGGGTGTGTGTGCACGTATGCATATAATATGTATGTGTATATGTGCATTTATATAAAATATACATTCATAGAATTCATAGAGCTCTAATGGACATTCGAAGTCATATAGTTCTGCTTCCTTAACTTTCCCAAAGTCAGAACTGAGATAACCAGGATTTTGAATTTGGGTCTGACTCTAGATTCTGTGCTCTTCTTTGTATCATCCCTCTATAAAATGTACCAAAAGATATTCTCAAATTGAGCTGAAGAAGTCTTCAGATAATCTGTGTGGCCATTTTGATGATGACATTGCTGAATGTTTTCATAGCTGCCAAAATAATTTTCCTGAACCACAAGTCTTAACATGGCATTCTCCTAGTCAGTAAACTTCAGTCATTCCTTATTACCCCGAGCATCAAATATAAAATCCTTTATTGTAATTCAAAGCTCTTAATAATCTGACCCCCTCTTATCTTTTCAGTCGTCTTACAATTTAATCCCTTCCATACATGCTGGTACACTTGCTTGTTCATCTTCTGTCATACTCCATTTCATTATTTGTTTCTTTTACCTTTGCTATATTTCTCTTAACTCCTGTTTTTGAACTTCAGAGTTTCTACACAGCTCTGGTCTTTTTTTATCAGGAATGCTTGAAAATCCTCTGGTTTATTAGAGGTCCATTTTTTCTGTAGAATTATGCAATTTTGCTGGGCAAATTATTCTTGGATATAAGCCCTGTATTCTTTGCCTTCATCTTTTATTCTGAGATCTCTGCCTTTTTATAGGGGTCACTGCTAAATCCTGTGTAATCCCAACTGCAGTTCCTTGGCACTTGAATTTTTTCTTTCTGACCACTTACAGTATTTTTTCTTCGACCTGGAAGCTCTGGATATTGATTACAATATAATGTTTCTGAGAGTTTTCACTTTGGAGTCTTTTTGGGAGGTGGTATTCTAAGAGATTTTTAAAAAATATTTCTTGAAATATTGTATCCGGACTTTATTTTTTTTTTTTGGTTGTAGCATTCAGTTAGAGCAGTGATGCTTACAAATTTTTCTCTTTGATCTGTTTTCTTGGTCAGTTGTTTTTGCTGTGAGATAGCTTAACGTTTTCTTATACTTTTAAAAATCTTTTGACTTTGTTTTAATTTTTCTTATTGTCTGTTTGAATCATTGGCTTTTATTTAATCTATCCTAATATTCTGGGAGTTTGTTGCTTTGACAAAGTTTTATACCTCTTGTGCCAGACTATTAATTTTCTTTCCAATTCTTCCATGATTTTCATTTCTCTACTAGTTTTTCCTTCCTTCTAACACTCTTATTTCATTTATAAAAAATATTTTTAATGTCTTTTTTTTTTTAATTCTTGCATCCTCTCTTCCAGGAATTCTAGTTGAATTTTTGCCCATGTTGTTTTCCTTGGGACCTTTGCTTTAGATGTTTTCAAGGCATTCTCTTCTGGATTTGTGGCTTTTGCATCCTTGCAGCTGTTACAGATTTTTATGTTGGGATTCTTTTTTTTTTCCAATTTTTTTCATTTTCCATCCTGTTTTCTGGTTTTGAATTTTATATTTGGTCCAGGCTCTATGTATTTCTGAGGGAAGGACCAGACGTTCCCTGGGCTGACCTGTTGCTGTTTTCTTAAGATTTTGGGTGTTGTATTTATTCTGGGCTCTTAAGGACAGCTCAGGCTGAGCACCTGCAAGCTTTCAGTGTTCCCAAAGTGATCTAGTTCAGGGCAAAGTCTGAAACTACGTTCTCTGGTCTCATCTCTACAAATTCCTGACTTGAGTTTGAATGTGAACTGTTGTTGTATGTGAGCCAGTTGTAAACTGCTGCTGGACTCAGCTGTTATCAGGCAGCTGGGAACCTCTGCTAGTTCAGTGACAGAACTGTATTCTTCCCTTGATTTGCTATTTATGCCCTTGTTATTCTTCTGTTGGCTTCAGACTGGGATAGAAGCTAAAAATGAAATTCTGCTGTGCTCCTTGGTGGTCTGAGCCACATAGCTGCTGCTTGCTTTGGGACTTTGCTCTTTCTCAATACATTTTCCAGGGCCTTCCATGACTTCCTACTGACAGTGCTACCCCTATATACAGGTCCCTTCCTCACTCTTCTTTATATCTGTGACCCAGAATTGGGTAGTGGGTGACAAAGCTGTCATGGTTCCCTAGAATGTCTCTGGGGGTGGCCTGGCATGGCTCTAGGACCTCCTATGGTGTACAGCCTTTCCCCGTGCACATGAATGCTTCTGGCCAGACCCTTTTCCCTGGGTTCGCAGGCCTCTGTCTTTCTCCTTGTGCCAACCTAGGCTGGAAAAATGACTCACTGTGACTTTTTCTTGGATTTCCCTGTCACGATTTGATCTGTGTGATTTTTTAGGTCTGTTTGGTGGAGTTTTGGTGGGGAGCTTGATGTGTTTCTTGCTACTCCACCATCTTGACTCTTCCTCCTGTTTTGTGTAGTCCAGTGTAATCCTACTAGAATTGTTAAGAATTGATCCTAATAGCTAGATGTAACTGTTGCTTTACAAAAAATCTTGTGCATTTTTTCTTAAAACAATTGAAAATCTGGTGCTTTTCATTTACCTTATCCTTTTTTTTATTAGATTGTCTTTTTATTTTGTATAGGGGTCACACATATAGAATGAACTGTTGACAATAGAGGAATTAGAATAGAATACAATATCATGCTAATCTTCCAAAATAAAATCATTTCTGTTGACCACACAAGATGTCTTAACATATTAAGTTAGGCATCCTTGGGTAGGTGACCAAATAGACGGGACAATGAACATTTCGTGTTTTTTTTTTCCATGTGTCTGTGATCTCCATATCTACCTTTTATATAGCTCACACTATTTTGTCTTGAATTTTTGTTTGAGACACTGATAAGTTTGACCTGACTTCAGCTCTCTGAGGGGACCTGTTAGGTACCTGACAATTTGACACTGAGAAAAAAAAATTTTCTACTTCATAATTGATTTAATTCTGTATTACTACTGACATTTTTGTAACTGCCTAAGTCATGTTTTATTGTCTCTGAGTTAAGTTTAAAAATTCAGTTTTTCTGTGAAATCAGTGGCCTATATGTCAACATGGAAATCTGTTATCTCTGTCCCACTTGTTGTCCTTTAAGGAAGTCTGGTCTATTATTTCTGTTCTCCAAGGAAGTCTGAATTGTTATCCATGTACCAGTAACTAACCTTGCAGGCAGACAACAACAGTCAGCAACAGGATTCAAGGAAGGATGGTTGCTAGCCCTACATACCCGATCTCCAGACAGTTATATTATTTTTTCCATATGTGATGACTATCTTTTACTCTGGATGCTCCTTTTATCTATAAAAATGATCTGTAAACCCCACCTTAGAGTCTTAGCTGTTGAGGAGGAGGCCGAGACCCTGTTTCTTGGTAAATTCAAACTTTGCTAATGAATTGATCATGCTTGGAATTGTGTGCTTCAGTTTACCTTAATTTTAATTGTGACAGTGCTGTTCCTGCTGATGTAGTTGCACATGGAATATTGTCAGAGAGTCACCATCAGCTGGTGTTAGAGAGTCTAATTCTGTAACATAAAGAAACCTCTTATTGAAATGATCCAATAATTAATCAAGCTATTTTGGAGTTCATCATGCTGGAAGGATTTATTTTATAATTATCAATTATTTTTTTAATCATGCTTGTACTTTAGGCCTGTCTAGTTAAAAGCCAGTAAAGTTAAAAATGACTATGGACATCCTTAAAACTGAAGAGTTGCCATAATGTGTATTTGTAGAATTACAATGAAATTATAAGAAAGTATGACAATGACACGCTGTCCTATTTGTCAACTTTAGAGCCCAGAAATACAGCATGGATCCTTGCTTGCTTTGGGATTCACAGTGGGACGTTATTTGGCTAAAAAGAAAACCAAAGTGGCAGAGCTGCAAGACACAGAAACTGCATTTTTGCCAGAACAAGAACAGCTCATTCAGAGTACAACTGAAACAATAGGTAATTGATACTTTTTATGCTGATTTAATTACGTTTTTATTGTTAATGTTAAATCTTCTTAAATTATATTTTCCTTTTCTTTTGTGGTGTGATACTTTTTTAAAAGTACATTGTTTTCCTAGAAAGCTGCCTTGAAGCAACAAAATTTTTATTTAAATTGAAATGTCTTTGTATCCGAAGGTCATTCTGTATTTTAGTAACTATAATACTACTCTACTTCTATCATACATGGCTACTTTTCATAATTTTTTCACACTGAGATATCCACTTGGAAGATATTATTGTTTGGAACAGTGAAACTTTTAAAAATTCACTGTAGTCCATTCCCTCTAAATATGCACTCTTTTAAAAATATGAAAACATACACATGGAATTTTATCAGACATTTGGTACATTTTTGAAAGATGCCAAATTAAAGTCAGCTTTCAAATATACCTCAATTTCATTCTGGTCACAAAGAAGACAATATAGAATATTCTCTTTATGTTCTTTTATGTGTTTTTACAGGTTCATTTTTGGACAGCACTTCTCCTCTCCTGGCAATTGCTGCTTGTACAGCCCTGGGTGAAATTGGTAGAAATGGCCCTCTCCCCATTCCCAATGAGGGACCCGGCTTTACCAAACTCCATCTTGTAGAAAGTTTACTCAACAGAATACCTTCTAGCAAAGAAACGAACAAAGCAAGTGCATTTTTAAGAATTTCCAGTTCAGTTCTATGATTTTTATTAGTCACCTACTGTATGTACTTGTAAATGTTGGAAAGACATTGCAAAAATAATAATAATAACAATAATAACTTGGGCCTGGAGTTAAATAAGAGGAGGCTGAGTTCCTTTTGGGAATTTGCAAATTGCTTTTCACGATCCTGTGATTCTCCCTGAAATAAAGGTGCTAGCGATAATACCAATATTTTTCTAGTATTACTGTATGGTTATAAGTCATAAAACAGTATACAGTTTCTGAAGAATTGAAATTGGCACCCAAAGGTCAATGAAGAGGCATGTGAGCTTACTTAGGCTGGTGTGTCACCAACAAGAAATTACAAAAAAGAAGTGGCATACAGGATGTTGTCAGAGGTATCTGACTGAAAGAGAAGGTGGCCTATTCATATGGTGTGAGCAAGTAATAAGAGATGGGAGGCTCACATGCTGCATTTGTTTCCTCATGATATTAGGAAAAGGCAAGGGAAGTCTCTAGTTTATTAGGTAGAAATTGTCCCTACTCATCCCAGCCCTCTAGAGTGAAATTTATGGGTGAAGATAGACAAGGTTGGTACAGTCATGGGTGGTTTGTGATTTATGTCATTGGAAGGAATGTTCACATGAAAGAGTTCATGATGTCATTTCAGTATTTGATAGTATAGAACAAGTTCATCAATGCAGAACAGAAAGAAATTTGAGGAGGGAAAGATTACTTTCTTCTAGAGGTATCAGGGAAAGCTTCATAGAGGAGTTGAGCCTTAAAAGGTGAAATTTCAGCAGTCAGAGATGGTGTCTGGTTTGGGGGAATGGAATCAGTCGATAAACATTTATTAAAGGCCTGCTGTGTGCCAGGCACTGTGCTGAGTGCTAGGGATACAAAAAGAGACTAAGGACAGTCCCTGTTCTCAAAGAACTCACAGTATAATGGAGGAGACAACAAGCAAACAAATATGTACAAATAAACTATGTACAGGGTAAATAGGAAATAATTAAGAGAGAGAAGGCACTAGAATTAAGAGGAATTGGGGAAGGTTTCCTGTAGGTGGTGTGGTTTTAGCTGGGATGTTAAGGAAGCCAAGGAAGTCAGTAGGTGGAGCAGAGGAGAGAGAGCATTCCAGGCTTGTTGGGCAGCCAGAGAAAATGCCCAAAGCCATATGAATCCATTCTAGTAATGGGGATGACACAAACAAAGGCAGAGTTGGGAGGAGGCAGGATGACAAAGGCTTGGGGGTGGTGAACCCCTTCACTGCCTAGTATCTATTTATGAACGCCGATTCACAACTTATGAATAGTTCACATAATCTATGGTCAAGCCATTCTGAAAAGAGGAATGGTAAGAAATTAGGTTGGATTTAGGTCAGACCCAGATTGTGAAAGAAAGGAAAGGAGATTTTACTTTATTTGGTAGGCAGAGTGGTGTAAAGGGCTGACATAATCATAATGGTGTATGAGTAAGATGACTTCATCCACATTGGAAGGACTCGTATTGCATCCTTAGTGGACTTAGAAGTAGCAAGTTCAGTTAGAAAGAAAGATTTTTCCATCATCTAGATGAGAGGGAATGATGGCCAAAATATGGAAGGATTGCAGTAAAAGTAGAGGAGAACCCAAAAGTAGACATCGCAGTGGCGAAGTCAGCAAGATTTAGCAATAAACTGGTGGGCATTGGGGGAGGGGGGAAAGTTAAAGAATCAAATTGACAAGTATATCAAGAGTGTATAAATAAGCTAAATAATTATTCTGGGGGCAGGTAGGTGGAGCAGTGAATAGAGCACCAGCCCTGGAGTCAGGAGAACCCGAGTTCAAATCCGGCCTCAGACACTTGACATTTACTTGCTGTGTGACCCTGGGCAAGTCACTTAATCCCATTGCCTAGCAGGAAAAAAAAAGAAAAAAAATTATTCTGTAGTTAAAGATAAGAACAAAAAAGCACTGGATTTATAGTCAGAAGGCCTGGGTTTGAATGTAGGCTTCTTACTTAGTAGTAGACCTTTAGACAAGTCACTTTCCTTCTTTTCTTCTTTAAAGTGAGCAATTTGGATAGCATAATCTTTAAGTCCCCCTGTAGCTTCAACTTCCTACTGATATGAATTATTTGAAAAGGAGTAAGTAAGAAATGAACTAGATGAATCTTATGCATTTGTGATGTTAATAACTGATATTTTCTACATACAACTAGTTTTACAAAACTGATTCCTGTTATCAACTTTGGCAAACCAAGTGTAGATAACATGCTTGTTGATTCATAAGGAAACTTGAGATTTATACGGAGATTTAAAAACCGGCCTAAAATTTTGTTTCTTCATATTGTTAGATTAGGCCAATTAATTTCTAGAGCCAAATTGGTTATTTTAAGAGGTCTGTGTCTCAGTTAACTGTTAGAGCACTCTTTCAAAGAAGTATTAATTTGTATTTTTAAAAAAAGTTTTAAAGAATTATTTGATTTTAAACCTGTATTCATAAAAATAAAAACATCTAAACATAAAAGTAAAAAAAATTGTAAACTGTAGGATTCAATATAATGATAATAAAAAGAGGATAAATCTGTAGTTTCAACCGTTAAACATAATGGATACTACCATATTGTAATTCACTATTAGAAGAACAATTATATAACATAATATACCTAATTGGTTTTTTTTAACTTAATTTATGATTTTAGTAGAATAAAATCTCCTACCAATGCAGACTTCCTCCCACTTTGTAGTGGTCTTCCACCCCACTGTCTATCCAGCTTTAGTTTTATAGAGTTGATGGAACTCTGAATGATTTATCTCAGGGTCACAGAGCTAATCTGTGTCAGAGGCAGGTCTTTGAAACCAGTTCTTCCTGGCACTGAGGCTGACTCACAGTCCATTACACCATGTGTAGTCTAAACATTAAATTGCTAAATTGAAATCAAAATTTTTAGTTCAGCAAACCTGGAGTAGAGGTCTCACATTTTTTCTTTTTTTCTTTAACATGTAACTAATTTTATATATTAAGTTTTAGGGATATTTTCCTTTGTATTCCAAAGCTAGTATCTCAAGCTTAGTGAAATTGGGTACTTACGGATGAACTGAGACATTTTTATAAGAGTTACGGAAACTACCGTTTTGAATCGCACTATTTAAAAATAAAACTTGTATGTGTTTTTTAAAAGAAGAAATTTTCTCCTTTTAGATGAAGGAACGAGCAGTCCAAACACTGGGCTATTTTCCAGTTGGGGATGGAAATTTTCCTCACCAGAAGCTCATTTTGCAAGGCCTCATGGATTCTGTTGAGGTAAATTTCAACTGCTACCTTGAATCATCTAAAGAAATTCTTAACCTGGGGTCAGTTATTAATGATAGATTTTAATATTACTGATTTAATTTGTCATCCTCTGTGCTTTTAAAAACATTCTTTTGAGAAGGACCTATAGGCTTCACCAGACTGAGTGGTCAGTGACAAAAAAAGGGTTAACCCCCCCCCCGAACTATTTTATTTATCACTTGATTTTTATCTTGGTAATTTTGTCCATAAGAGAATTTGATTAAATCTCTGTTACTGTCTGGTTAATCTAGTTCACTTTGCTTTTATATAAAAAAAATTCATACCTAAACTCATGTGACTTTTTTCCTTTAAAGCAATTTCATTGAATTCTCAAGTTACTAAGTGCTATTAGCTGGAGTTTAAAATGACTTACTTTTTTCCTTGCATGTTTTTCCCCTCTCATTGGCTTTATACACAGTATATTAAAAAAATACGGATTAATCTTTTGAATTTTTATAGAGGTTGAGTGTCATTTGTGTTTACTAAATGGTTTTTGGTAAAATAACTTAAGAGCTTACATAATTGTATTGTCAGCGTTCGCTTCAAATAATTCAAGTAATTATTTTGACAGTCAAATGTAACCAGTATGCCAAGAGATAATCTTTATAAGTTATTTTAAGTGATTGACTCCTGGATGGCAATTGTGTTAAGATTTTTCCAGAAAGGATTAAAATTAGTCTAATAAGTCTCTGGTATCTCTCTGCCTCCACTGATTCTCCCTACCTTTACTCTAATCAACATGAGAAAAAAAAGTGGTAAAGGAAGCAGAAATTGGCATAATTGTTGATATGATTAGATTCACAAGTCTGACTTATGACCCTCTATGATATCTCAGGTTCTGAGAAGAAATTTTTACTCTGATTCTCTTCTGAATTTAAAAATGAATGTATGCTAAGTAGGAGTTAGGCCACAATCAGGGGAAGAGTGATGTTATTTGTTCATAAAGACAGAAGGAACTGATTTGGGAAATGGGGTGAAAGGCAAACACATTGAGAAAACAAGATTTCAGCATCTTTATATCCTTGTAGGATTGTTGGTTTAGCAACTTCTGCGTTTGGGGGAAGCACTCCTTTACTCTGGGAGCTATCATGGTTATATTTTATTTCATCTTTCTTTAGGCAAAGCAAATAGAACTTCAGTTTACTGTTGGTGAAGCCATTACTAGTGCTGCAATTGGCACGAGTTCAGTGGCTGCACGTGATGCCTGGCTGGTCACCGAAGAAGAGTATGCACCACTTGCTGGTGAGCCTTTCTCAAAAGCTGCTTCTGATTCTATGGCAAAGGGTTTTCTTTCTCTGTTCACTTTGAAAGCCCAGTTGGCATGTGGATGTCAGGTTTCCATGTAAGAGGAATTGTAAGGGCCTGGGGGAACATATCCACTGAGGTAGGCACACTGAAAAATTTGATTTTAATGTGAAGACAAATTTTGTCAGTCTCTAGTTGAAATAACAGAATTAACTAACGTTTGAACTGAGTATCATTCAAATCTCACTAGCTTTTCCTTTAGATTTTCAAACATCTTCTGTGTGTGTTTGGCACTTTATCACCAATCCGGAAAGCTTTCAAAGTCCTGTGTTATAAAATAACTCCCAGCTTTAGTCTTCACTCATTTTGTGTGTCTGTTTCTAAAGGAGGAAGTCGTATAAGCAACCAGTAGAAAATCCTAGAATTGGTCGCTATGGGAAGTCTTCTGGGAAGTTTGACTTGAATCTTTGGCATGCTCCTTTGTGTTGCTAATCTATTAAGTATGTAGAGCTAAAGGAAGAACACAGGCTGTAAGGCTAGTTAGCAAGTTGCTTGTCCATTGGGGATGGGACCTGGACCAACAATGTATAGCTGTGCAAAAAAAGGGAAGAGACAGAAGTCCAGAGTTGCAACTGCAGTGCCAGAGCCCTGCCTGTCACTGCTTCATCTGCAGACATCTCTAAGGAAACAGATGTGGTGAAGATTCAGAAATTCTGTAAGTCTAAACTGAAGAAAGGGAACACAATAGAAAAACCCACTGCCTGCAAAAGAAACCTTTGGGAAAGAAAAGCAAGCAGGTGAATTGTAATGAAATAATGCTTTCCAGCATTTACTGTATACTATGTTGTGTACCTTGCCATTGGTTTGTGTAAAATTCGAAGAGGCTGGATGAAGTTTAGTGACTATGCTGGTGTCCCAATATCGCAAAAATGAAACTACTCTTTTGCTTTTCTGGTTAGTTTGGATTTAATTGCATGAAAAGTCCTTGTACAGTGATAAAAGAAGAACCTGATGGGGCTGCTAGGTGGCACAGTAGATAGAGCACCGGCCCTGGAGTCAGGAGGACCTGAGTTCAACTCCAGCCTCAGACACATAACAGGCACTAGCTGTGTGACCCTGGGCAAGTCACTTAACCCCATTGCCTGGTAAAAAAAAGAAGATGAAGAACCTGGGGAACATTATGATAAATCTAGTTAACAAAGAGTAAATAAAATACAGATTTAAACTGAGATCCTGGCAAGCTGTAAAGGCAGATAAGCATGTTTTTTATTTTTCGTTCAGATGCCTTTTATTGTAAGAATACAACTTTTAAAAATTATAAAAGTAAAGTTTTAAAAGCTGGGGGAAAAGGTAAAAAAAAAAGAAAAGGTATAGTTTGGAGAAGTCTTTTAGAAGAAGAATTAGTAGGATTTATTAGAGTTTGTGGAAACAAGTGAAGGAAGGAAATTGAAGATGATTCTAATCAGATTTTTGAATCTGATGGATTTGGAGTATTCCCAATTACAATGGAGAAAATGTCTCTTCCCCCAGTCTCCCATTTCAATTTCAAGTACCATCAGTACACAGATGTGGAAATATTATAAGCAGGATAATAGCAATTGTAGAGTGAAGGTGAGTCACCTGTGTGACCTGGGCATCATTTAACTTTTCTGGCCCTCAGTTTTCTCATGTATAAAATGAGGAGTTTGGACTAGATGGTCTGTATGATTCTTCTTCAGGTCTGTGCCCTATATTCTTAACTTCTTCTATAGATTCCACAGTGATAGATATACTTGAGGCAATTGAAACCATGAGAATGTGTGAGTTGGAGAAGTTCTTTTAGATATAAAGAGAAAAAAGGTGTCCTAGAAGCCAAAATTAGAGTACCAAGGTGGAAAGAGAAAAATGGTCAATGCTGTGAGTAGTGATGTTCCTTCTTCACACTCTTTAAAACATTGCTTTACATACAAATATCCATTTCATATCTGCCACTTAGGAAAGGGGAGGAATCAGATATTTTGTTTTAACCAGAGTATCTGTTTCCAAGTACCTTCTACATAGAACACTCTTGGCACGTAACTAAATTTCCCCTGGAAGTAATATGGTTTCCTCTTCCATCCTACATGGAAGACTGGAGTAAATGCTTTCTCTTTGTGTACTTTAAAAGAGTTTCTCATAATTGTTTTAAGAATCGATGAACTATTGTTTTGGAGGGCAGTAAGTAATCTTAATCATTTAATTAATCAACAAGGAATAATAAATCAGCAAGGAATATTCAGATTCTACCTCTGAGACCTTTGAGTTGATAGGTATGAAAGTATGTACAAATAGGAAAAAAAGCAAGGCGAGGGATACATTATCATTGGCAGAGCTAGGACTGAGTGAGAGCCAGAAGAGGTCTAAAATGAAGGGAAGTTTTTAGTTATAGACCCGAATTTCAGAGGATCAGGTAGACCAAAGTGCATTCAGGTGGAGGGGAGTTGGATTGGGTTGGACAGGGGTGGGAGAGAAGGCAGCATGGGTTAGAGAAGAGGGTTTGCTCTTTACTGGTTTGGATTTCATTTCACAGGGATTAGGAATGGATGAGGGTGTGGCAGTTTGCTAACTGACCAGAGTGGTGGTATGGAGCTCACTCAGGAAGAACCCAGTGACAGATTGTGCATCTCTCATTTGAGCATCAGTCTAACAAAGTGTGGGAAAGCCCAGCACCCCGTAAGGCCGGCCACTGTGTGGTGAATTGTTTTTAGTCATTGCTATACTTAAGAGATTAAGAGGTGCTATGAATTGCCTTGATGCAAGAGAATATGTACCTACGCCAGTGAAATCACTGATCGTTCTAAGGATCAGAGTTTACAGGGAATATGGTACCTTGAACTTCATTTTTTTTCAGGGGTAATAGAGAATAACTAAAACAGTTAAAACGCTCTTTCTGTTTTTTTTTTCTTTTTTATCTCATCTCTACAATGTTCACATTCAATAGAGGCCAAAGTGAATGATGTGGTTCCGTGGGTGTTGGACATAATTTTAAATAAGCACATTATCAGCCCTGTCCCTCATGTGAGACAGGCTGCCTGCATCTGGCTCCTTTCCCTAGTGAAGAAGCTGAGTACTCATAAAGAAATCAAGGTAAGTAGCATTATCCATCATTGTGAGCTAGAAATATGAGCCAATTTATTGAAACCCAAATGTGATATTTCCAATTTAGAGGTATATAGATGGGTCACAATGTTTTATTTTTAAAATAAAAAAGGACAAGGAGATAGAGGCTATTAATCAATCACAGTAGACTCTGTCAGAAGATGGGCTTGAAGTAGTAGTAGGGAAGGGAAAGGTCCTGGTATTTTGATAGACTTCTTGAAATTTTGAAGGTATAGTTACATTAGAAGAAGGTCATGAGGAAGAAGGATTAGGCAGAGTTAGGGATAAGAAGTTGTTTTAAAGAAAGAGAGAGAAAGAAATACAGGATAATACAATGACAAGATGAAGACTTATCTAAGTAGTGTCTTGCTCCTGCAATCTTGCACATTAGTTTAATTAGAGGTTGCTTCAAGGATGTAAGTCTAGATTGGACAGTACCAAGATATTTGGCATTGTCCTAAATCCCCAATCCTGAGAGCTAGGAATAATATTTGAATGAAGTTTTATGTACCAGCAAATAAAGTCCACTTTTTTCTTCTAGTCTCATCTCAAGGAGATTCAAAGTGCATTTGTGTCAATTCTGTCAGATAATGATGGTAAGTAGTTGGTAAACATAGGCTTTCGTTCATTCTTATTAAAGAATTATTTTGTAATTCACATTTCCCCAAATTCAAGATAAAATTTGAAAAGGAAAAGAAAATAATTTTTATCTGTATTTTAAAAAAACAAATAGATTAAAAAATCTAATACACCAATACCAAAAAAAGCTAAGTGTTATGGGAAAAAACAAATAAACTATTTTTCTATAAAACTTGCTCTTTTTAGAAGGATTAGAGAAGTTGTTTCAAAATGGTTGATTTTTAAATTGAAATTTCAGCCATCACCCTTGCACTTAAAATGGAAATTTAAACTTTGGTTCTTGTTTTTATTATTTACTTTATAATTCTAATGGCCATTGTCTTTTATTCTGCAAATGTGTTTTACAAAAAAGAGAGAGAAAAGGAGTGCATAATATTTCTCTTGACCTTTATGAATATTTTCTTTCACATATACTTTTTCATTGATTTTCCTTAAAATAATTTTTATATGGAAATATTCAGGTTTAGTTAAGCTGGATGAAAATCTGAATTTTATTTCCTTAGGATATAGAAATTTGTTTCTGGGTGTAATGATTTGGGTTTGTATGTCGTGTACATATGTCCATGTCAATGTTATCTTTAATTCTGAGCTTCCAGAGAGACTGTGTATATATATGTAGTACTCATTTAAAGTATCCTGTACAAAATCACATATACTTATCAGGCAAACAAATTTTTTTTAATGATAATCAACTCCATTATGTTGTAGTGCTATGAATTCATATATATTATTTAAATAAAATTTTAACTTTTTAACATGCATTTAATGTGTTTTGAATGTCTATAAAATAACATTGCTTTGTCCACATTTTTTGTAGAGCTCAGCCAAGATGTGCTTCAAAAGGCCTTGGTCTGGTTTATGAACTGGGCAGTGAACAAGATCAACAGGAACTGGTGTCCACACTTGTAGAAACATTGATGACTGGGAAAAGGTGAGATAAATTTGAGTGGTTCAAACCGAGTACAAAGAGGGGAGGTGTTAGCATGTATATATGCAGATACTTAGAAGGGAAATATGTTATAATATAACAAGCTCAGCATTGGACAGACCTAGGGTTCAAGTTCTTCTTTTGACACCTACTGACTGGATGGCCCTGTACTAGTCAGTCCCTAAGCAGGCAGATTTTTAAGAATGTAAGTTAGAGAGAAGGTACTCTATCTGCGTATCTGGAGGAAGGTCTGGGGAGTTATCATGCTAATAAAATTCCAGGTCTGGGATGAAAAAATGCAAAAACAATGTTCTCTGAAAGCAGAGAAATTAAACTTTTCCTTTCAGTGTATATGACATAATTTCTAAGTTACTCTTATTATGCTATCTAGAACACTTTAATTATTACCAAGTAGAAATGTGCAGTTAATATTGTTTGCTAGAGAAAAAGGCAATAGTAAAGGGATTCAGTAGCTACTGGGAAGATTTGAACATTGGATTTGAAAAATGTAGTAATTAAGCTTGGTTAGTTGAATGGGAGAGAGCAAATTAAACAGAAAATGACTCCAGAAGATGGTATCTTGCCATCTGTGTTAGAACAGTTCTGCCCCTACAGTTTGTATCAGAGTGTAAGAAAGGACAGTGATTTTGACTGTTGGTATCTGCTGTATTCTGTCTTTCTTAGGAATAAAATGTTTATTCTCAGTAGTCCACAGTTCAGTGTAGTTTTAGTAGAATCTGTTTTTAATGAGGCAAGCTTAAACATTCTGTATTTTTTTAGAGCTGATTAGTCAGATGAAAAATGGTAAATTAACGTTTATAGATCTGGTACATGGTAAGTAGTCAAAAGTATTTGCCAAAGTACAATCAAGAAACATTGGTTTGAAAAAAACTCCCATATTAATGAATAGGCTAACCAGTATTGGAGGGGGGGAATCTAAGACAGTTCTGTTTTCATTCTAGAACTAAGCATGAGGTTTCTGGTGAGACTGTGGTATTCCAGGGGGTATCCCTTGGCAAAACACCAGATGGGTAAGTCTAATAGCATAGAATTCAATCTCGTTAACTAAATATTATCACTTTTCATTGTCAATAGGTTTGTATCTGATGTTTCTTTAAAATTCACAAACATTAGCACAATGGGATACTCCTAAAGTTGTTCTATATATGCTAACTTTTATGATAGTTAAACCTCATTATTTGAGTTTCCACCATTTCTGCATTTAAAATTGTATAGTCCTCTCCCCTTCAACCTCAATCCTCTTTTAATTTATAAACAGTCTGTTGTGTTTGTGCTGCTGTTTCTCTTCTTAGAGCCCTGCTTAGCTGAAACTGCAGCCCTGCCCATGTCTCTTTCACCATTCAGCAGTTTCTTCCTTCCTACTTCCCTATGGGTAGTAATCTGCTTTGCTTAGAGCCCTGCCTCTGTTTGTGTTGCAACATCAAGAAAAACCAGGGCAAAGTTTACAGAAACTCATTCTCCATTGTTTTCCTATTCTTGAAATTTTCCTGTAGCCCAGTTGTTCTCATAGCTTACCCCAAGGCAACCTTTCCTCCTGTGCTTGATTGTTTAGTCTAATTGCTGTTTTCTCAGTAGGGCTTCCTCTCTGCTTTGTTTCTTCTTTTCCCCAGCCCTCCACTCTACTGATTCTCTCTTGAGTTGCTTTTATAATTGAATTTATAATGTATACTGTATCTGAAAGTAATATGAAAATTGCTTGCTTTGTCACTCTAGTGAGTTGAATTGACTATATTTTCCTACAGTATTGATAAATGTTTTTTTCTATAACTGAATTATTAAATTTTATTGAACTGTAATGGATTTGGGATAATAGATAAAAACCTCAATGAGTATGAGTTTCATTTTTTTAACCCAAACTCTCCATTTTTGAAAATTTAAGGAGATACACTTTTAATGAACTGTATATATAGTATTTGTAATATTAGTGACATAAGTAGATTTTTGCAAAATAATAAATTAGGAGAAATAGATTATTGCTTTTTTTTTTCCCCAAGCCAGGGACTGTCTACCTATAAAGAGCTTTGTTCTCTGGCAAGTGATCTTAGTCAACCAGATCTTGTCTATAAATTCATGAATTTAGCCAACCATCATGCCATGTGGAACTCTAGGAAGGTAAGCTGCTGCTCTTTACAATAAAGCAGTTTTTATTTTCTTCTAAGATCAATCTGCTACATTGACAGTTAAGGTGCTGTTAATTTCCTAAGAGATATTTTACTAGAATGCTATTTGTCACCTTTAGATACTGTTCAGTTCAGGAAAAGCTGTTCAGGAAAAGACACTAGTTCCAGGCTACTCTTATTTGAAAGTTTGGTGGATATAAGATCTTGGGGGTGTATTTACAGTGACCTGTCTTTTCTGATAAAAAATGTTTGTGATTCACTTTAGCATATATTTTTCTTTTTTGTGTGTCTTTTTTAGGGAGCTGCTTTTGGTTTTAATGTGATTGCTACTAAAGCAGGTGAACAGCTGGCTCCTTTCCTGCCTCAACTGGTCCCTCGTCTTTATCGCTATCAGTTTGATCCAAATCTTGGAATACGTCAAGCTATGACAAGTATTTGGAATGCACTGGTCGTTGACAAATCTGTGGCAAGTATTTATGTACTAGTTCCTGTACTAGTCAGATGTTCTAGGTCCCTTATTTCCTCAGCATAATATGTTAGATTAATCCATTGACCCAAGAAACATTCCTTAAAAGAGGTAGGAGAATAATTAAAGGATAATAAAGATGAGGAGTATGCCATGTGAGAAGCAGTCTGGTTTAAGGTTAAGAGACTCTAGAGTTGGATTCAGGGCACTTGGATTGGAATTCTATCTCTGTTACCATTGGCCATTCATATTACCTCCCTAAGCCTCAATTTCCCTGTTTGTAAAATAGGGTTACTAGTACTTGTCTCCATTTCACAGGATTACTTTGAGGAGAGTACTTTGTAAGCCCTAAAGTACTCCCTAAATATGTACACTTTGCTCATTCCTTGTCTTAACTCTTTTTGACTCTTGAGTGCAGCTGGCAATCTTCTGTTCCAGTATTGAAAATCATTTGATTATAATTCCTCTAAGATTTATAATTTTAAATTATCATTGAAAGGATCTTTGCAGTCCTTGCCCTTATGTATTAAAGAAACACAACTGTACAAAATTACAGAAAAGAAATGTCCTGTTTAACTAATACAGTCTATTGTGCTACTCAAAAGCACTAAAAAAATCCAACTCAAAAAACCTTCAGGTCTTTTTACATAAAACAGATCAGAGATTATATCCTGTGTTAGATTATTTGACTATCCAGCTAGTTAAAAATTTTATTAGATGTTTAGGGCCTAAAGATGCACAGTTTTAAATTTGAAGCTTAGGATACTGAATGCCAACTTTCTGTAACAAACGTAAAGAAAAGTAAATGATAGCAGGTATGTTGCTCAATTTTAAGTGATATCTGACCTTCAGTTTCTTTACTAATTTAGAACAGCACGAAATGAAAAATCTTCCATACAACAATAGCATGTTCCTATTTTTTTATAAGTTAGGAAGTTACAGTGCTATGACTTTTTGTTCATGGGATGGTGTTTAATTCAAGTGGATTATGGACAATAAATGCTGTGTAGTAGAGGTGTGGACACTTTTATTGAGGGTCACAGAGGGAAACAATCATTTCAGGTATAGTTAAAGATGTTTATAAGTTAAAAAATACTATTTTGACACTTTGGATCTCTAACTACATAGATATAGGGTATTCCCTGCACATGGGGAAAGTAGCCCATATGATTCTTTTGAATTTTAAAGTATTTTTTCCTTATTTCATATTTAGTAGCAGCAAAAACCAAATGGGAGAATAAAAAAGTTCATAATTGAAACTTCACACTTTCTTATACTATGTTACTATTTATATTATAGTAACAAAAATATTTTTTGGCTTCTGTGACCTACCCTGAACTCTTTCTCTGTTAATTATTTTTGTGGATTTTGAGACCATTACAATTCTTTTATATATTGTTGTCTTCAGTATGTATATTTCAATTCTGTTCTTCTTTCTACATCATTTAGCATATTAAATAATCATTCATTTTTCTACTGGGAACTTCCTGTTCCTGTCTTTTAAATAATTATTTATTAGATATTAGCCTTTTCTGTTTGCATCAGTTCCTTATGAATTACAGGTGGCAGACTTGTAAGAAATATTTGTGACAAATTTATGCCTGGCATGGGGTAAGCATTTATAAATGCTTGTTGAATTTAATGGTAGTACTCTAGATTCATTGAAATTATTATATCATCATCTCCATTAAAAGGATATTTGGAGAGCCTTACTATCAATCAGTAATCATTTTTCTTTTCACCTTTAGTGTTTCCTTGATATTAATGAAAACCTCCTGTGATCATTTATCTCTCTGTTTTTCATCTCCTTTAGTGGCCCTAATCAGTGAAATGTTTTTAAAAGTTAACTTTCTATGTATGTATACATGGCAGACACCAGACTTAAAGGAAAAGTGATATGAAACATAGCTGTGGTTAGTCTTATTCCCCTAGAAATAATTTAGGGCAGACACCAAAACTGATGAACCATAAATCTACCGCAGTGTGGGAGAAGGCCGAGGCAGGTGTGCATTCTAGTCTTTTATGTTACCAGTCTTTAAATGAGGGAGAGTAATCAGAAAGTGAGTGACAAGGAAGTATAAGAAAAAGGGTTAAAACAGCAAATAGTTCAAGAGGAAGAAAATGCAGTAAAAATAAATCAGTAGAGAGGATACTAAAACTAGAAGGATTAGTTCACTAAACCCTCAACAGGCATTATAAAACTAAGGGAACTAATACCTAATGAAACAAAGAATACTGTGGAATTGTGAGAGAACAAGAAATTCCTAAATAGTTCAAAAGAGAAATGAAATCCATAAGAAGAGATATTTGAAATGAATATGTGTCAGAAGTTAAAGTTCTTAATATAGTTTTTAAAATACTCAAGAGATTAGACAAAAAAGAATCTGAAATGGAGAGTTTCTGCAAAGAAGCAAGAAAGAATTTAACAAATTTGCAATACAAAATACTTGAGTGGAAAGAATTCTGGCGAAAGAGAAGCAAAAGGCAGTAATATTTTTAAAAAAAACCAAACCTCTATGCAAGCCAAAGCGATTGCCCTTGAACACAGGATGCACAGAGACAACTTTAGAGATCATAGGCCTCCCAGAAAAATGTGACAGATAGAAGTCCTAAAGGAAGCACTATAGTTCAGACTCTGAGATATATAATGGTTAAATTAACAATTCTAATGACAAAGAATGTAAATGTAAAGGAAGGTAAATTTGAATAATACACAATAAGTCTCTACCTGCTAGTTGTGCAAGGCAATGGAATAAGCAAAGAAGCTCAAACTACAACCAAAAATGATATACCTTGCAAACCTGAACTAGTCATCAAAAAAGATGTACATTCAACAGAGGAGAGATACTTGCAGAATTAAAAATAAAAAGACATGAACAGAATATTCACTATGCAAACATCTAAAACATAAACAAAGAAGAAGGTAAATAAGTATAATTACTGAAGAAACAATAAAGCATGAAATAAATTACTCCATGTAGAGAGGTTACTTAAAGGGGAAACAAAACCTGACCTTCAAGATGAAAAAAGTACACAAGGAAATAAATCTGTAAATAGTATTTAAAAGGAAAAGAGAAGTGAAGGTTGAAGAACAGAACTGGAGTACCATGGAATTAAACCCGGAAACCTCCTTAGAGATAATACAAGTTATTTAGTGTGACAAGATTGCAGAGTAGGTGGGTGCGTAAAAGGGAAGAACTTAGTAGATAATAAACACCTTTCAAGTGTACGGGTGAACTAAAACAAAAGCTTTAGTCTCTATACAAAGAAGGGCTGCAGAAACATGGAAGAGATGGCAGAGGTAGAAGTATTAAAATCGGTGTGATGAGGGAAAGGGGGTCTCTTTGAAAAATATTCTCATGGCGAAGTGATCTATGCCTGTGATGGGACGTAGGGATTTCGTGTTGGTTTAACTTGGGGGAAGTTGGTTCATTGGAAGACCTCGTCTCTCAGAGAGGGTCGTGCCTTTTTGGACAACATTCCAGGCCCAAGAGAAGAGGGAGTAAGACATGTGAGTTCCTAAGGGCAGCTGGTACTCAGACTAGTAGGAAGGTTCGTAGTCGTAGATATAAGTTGTCACAGCCAATAAGAACAGAACAGTCATGAGGAGAATATGATGTGTTGTAGTTTGGACACAGGATTATTTCTACCATAGACACTACATCCATCCATATTGCTTTCTTCACAAATTGATATTTCTAAGAGTGATAAAGGACAGAAAAACTTCCAACATGGGACAAGATCTATATAAAAAAAATTATAGAAATTGGTTAAAAATTGAGCTTAAATCAGATACTTGAGAAACTAATTCCATAAGGAACACAAAGAAATTAACAAAGAAATAATTAAGGATGTAGACTCTTAATCAGAAAGTAAAATGTCCAGTTTGACAGGAATGGAAGAGAATTAATCAAGAATATAAAAGAAATTCTTATAAAAAGATGCAAGGTGGAAAAACTAACAAAAGAAGCAGGGAAGGAAAGAGGAGTAAATATTCTGAACTTGTGATGTAACTGGGTTGCAAGTGGGGAGGGGAGGAAAAGATAGACAAAAAAAAATAGTCATCTAAATAAAACCTTTCAACTAGGGAAAGAGCTGACAAACAGAACTGGAATCTGAGGGAGGTGGCAGAAGAGTCTGTGAGAATAGAATTGCCTCAAAGTAGTTTAATCAAAATTAGACGTAAGGACAAAGTAATAACTAAAAGGGATTTTTAAAAAATAACTTTCAGAAAAGCAGTCCTAGAGATGAAAATTCAGGAAACCTTAAACCTAACTCTCATAACTTTAAATGTGGGCTAAACAAGCCAATAAAATGAAAGAAAGAATGACAGAATGGATAAGAAAATTCATGAACTACTACTTACAAGAAACATCGAAAAAGCAAAGATATACGTCGATTCAAAATGAGAGATTCCAACAGAATTTACGAGAAAAGTGAATGAAAAAAGCAGGTGGAACCCTAGGTATTCCAGTATCAATATATACCAATATATAATCAAGTATATGTCAAATATCATAAGATCTAAATTAGAAAATTAAATCACAAAAAGATATAGTAACACAATAATACTAAGACCTCAACATTCTTCTTTTAGTGCTGGGCAAATTTAACAGAAAGATAAATAAAAGGGAAACTAGAGACCTCAACAAACTATCAGAATTTAGGGCTAAAAGATTTATGGAATCTTTTGAATTTATTTACTAGAAATGTATATACAATCTTTCAGTGCAGTGTGGCTGTTTTATGAAACTAGACCATGTTTCAAGAATTAGGAATGTTGCAAATAAATGTAAAAAATCAGAAACGCTAAGTATGTTCTTTCTAGACCATATCACAATAAAAGTAGTACTCAGTCCACAAAGCAAGATCAAAAACAGACCTAATTAAAACTTAACAATGAAATTTTAATAGTGAATGGGTTAAATATCAGATCATAGAAACAATAACAAATAATAAACAATAACATCATTTTAATAAGATAAGAAAGAATTTAAAGGCATTATGATAATCAAAAATTAGATAAAATTATTCCTATTAGCTGAAGATTTTTTAATTTACTTAGATAATACTAAGGGATAAGTAGAAGAGCTAATTGATACAGTTGCTGTAATAGCTTCAATAAAATTTTAAACTCTAAAGTAAACCTGTAAAAATAAACAGCATTTTAACAATAACAACAAAATATTAGAGGGAACAATAGAAAGGAAAATCTCATAAAGAATAACTACAAAATGCATAAAATATCTGGAAGTCAATCTATCAAAAAATAGCAAAAAACTTCCATAACCAGAAAAATAATTAAGTCTTCATGGCCAGGCCAATATAATAAAAATTACAATACTGCCAGAGTTAATCCCATAACCAGTTAGATTACTAAAGGAATAAAGACTATACAAGAGTAAGTAAATTCATTTGGAGTAACAAACGATCTAGAAAAATAAAAGGAAATAATTTTAAAAATAGGAATGCAAGGGGATGTGGGGAGAGAAGCATTCCTAGATCTCAAGCTATATTATAAAGCAGTAATCAACAAAACCATTTGATGCTGGTTAAAAAATAGATGAATTAGTGGAACAGACTAGACAAAGAAGAATTAGAAGTTAAGTTGATAAACCAATGTTTAATAAACTTGAAAATATCAGTTACTTAGGAAGAACTCATTATGTGACAAGAATTATCGGCAAAACTGGAAATTAGCCTAGTATTACAATAAATTTAAAATGCCTTGACTTGAAATATAATTTAAAGGAAAAGTAGATCATTACCTTTTATAGCTATGAGAGGAGAGGAAATTCTTAAATATGGAGCAATTGGAAAAGAAATCTGATTACAGGAAAGTAAAAAGTCTTTGAACAAAATTAAAGAAATTAGGATAAGGAGGGGAACAGTCAAATGAGATAAAATCTTTGTTATCAAATATTTATAACAGTGCCTGTGTCCGATATTCAAGCTGGATCAATAACTCACAAATATTTTATTACCAAAAACCATTTTCTAGTAGAGTGTTGATAACTACATGAAATAATGTTCCAACAAACAAATAATAAAAGAGATAGAAATAAAAACAACAGTTGAATTTTACCATATACCCAACAATTGTCAAAGATGACAAAATATGAGAATAGTCATTGCTGGAGAGGTTATGAAAAGACAAGCACATTAGCATGTTGTTAGTAGAGCTGTGAATTGGTCCAACCATCCTGAAAAGCAGTTTACATCCATCCACATACTAGCTATTATTATTGTTGTTGTTCTCCCTAAGAATAGATAGTATTGTCCCTAAGGATAAATATCACAGTAGACTGTGAGATGCTTTACTGAAGTGTATAATACTGTGTGTAAAGCACTCCTCTGATATACAAACTAGTTACCCTGTCAAAAAAATAAAATTGGGTTGGCCTGTCTATTTTTGATGAAGCTATATTGACTCTTTTTTTTTTCCCCTTGCTTGGCAGTGGGGTTAAGTGACCTGCCTAGGGTCACACAGCTAGTAAGTGTTATGTGTCTGATGCTGGATTTGAACTCAAGTCCTCCTGAATCCAGAGCCGGTGCTCTATCCACTGCGTCATGTATTGATTCTTATAATCACTTTATTTTTCTGAATGTTCACTAGCGATCTCTTTGATATGATATGTTCTAGAGTTTTGTCGGGAACTGAAGTCAGTTTTACTGGCCTAGAGAATTTAAGTTCCCCTCTCTTCTCTCTTTTTGAAAATGAGTACATTTGCAATTGTCCCATCCTATGGCAGTGATCCCATTTTCCCTGATCTTTTAGCAATCACTGACAGTAGTTCTGTAATCACAACTGACACTTTTCATGGCCCTGGGATGTGTTTTGTCTGGAACTGCTGACTTAAATTCATTAAATTAAAATTCATTTAAACTTAGGACTTCAAATTAAATATATATCTTTTGTCATCTTCTCACTTATGTTGGGTTTCAGCTCTTAGCTGCTTTTACTCTGTCCTTCGTGAATATCATTCTCATTGATAGAGATAACAAAAGCAAACTAGGAGTTGAATAATTTTGGGGTTTTTTCCCACTCTTATTAGCCTGTTCATTCTGAGCAACTGTTTTGTTCTTAGGTCCTATGCCTCCAGCAGAGTTTTTTTTAAAAACAACAATTTTTTGTTCCCTTTGCAGTCATTACATCTTCATTTCCCTCCGATCTCTGGTATATATGATTCTTTTCATAAGCCTGTATCACTCATTTGAGTTTGTATTGTCACCCACCTTTGCTTTCATCTTTATGCTGGTTCTTTAAAAAAAAAATCTGAGTTGGTTGATAAGTTCCCAGTGTCTCCACATTTGAGTCTAGACAGCACCCCCTTTCTTCTCATGATATAATTTGTATTCGTGTCAGAATTTCATTCTTAAGAAATTCTTTTCCACCTTGGGTCAACTTGCCCTGTAGGATTTTATCAGCTGTTTTTGTTGTTCTTCAGGTGTTTCAGTCATGTCTGACTCTTCATGACCCTGTTTGGGGTTTACTTGGCAGAAATACTGAAGTGGTTTGCCCTTTCCTTCTCCAGCTCATTTTACAGATGAGGAAACTGAGGCAAACAGGGTTAAGTGACTTGCCCAGTGTCACACAGCTAGTAAGTGTATGAGACCGGATTTGAACTCAGGAAGATGAGTCTTTCTGAGTTTAGCCTAGCCCTCTATCCACTTCAGCACCTAGCTGCCCTGTCATTGGCTGTAAGTCTATCCAACAGACAGTTTATATGATTTCTTATAATCTAGGATACATGTCAATAACATAGTAATGATGCTTGGCAACATAGAAAGAAGGTAGAAATTTTAATAGTATTTGCTATTGTCTCACTTTCGTCTTTAACTTTTTTTTTCTGTCAGGTGGATAAATATTTGAAAGAAATTCTTCAAGATCTAATTAATAGCCTGACTAGCAATATGTGGCGAATTCGAGAATCCAGGTATTATGTTTTAAAATAAGATTTGTTATAGACAATTCAGAAAATTTTGAACCTGTTGTAATAAAGGAATAAAATTAGAATAAAATATATAATTCCATCTATTTGGCTGAGACAGTTAGGAGATAACTTTTTCCTAAAAGTCATGTATCATTTATGTGAAGGTAATGGATCAAAAAATTATGAGTTTTTTCTTCACCTAAAAACTGGATTATGCCTAAGATCTACAGTTGGAGAGCTAATGTGCTTGGTTTTCTATGCAGGCATGAATATAAGTTAATTGTCATCATTCATGACATTTTAGGTTAGTCTAGACCAGGGGTGTAAGTAGGGAAAATAGATAATGTATCCCTTTTCAGAATGGGGAGATTTTGTCATTGTTTTCCTGTGTAGTCTAATAAAGTTGCTTATCTATTTGGATTACATATTTGAATCTTTGTTTGCAGCTGTTTAGCTTTGAATGACTTACTAAGAGGAAGAGCGTTAGATGATATCATTGATAAACTTCCAGAAATATGGGAAACACTCTTTAGAGTACAAGATGATATTAAGGTACTTGGGTTTATATTAAAATACACTTAAATTGGTTTCACAGAGAATTTCAAACTTAAAAAATGTAAGATCATTGTCATTTAAGAAATAGGTACTCTATTGCACACATTGTGGGGGAGGAGGGAGGGGAGGGAAGCAGAGAAAGTTAAAAACTCAAAAGCTTTTGGAAGTGAATGTTGAAAATTAAAAATTAATTAATTTTAAAATTAAAAAAATGAAATAGGTACTATGGTGGAAATGTGTGTTTTCTAATATTGTGGTGTGCCTTTTATGGAGTAGTCAGTTTTGTAATTTCCCAAGACCGTTGCTGCTCTGTATTCTTTGAAACCTATCAGTGCTACAAATATGTTCTTTAATCTTACAAATTTAGTCACTATGCACATTAAGTCAATTTAGATGAGATCCTATGTAATATGATTGACAGTGTCATAGGGTTGAATCATGAGATATATGCAGAATACATTGAAATAAATTCCAAAGTAACACTATTATGATAAGTTCCATAATTAGATCAGTTCCATCCATATGCCTTTGATAAGATGCATGAATCATAGATATTATGAGCTGCTCTAGAAAGTAGAACTTCCAGGTTTGCCTGTAATATAAAACTTTGTCAGTATAACAAATATATTGATTATCTAGTGTGTACATTTCCGGATTAAAAGTTAAGAGTCTCTGCTTTATAAAAATACAGAAGGAATATTCAATCTGTTTGTGATTAGAGAGATAAAATAGTGTAAATTAACTCTAATACAAAGCAGAGGGCAACTAGGTAGCACAGTGGTTAGAACATCAACCCTGGAGTCAGAAGGACCTGAGTTTAAATCCAGCCTCAGCTGTATCTTGAAGTGGCAAATCACTCGCGTATCTTTGCCAAGAAAACCTCAAATGAGGTTACGTAGAGTCGAACGTGACTGAAAAGACTCAACAATACAAAGCAGAATGTTATAGCCATGAGAAGAGAACAGACAGAATGCTTTGGGGGTTTCAAAGGAATAGAAAGTATATCTAATTGTCCAGAATAAGATTCTTGGAGAAAGAGGCCTTTGGGCTTTTGTTTAAAGGATATGGAGGGTTTTGACAAGGTAAGGGAAATCTGAAGTTGTAGAAACAGTATTATCAATCACATGGAAATGGGAAGGAATGGGTTCTGTGTGTTTTGAGGGAGTAATGAAAAGAGCATAGACTTGCATTACAGGGGAGTTGCAGGATATAAGGCTGAAGAAATGGATTTGGGCCCTGTTCAGCATTGGACCTTGAATGCCAGCCTGAGAAATTAGGACTTTATTGTTTAGATAATAGAGAGCTATTGAAGTTTTTTTGAACAGAGCAGTGAAACCAGAGCTGGGCAAGAGTGTGTTGAGACTTGTGACATGAAGGCAAGCTAGGAAGCTGTTGAAATATACGTAAGAGGTAATGAGGGCCTGAATTGAGGTTGATAACAGTGGTGATTTTAAAGCAAAGAAGGATGTAATATTGTAGACGTAGAACCTGTAGGACTTGAAAATCAATTAGATGAGAGAAGCAAGGGAAATGAAGGAGTCATAGATTTTAGAATTCAAGCCTCGGTGACTAGAACAATAAAGTAAGCAAGGGAAACATGATGACTTAAGTTTTAAACATGTTGAGTTTGAAATGTTAGCATGATGTTGAAGGGGGCTTGTCAGGCAGGGAGTTAGCAGGACTGATCTTAGGAAAGAGGTAGCTTGAGCTGATTTAGAACTATTCCCACCTAGTAGTTGAAGCCATGACATTGCTTGAGATGGTTAAAGGAAAGCAGCACCACGAAGGCACTTTGGAAATCGGAACAAGGAAAGCCTGTGAGGCTCTTTGCCAGAGTGGTGCATAGGGTGGCAGAAACTGAGGGGAGAGCCAACCCACAGGCACTAATTCAGTCCCTGCTGTGTGCCAAGTGTCCCAGTAGGAGGAAGAGAATTTGTTTTGAATGAGGATTGAAAATGAAAGGTGAGAGAGGGCAAATAAGAGTTCAACAATTATCTTAGTAATTCAAAGGATGGAGTATTGAGTGATGGTGAGTAAGTAAAGGTTGCAATTATAGACTATACTTTGAATCAGTTTGGCAATGAAAAGAAAGAAGGAGAAATTATATTTCAAAGGGTGTATCTGGTTAAAGAGAAAGGCTGTTGTTTTTTTTTTAGGGTAGAGGAGACAGGAATAAAATCAGAGGCAGGCAGCAGCCTATGTGGTGTAGATAGAAGAAAGTGGTGGTTGTTAATGGTGAAAAATCCCAAAGGAGGCAGAAGTTATGACAGTAATCTTGAATCAAATTGGAGGATTAAACCTTGGCAAGGAGGAAGGAAATTCTTTCTCAGGGACAGAAGTGAAGGAAGTAGGATAATATAGAGAGGTTTTTGAGGTGAGTGGAGAAGTGGAAATAAAAGCATCACGTGACCTTAATTTTCACATTAAAATAGGATGAAGCAATCTATAGATTGGAGGTGGGTGTGGTGTTGTATTAGGGTTCATTGGATTGAGAGGAAAGTGGAAAAGGTCTGAAATAACTAATGTGAGAAATTCAATAAGTTATTTGATGAACTAGTTGCATAAATATGTTCATGCTCATTTTATAGTACATTTAATTTCATTTTTTTAATTAAAAACAGATAAACTGTATTTAATGATGTAAAAATTTGAGTTTGTAATGCATTTTCTGAAACATACTAGAAACAAAAGTCTGTGACTTTCCTCTCATAGTGGTTCTGTATAAGCACTATTTCTTCTTCTTAGTGAAAATTTGAATTTGCACAAACCTTAATTTGGGGAGAGATATATACGTTACAGTATTAGGTCCAAATAAGCATTCCTCAGCTAACTCATACCTGATGTTAACCTTTTCTGTTTTAGGAATCTGTACGAAAAGCAGCAGAACTAGCCTTGAAAACTTTAAGCAAGGTGAAAACTCTTTAACTTATTGATATGTTTGGGTATACGTGTAGTAGAGAAAAATAAGCATTTTTTTTGTCTCAAATGACTATTTTGTTGTAAAGCTGTTACTTTGATTTTTTAAAAATATTTATCAGTGATTTAATTATGAGAGAGGTGTTAACAACATTCAAATACAGATATTCATCTAACAGCACCTGAAGTCTAATAATCCATAGTTAAAAGATCAATTGTTTTACCGTAGGATAAATAAGTTTTCTTGGTACATTTAAATTAAGTTTAAAATTAGGTATTTACTCAGCTATGAAGAATACATTTCTTACTTAAATCAAGGAGCAGCTATCTCTTTGTCATTTCTTAATGACATTTAGACCTAAAACTGTCCATCATGTTATCTCATATTTGAAACAAGTACAATAATCCCTAACTCTAATTTATGCTTGCTTTTCTTAAGAGAAATTAGTCATTACAGGACATACTTTAAAAAGCATTTCTTAATGTGGCCTGTTTTAATGAAGGTATTAAACTTTCTTAGTATATATATATGTCCCTTGAAGTCTATGGAACATCAAGTTAGTTTGACTCTGTTTTAATTTGATTCTACATTTTTTTTGGAAATACTTGTTTTAAAGGCTTTTATAACCTATGTTGTACTTACATATATTTTGTGCTTTTTTCAAATATAAGACGTGTTTTTAAGTCCACCAGTCTGTTTATCATTCTTCATGTTGTACATATCAGTCACATCAGCAATCTTTGCTTTTGTTGCTGCTTCCTTGACAGTAATCTGTTTGGAATAGAAAAACCAATGAGTTTGTTAGAAGTTCTGGCATTTTTAATATTTTTCTTCTGAAAAGAGGAAATTTTAAGTAGTCACTATAAAACTAACCTTTAGAATAATAAAGGAACAGAAATGAACATAGCATGTTCATGAGCATGTTCGGGCTCTTTCCTGGCACTCATATATACAATCTAGTTTTCAGCCTTCTCTTACATAATTTTTACCTACCAGACTCTCAATAAAGCCTTGATTGTAATTTTGTCAGGGTATAGTCATATCAGGTGCATTTTTAACTTTTATTATCAAAATATTAGAAATATGGCATAAATGAATAAATATTTCTAGGCAGTATTAGCTTGCATTTTGACTTAACATATCCTTTGAGATAATTTTACAGCTGATATATCAGTTTTTTCTCTGTGTAGTTTAGATAACAAAAGAAATAAAATCAGCATTTCTTGTTTTGGTTTACTGTTCGCTGTTATGGGTAAGCTATTGACTGATTATAAGGTTGAATGACTTAATTCAAGTGAGCTGTTTTGTTTTTCTTTTAAATGGAAGATTATTTATGTTTTTAAAGTAGGTCAACTGATTTGGCCCTCAGTTATTAATTATGGTGGTTTGTCAGATGAGTGCTGTTAGATAAGAATCTGAAGTCCCTTTCACTGATTTCTGTTCTATTTATATGTGAGGTTTGTGTGAAAATGTGTGACCCCTCCAAAGGAACAGCTGGCCAAAGAACCATTGCTGTCCTTTTGCCCTGCCTTCTTGACAAAGGAATGATGAGCACTGTGACTGAAGTTCGAGCCCTCAGGTTTGTTCTCTTTTACAAAACAAATATATTTAATCTGTGTGCCTGGTACATTGACATGACAGAAGATAGAACTCATATTAAATTTGTGAATGACTTGTATACTTTCTTAGATAAATTAATCAAGCAGCAAGCATTTATTCAGCACCTACTATGTACTGTACTCTGTACTAGGTGCTGGAGATACAAATATGAACAATAAAACAATCCCTGCTCTCAAGGAGCTTACGTTTTGTTAGGTACCTATCGTTAAAACATTGGATAATGAAGTTGGGATAGTTTTTAGAAGTGAACCAAGAGAATTTGAGAAAAGACATAGAGCAGAATTGACATTCATACACAGCCCTGTATCCTTCTACATTAGTGTATACATATCTTTATGAATATGGATAGGAATTGAATCTGTGATTTTATTGGTATATAGAACATCTGTCTGAAGAAACTTTTTACCAATGACTTTCAGCACCTTTTTTGCAACTTAGTCTTAAAGAGTTACCTTGTGCACTGAGAGGGTGAGTGACTTGCCTAGGGTCACACATCCAGGGTGAGTCAGAGGTGGGTCTTATATATGTTGTTAGCAGATATAGGGAAAGGAAATATTCTTCCTAATGTTTTCTAGGAAACAAAATGTTTTTAATTCCCAAATCTGACAGATAAAGCAAAACAAAAGGAAGTTTGATCAGATATCTTTAATAAATATGTAAAACATTAGAGTATTGACAGTATAAAATACTTTAAAATTAATAATTATAATCAAGTATGAACTATACCAGGAATGCAAGAATTGTTTAATTTAAGAAAAAATTAATGTCTTAATGATTTGGGTTTAAGTTTGGCCTGTCACTTATTAGCTGTATAATAATGGACAGATCACTTCTCTGATCTTCAGTTTTCTCATCTGTAAAATGGGGACACCTCTTCTGTCTACTTCACAGATTTATTTTGAGCCATAATCAAGATAATTTGTGAAAAAGTCCTTTTTAAACCTTTAAAGCATTATGTAAATAAATGTCTGTTGTATATATTTTTGTTACTCATACTACTACTACTATTACCACTACCACCACTACTGTTATTTGGAGAATAGATAGTGGAATATCAGCATAATGGAATATTATTTCATAAAAGTTACAAATATGAAAAATACAATGGAATTTGAAAAAATTAATGAAGCAGAATTAGCATAATATACACAAAAAATATGGCCGTGTTGAAAAATATCAAAATCTTTTAAAAATGTAATGGTCATGGGAGACACAAGAATCAAGACATTATTTTCTTTAAGTTAATATGAATTGTTTTAAAAACAAACTCTTAGCTTGTTTCTTTAACAAGCTGCATATGATTTTTGGGTGTTATCTTTTAATTATGGCTATTTATAATTAAAATGATTTCTAAAAGCAACAAATGTAATGTACACAGAAGAAAAAAGATCTGAGAATACAAAATTCTATAGAAAATTATTGCTTTATGTTAAAGTCAGTATAGGTACATATATATGTGTATAATGTAGTTTTATTCAATAAATAATTTGGAGCTAACAGTTTTGCATAAAATTATATAATGAAAATGAGAGCAAAATAAACTGGGAAATATCTTCACTTTTTTATGGAATTCTGTACTTTTGTTAAAGAGGATTCAGTAATAGTCTAAGGCCTTTCTTGATTTTTAGCATTATATTAATAGCATTCTCTCTCTGTTCCAGCATTAACACCCTTGTGAAGATCAGCAAAAGTGCTGGTGCCATGTTGAAACCACATGCCCCCAAACTCATCCCAGCTTTGTTGGAATCCCTAAGTGTACTGGAGCCACAGGTTCTTAATTATTTGAGCCTCCGGGCCACAGACCAGGAAAAGGTAAGTTTGAAAGCACAGTTTTATTTTTCAAAGTTACATATAAAGAATTTTTCTTGTTAGTTCAACTCATCTAGATGCTGGAAAAAAATTAAAAATTGGTCATTAAAGGTACTAAAAGTGGTTTTTGAGCACATCAGAAGATTAGAGACTAGAGAAGGAAGTTATAATGGGGATAAAAATCATGGGTGATTTTTTCTGTCTCTCAGTAAAATGTGACTTTTAATCCATGCCAGTTTCAACAGAATATACTTAGAGAAATTGTGTCTTCTTTTTTTCAGTTGTGTCTGACACTTTGTGACTCCATTTGGGGTTTTCTTTGTAAAGATACTGGAGTGGTTTGCTATTTTCTACTCCAGCTCATTTGACAGAGGAGTTAAGTGACTTGCCCCAGGTCACACAGCTAGTAAGTGTCTGAGGCCAGATTTAAACTTAGAAAGATGAGTCTTCTTGACTCTAGGCCCAGCACTATATATGCTATCCCACCTACCTACAGGTGGAACAGTATAAAAGGATTAATAATAACTAAAGTCATAGTTTACATATATACAGTGCTTTACTGTTTACAAAGCACGTATCTCATGATAACCTTATATGGTGAGGCTATTGAGATTATGAGGAAGTATAGTAAGTACTTCTCTCCAATGACAGAAATATTGATCATTAAAGAAAGAAAGTACTAGCTATAACTGGCCTTGGATATTTGGACCAACCATTATACACATTACTTTAGATTTTAGAAGTGAGGAAGAACTAAATGTCTTAAATAGTTTCTATGTTTTAACTATATAAGTATTTATATCTTAAAAAATATATAGGTAGATATATGTATATACATACATACATACATATTTGAAGGTTGCCACAATTCATGGTACCTTAAATATGAATTCAGGAAACAAAGTAAATATTAATCCCATTACTTTCTCCCAGTGGTAAAACAGGTAAGGTTCACAGAGGAAGAATCCCAGTAAAGTGTTAAAAGAACTTACTTTCATAGCCTAAACAAATTTTCAAAGGTTTTGGGCAAGTTGCCAACTTTGTACTGTTTTTAAAAACCCTAAATATATAAGGAAATAAAGATACCAATTGAAGTATAAAAATTAGTAGAAGTAATAATGACATTTGGGGATGGCTAGAGAAGGGAAAGACCAAAATAATCATTGTTTATAAATCTGAAAAATAAAAAGTATTAAATATGAAGCATTGTTTTACAAAGTATATTCCATTTGTTATTTTTATTGTTATAGCAACCCCATAAAGCATTTTGAGTGGGGGAAAAAAATATTAAAACTGCATAATTCACTATAATTTTGTCTTTATCATACCGACAACAGATTGTTTACCAAAGTGTCCATTAAAGTTAGTGTCACTATACAGATTTAAGAGTCTCTAGATGGTGACCTCCTTAGGACAGTTTGTTGAACTGATGGGCATGAGACTGATAAACTGTATATGTGTTTAAATGTGGGGGTATCAGTTTAAAGGTCAAACTGGGTAGCATGTATCTGAGTATGTGGAAAATACTAGAAAGTAAAGCTTTCAGAATTTCACCTTAGAGGAATAATTCTACTATGCAGACAGGGTATTGTTGACTTTATTTATGTCGAAACTAATCTGTTGCTTAGCTTTTTGTTTCCAATTTTTTTTTCCATTATGAGAATGTGGAAGCTTTTGCCATGTTGTTATCTTAATCTCCTAGTGAATAAAATGTTATTCCTTATGAAATTGAACCTAACATACCAAGCATATTAGGTTTAAGGGGATTTGAAACCATATCATATGATAAATAATCATGGTCAAGACAACTGAAGATGTTTAACCTAGTGAAGAGAAGACAACTTGATAGCTATTTTCAAATATCTGAAAGGCTGTCATGTGGCAAAAGGATTAGACCTATTTTTTATTGTATTAAAGAGGAAGAATAGGACCATTGAGCGGCAGTTATCAGAAAGGAGAAATAAGAAAGAATTTACAGCTTCATTCATCTGGCAGGGTATTAGAGACCTTCCTCTAGTATAACATAATGTATCTAATTATAGGTAAGTTGGTAAAGCAAATATTTTTTTTACAGATGAAGAAATTGAAGCATAGAGAGGTTATAGTTTGTCCAGGTTTTTGGAGCTAGGCTTAGAACCAAAGTTTCTTCATACGATTTTCAAAATGAATTATTAATTTTTCTCTTAGTGGGAGCAAAGTAAGATAGAATAGACCTGTGTTTCTTTTCTCTAATACATATCATTTAAAAGTATTCTTTAAAGGTGGGGAGAGATAGAAGGGAGGGCAGATTAGGGGAAGGGGTATTCAGAATGTATGCCATCTTGGGGTGGGGGAAGGGATGAGTTGGGGAGAAATTTTGGAACTCAGAATCTTGTGGAAGTGAATGTTGAAAACTAAAAATAAATTAATTTTTAAAATATTCTTTGCAACTCACTATTTAACAAAAATTGCTGGGAAAACTGGAAAATAGTATGACAGAAACTAGGCATAGACCAGCATCTTATACCATATACCAAGATAAAGTCAAAATGGGTACCTGATTTAGATATAAAGGCTGATATTCTAAGCAAATTAGGAGAGCAAGGAATAGTTTACCCGTCAAAGGATATGAACTGGCAATTTTCAAATGAAGAAATTAAAGCTATGTATAATCATATGAAAAAATTCTCTAAATCATTATTGATTAGAGAAATACAAATCAGAACAACTCTTAGGTACCACATCATACCTATCAGATTGGCAAACATGACAAAACAGAAAAAGGATCAATATTGGAGAAGATGTAGGAAAATTACAATTTGGAACTGTGCCCAAGGGCTATAAAAATGTGCATATCCTTTAACCCAGCAATACCACTTCTAGGTCTGTATTCTGAAAAGATTATACAGATGGGAAAAGGACCCACAAAAATATTTATAACAGCTCTTTTTTGTGGTGGCAAAGTATTGGAAGTTGAGGGGATGCCCATCAGTTGGGGAATGGCTGAACCAGTTGTGGTATATGAATGTAATGGAATACTATTGTGCTATAAGAAATGATGAGCTAGTGGACTTCAGAAAAACCTAGAAAGGCTTGTATGGAGTGACGCTAAGTGAAGTGAGACAAACCAGGAGAACACTGTGCACAGTAACAGCAACGTTGTGCAATGACCAACTTTGATAGATTTAGCTGTTCTCAGCAATGCAAGGATCTAAGACATCTCCAAAAGACTCATGATGGAAAATACTGTCCACATCCAGAGAATGAGTCTTGATGAAAATGAGTCTATGGAGTCTGGATGCAGATCGAAGCATACTATTTGAATAGCTCTTTTTTTGTTGTCTTTGTTGTTGTTGTCTCTTCTTTTTCATGGTTTCTCCCATTGGTTCTGATTCTTCTTTACAACATGAATAATGTGAAAATATGTTTAATACGAATGTATATGTAGAGCCTATGTCAGATTGCATGCCATCTTGGGGAAGGGAGGGAGGGAGGGGGAGAAGATTTAGAACTCAAAATCTTAGGGAAGTGAATGTTGAAAACTAAAAATAAATAAAGGAAAGAAAAAGCTAAAAAAAAAGGTGGGGGGGAAGTATTCTTTAGCCAGGATTGAAAATGAGGCAGTGTTTCCTTTTTAAAAGTTTGGGAATTTTTACCATTTGGTTTCTGTGTATGAACTTCTTCTTAGGTTGTACTTTAAATGAACTCTACAGAGAAATCTTTCTAAGCACTCCGGAGTAATTTCAATATTTTTTTTCTTTCAGGCTGCAATGGATAGTGCTAGACTTAGTGCTGCTAAATCCTCTCCCATGATGGAAACAATCAACATGGTAAGTATCTAAATGGAAATGGAACTATTTCAGATTGTATGTTGCTCCTTTAGGCAAAAAGAAAATCTATTTTTCAGGTGTCACTAACAAGCTAAAACTATGTCTTCATAGTAACTCTCTCACAAGGAAGAAACTTTGTCCTTAAGGAAGAAACACAAGAAATTAAGGAATGAATGTTGCGTAGTGATTCTCAGGCTTGTTCATAGTATGGGCCCTCCTTAACCTCATATAACCCCTTCCAGACACTAAAAATAATATCTCAGAATTTTATTTTATTCAAAAGAGGTGAGTGGTAACAATGTTCTTTTACTTTTGCCGGCTTCAAAAAGAGATCAGATTATACTTCCTTACTAATAAACTACTTATCTAATTGGGGCTAATTGAAAAGGGAAAAGAGGCACAAGTAGGGAGTGGTGGGTAGGAGTCAAGGTAAATATTGGAGGTGAGGTACTCATTAGTGTGGTTAGGAAAAGAGAGGGGTGAAACTGATGTTGCTGATTTGTTCACAGGAAGGAGGTTATGCTTAGAGCTGTGAGGATTTGAAATTGGTTTCCATAATGACCATGCAAGTCCCCTTCCAGCCCTGGTGTGAGAAAGTATTTAAAAGTCTAGACTGTTCATCCTTATATGTGGTTATCTGAGAACATTCTTGAGCTATTGGAAATGGTGCCCTTAATTCAGCTTGCTTTTTTTTAATATTTATGTACTTTTCATTGAGTCACACAGGGTTGGGCAAATGAAGCAATTTAACAGTTGAGTAGGAGTGTCTCCTGTGTTCAGAGCCTTGTCCTTAGGGGGAGGAAAACAAAAGAGATAGAAGACACAGTCATGGCCTTTAAGGAGTTTATAACCTAGTTAGGATACAAAGAACATATTTTTTTAAAATAAAAATATATGCAAGTATTAAAAAATTTTAGAATATGTATGCTTAGGGGACTTTGAGCAGAAGAATGCTTATGTAACTGGGATGGGGTAGTCAGGAAAGGCATTCTGAAGGAGGTGAGTGTTAAGCCATATCTTGAGGTGTGCATTGGATAAGAATTGATTTGGAAGAGGAGTAGAAAGTTATGGTAGAGCTACTTTGTTCATGATTAGTTTTTGGTAATATCTTTGCTAAGCTGCTGTCTTCCACTGATTTGTAGAAACACTGACCAAGCCACTACAGAGAGAGTACAGTTCACTTATCTTTCTGTAGTTGGTGTTTTGAAATCAGACTATATGATAAATGAAAACCTGGACTCTTCCAAATTAATATAAACTCTATGGTCATGTAATTTGCACAGTGTTTTCTTACATCTCTGTGCCTGACTTGCCTTTCTCCTAAAGGTTACCTTTGCATTTTTTCTTTTTTGTTAGTGCCTGCAATACCTAGATGTGTCTGTCTTGGGCGAGCTAGTTCCTAGATTGTGTGAATTGATCAAAAGTGGTGTAGGTCTTGGTACTAAGGTAAGTGTATTTTACCTAAAGGGAGAAAAAAACCTCAATAAATTCATCAAATTTTTTTGAGTGCTAGTCATTGATGGAAATACAAAGATGAATAGGACGTGGCCTCAGCTTGTTTTTCTTCATTTAATCTACAAAAATGTAGCCATCTACCTTGCAATATATGTGCATCTATAATATCTGTATGCTACTTTGTGTTTTTAAATGTTCAGTATTGTTACTCGACATTCATTTTTTTTCCTTCAGGGCTGCACTAATAACTCATTTTTTAAAATTCTTATATTGTGCAACTTGGATATTCAGTGGAATTGTTAATGCAGAGCACATCAGTGAAATCGTTTTTAGTTGCCATGTATGTACCTTTTGAGTGATCCAATCAGTATAAGTTGATGATTAAAGGTTTAGAGTAGCTAGTTTCTTATTGTTAACTTAGTGCATCCTCCTCTTTAAATGATTATAGCCAAAACAAGGGATTTGTTATTTTTTAAATGGAGAAAAGTGGTCATGAAATTTAGATATGTTTTTCTCTGTAACCTTGTAGGGAGGATGTGCCAATGTAATTGTGTCATTAACTACTCAGTGTCCTCAGGACTTAACACCTTACTCTGGTAAGTTTTTAAGAAGTGTTTTTTTTTCTTCCTTCCTTAATCTTGTGTGCATATGGTAATGACTTGTGTAATAACTGTTTTTTTAAATATTAAATTGGATCTGTCAGTGACTGATAGTTGCCAAGGTTTCTTCTTTTTTTCCCTTTCTCATTTTGATTAATCACTACCTAAGTAACTTTAGGCTCAGTGACTTCTGTAGTTTTCTAAGTCCCCATTTTGTGAGTGATGCCTAGTTATTTCCTGAGAGAATCAAAACATGTTGTACTGTATCCCTCCTTTGACAATTAATCACTGTCCATTGATTTATAGAAACATACCAGGACAGTAACAGGAAAAAACTCTCAATGTAAATTATCAAGCATGTAGAGAGAGAGTAATAGAATTTTAAAATAAAAATGTGTAATAAGTGAAAACCATGGAGTCTTCCAGATTAATATGTTATATATATATATATATATATATATATATATATATATATATATGTAATTGGTATGATTGTTATTTTGTTAAAGCTGTGGATCTGACCTGACTTTTCTGTCCTATAATTGATTACAAATCAGAATCTTCCTTCCCCAGAGGATTCCTGGATGAGTGAATGGGCTTCATTTACCAAAGCTTCATTTTATTACCTATCCAGTTTTCACTTGTTTATTAAAGCTTCTTTCCTAATTAACTTTGCTGGCACTTTCTATTATGATTCAGTTTAATTGAACAAGTATTTATTGAACAAGTTAATTTATTAATTAAAAAGCATCTACTATCTCCCAGATTCTTTTACCAGTTGCTTCGTCTTATTAAATAGAAAACAACTAAAGAATAGCCAGGGTCCTTTCTAATGGAATAGTCTCAATTCCTGCATAGTAAATATATGAGTTTTCATGTATTTATTATGGGTTATTAATTATTAGGGTTTTATAAGGAAAAATGCTGGTCATAGTGTGGCACAATTTATTCTGTGCTAAATGTCAAAGCAGTTGGCTAAAAGCCTTAAATTCTCTTCTGCCTTTTGCCAATAGGGAAACTCATGAGTGCGTTGCTCAGTGGTTTGACAGACCGGAATAACGTGGTACAGAAGTCCTTTGCGTTTGCCATGGGACATTTAGTTCGAGTAAGTGGCTGGTGTCTCATTTAATTAAGTAAAAAAAGAGAATTAGTTGAGCTTTTAAAATTACTTGAATTCTTTCCTTTTCAGACTTCACGGGATAGTAGCACTGAGAAACTGCTACAAAAGCTTAACAGCTGGTACATGGAAAAAGAAGGTACTCTCAACTTTGACATCAGCAGCTCGATTTAGGTTTTTTGTTTATTTTGCCAAATTCTGTCTGTGTGTCCCCTTCTCTTTAGAACCAATCTACAAGAGCTCGTGCGCTTTGACCATTCATGCCATTGGGCGCTACAGCCCTGACGTGCTCAAGAGCCATGCTAAGGAGGTGTTGCCGCTGGCATTCCTGGGCATGCATGAGGCAGCCAGTGAGGACAAGGGAGAGAAGGATGAAGCCACTCTGTGGACTGAAGTGTGGCAGGAAAATGTGCCAGGTCTGTAGCCCTATATCCCTTCCTTCCTCCCTTTGGAACTGAAACTAGAACTTTAATTAATCATAGGATTATTACCTTCCTATGTACCCCCTGACCAAGCCTATTTAGCTCAATCCTTGTATGCTTTAGATCAGTGGTTAGTGAATGTATCATTTGGATCTCTAAATGCCTTCTATTAAGCATGAATATATGAAACAGCTTTAGCAAGTGTCTATATGCTCATTTTAGGTGTTGAACTTTTGTCTCTTTTTTATAAAAAATTTTGTCATATAAGGTTGCATAATAGTCTAAAGGGTCAGATCACTTTTAAGAAAATTACTTGGCTGAATGCATAATTTATTCCTTCATAATTGTATTAATTTTGCTTTCATTAATGTAGGTTCCTTTGGTGGCATTCGATTATACTTGCAGGAGTTGATTGTTATTACCCAGAAAGCTTTGCAGTCCCCCTCTTGGAAAATGAAAGCCCAGGGTGCAGCTGCCATGGCATCTATTGCAAAGCAAACAAGTTCTCTGGTACCACCGTATCTGGGAATGATAATGAGTGCTTTATTGCAGGGGTTGGCTGGAAGAACATGGGCAGGAAAGGTAAAAATCATTCATGTCAAGTTGATTTTAAAAGTATCTAATTCTTGACAATAGACACTTATCTTGGCTTCAAGTATTGGTATAAGAATAAATTAAATTAAATTGGTATAAGAATATATTAAATTCTCTATGTTCTGCCCAATCAGTTACCAAGCATTTATTATGTGCCTGCTATGTGCTAGGCACTATGCTAGTTATTAGGATACAGGTACAAAGAATGAAGCAGCTCCTGCTTGTGAAGAGCTTACATTCATGTGTATATTTCAAAGTTTGAATACCACTCAGCTGGAAATAGTATTGCTTTTCTATGTTAGATTTTGCATATGTCTGAAGGTAGGTTGAGCTAGTCAGTCTTTTACTACTTCACCCACATCTTGATTAAATGTAACGTATTTCATATATATTGGAAGTTAAAGCTTGGAGCAGTATGGTCATTACGCAGTGTTCGTATATCTCAATCTGGCTGAGAAACCAGAACTGAGTTCAGTAGGGTTTTCCCTAGCAGGAGATGATGAACACCCACATTAGACTAAACAGCTGACCATTGATGGTACATAATTAGGTGCTTGCAGGCCTAGAGTTAAGTTAAAATGTTGACTTTTTTGTAAATGGGCTGTATAACATCATAGTTGACAGGAAGAGTCATTGGAAATAGTGAAACTTTAAAAACCCTGCAGTGTGATAGAATGCAGAATATTTTGTCTGTTGTAAATGGAAACTAAATGATCCTGAGATTGCTAATGGAATCATTATTTGGAGAAGGCAAGTGACGTGTGTGGACCTGATAAATAATTTTTTCATAAAGAAGTGTTTTCTCTCTTTTTTTTAAATCCCCTAGGAAGAACTGTTAAAAGCCATTGCTTGTGTTGTAGTAGCCTGTAGGTAAGCATTCCTTTAATGAATATATCATTTGCTGATTTCAACTGAAAGTCAAAACTTCTAATAATCGATAATTTTTTTTAACATATCCTATAGTGCCGAGCTGGAAAAGTCAGTGCCTAATCAGCCCAGTATAAATGAGATTGTTCAGACTGTTTTGAAGGAGTGTCGCAAAGACAACATCAAATACAAAATAGTAGCTGTTAGATGTATAGCTGATATACTCAATGCCACTAAAGAAGATAGATTCCAGGAACTGTCTGACATTGTTGTTCCAATGATTAAAAAGGTAATGATTGCTAGCCTAAAGCTGTGTTTTCACAGTGATATGTTTTGTTATTTTAGTTACAAAAAAAGAAAAGGGGGGACATGTTTTCTGTTCTTTTATGATCTTTTTTCTTTGTAAGCAACCTTTACCATGAAAGCACATCTGAGAGAAGCTAGCTTCAGTAGTGCAGAACAGGAATCTGGCAACTAGTTGTTTCACTGCTGACTGCAGCACTGGCTGTGTATGCCTGTTCATTTGGATCTTTCCACATTTCTGTAATCATCATATTTGTCATTTCTTACGGCACAGTAATATTCCATTACATTTTTGTATGCTGAGCTTGATGAAGCCAGGACCCTCATTCATTAAGCAGTGTACATGACCCTGTGCCAACTAGTAGTCAGAGAATCTTGGCTGAATGATAAGCTGTATGATTTAATTAGTTTTTATAAAATGCATGGGATTTTTGATAATTGAGTATTAGAAGTTTTCAATGTTAAGAGTCATTAAGTACAAGATATAACAGTGTTAAGCACAGAAGCATTAAATGGCTTACTTAAAAGTGACATGGTAATGAGTTTAGCAACTAAATCACTGGCTCCTAGTCTAGTGCTGTTGTCACTAGACAACTAGTTGAATTTTTTTTTCTTTTTTAATAGAAATTTTTTTATAGCTTTTGTTGGTACATTGCCTAAATTTCTCCCCATCTCCTTCCCCCTCCCAGAAAGCTATCCTCTATAATAATATTTTTAAAGGAAAAATAGAGAAAGAATCAGTATGTCAAAAAAAAGTCTGAAATATATGCAATATTCTTTAACCTTAGATTTACCTCTGCAAAGGAATTGAAGGAAGTTATTTCTCTCTGTTCTTCGGGGCCATGATTGTTCTTTATAATTCCACAACATTCACTTTGTGTTGTTTTGTGGTGTTTGTTCTTCCCATTTGCATTGTTATAGTCATATATATTGTTTTCTTGGTGCCAGTTAATTCATTCTGCATCAGTTCATGTAGGTCTTTCCATACTTCTCTGTAGTCATCATATTTGTCACTTCTTACGGCACATACCGTTACATTTTTGTATCACAATGTGTTTAGTTGTTGGGCATCTACTTTATTTCCATTTCTTTGCTACCAGAAAAGTACTACTGTAAATATTTTGGTCTCTGTGGGGACTTTCTTCTAATCAGTGACCTCCTTGAGGTATATGCCTGCTAATGGAAACTCTGGGTCAAGGATATGGACATTTTAGTCACTTTATTTGAATAATTCCAAATTGTTTTCCAGAATGGTTCTGGAATGGTTCTCAGTTCCACCAACAATGCATTAGTGGGCCTGTATTTCCATAACTCCTCCAACATTGACTTCCTACAAAGGATGAAATTTTTTCATCTTTCTTTTTCTTTAATGTGTCCTAGAATTCTCATGAAAGTGTTGGTGCCCGGACATCAAAAAATGAAGAGGATGATAATGAAAAGGAAAAGGAGCTTCAGATGGAATCTCTGCTTTGTGCCTTTGAGAGCATAGGCAAAGCTTGGCCTAGAAATGTGGAGACTCAGTGTAAGCACATCAGTGACTTTAAAATTTAAGGAAGGAATTTATTAAGAGAGTGCTTCTGGGACAGCTCTTGACTAAAAGTGAACAATTTCTTTTTGATGTGATTGTTAGCTTCTTGTCTGGTCGATTATTTTAGAAATAGTCAAAGATGACACATTATTTGATTCTGCAGACCTGTGAATATTTTCATCAACCTCTTTGTGACAACAACTAATGTTATTGACATATAGCCATTTTTCATTGTAATGATGTATGCAGATGAATCTATAAACCATATGGAATCTTCAGCCACTGCAATATCCAGAAGACTCCAGATATGAATGCTTAAGAACATTTAAGTCACTAGTGTATAAAATCTAGTTTGAACTAAAAAAGGTTAAGGAAGGAAAAGGTTGGTCAAGTTAGTTTAAAAGTTAACATTTGTGGTAGTCTCTATGGAACAATTAATAAATTTATGTTGAAGAAATGTATTTGGGAAATAGGCACAATAATACTTGACTGAAGTTTTCTGGAAAATACTGAGAAATTTCCAGGAAATACTAATTTAAGTTTAAGGACTCAATTTGTACTTTTTCTTAGGTTGCTATCGTCAGGAGTTGTGCAAGCTAATGTGTGAACGACTGAAACTCAGCACATGGAAAGTACAACTGGGTGTTCTGAGGTCGATGAATGCCTATTTTCAGGGGTAATTCACTTTATGCTTCAAAGGTTTCTTATTTTTCTAATGGCATGATTATGTATATCCAGTAGTGTCCTGGTTTTTTGCCATGATATCAGCTAAAAATGACGTAAAGTGATGGATTAAAATACTACATTTTAGTCTAAAAGATGTATTGGAATGATTTCTTTTGCTTAATAGAACATCCTTATCCTATTTTATTTAGGTTAATGATTTTAGAAAAGGAGCATGCAGATTCTGAGGCTTTGACTGAAATACTGCTTGAGACTTGTTCATCAATCACACATTCTTTAGGTAAGCTTGCTCAGATTGGTTGCTATCTTGGCTAGTTTTGCTGAACTGTTTTTAATTGTTTTGTTTTTTAAATTAGACAAGGGATAGCTCTGGATAAAGTAAGAGGGGAAAACATATTCGGAAATAAAAGTGATATGAAAATAAAAGCACAATTAAATTGATCAAATTTAATTTAAGACCAAACATTTATTCTCTGACTCTTGCATTGGATTTACAGAAAGTCTATTCAGAACATGAGTCTCTTGAGGATTAGAGATATAATAATCAAAAAGGAGAAGAAAATTGAGTCTTCAAATTCCAGTGAATTAGATTTGAATTCCTAGAAAGATCCTAGGAATTTGCTATTCAAAGGATGATTTGTATTAAAAATTCAAATTGAAAGATTTAGAGCTAGTCACATTCCCCTACCCTTGATGGGGTTGCATTTTGCAATTAAGAAAATGGAGACCCAGGTAAAATTTAATAGAAGTATGGTTTTTGGACAGAAGACTGGGAGTTAAGGAATTTGGCTTCTCTAAGATTTTTCCATGGTTCAGTCATCTCTGTATCCCCCAACAAGTCATAAACTCTATATTCTTAATTTCTACTATTCTGATAGAGTATGTTTCAGTTGTTTTTCAGCCATATTTGACTCATTGTGACCCCATTTGGAGTTTTCTTGGCAAAGATACTGGAGTAGTTTGCCATTTCCTTCTCCCACTCATTTTACAGATGAGGAAACTGAAGCACAGTGAAGTGACTTACCCAAGTTCAAAGCTGTTAGGTGTCTGAAGCCAAATTTAGACTCAGTAAGAGTCTTCCTGACTCCAGGCCCAGTGCTCTCTCTATCAGCTGCACCACCTAGCTGCTCTGAGTGTCTTAGAGATGTTTTTAATAGGTATATAATGATGAACATGGAAAGCAAGAAAATTGTGGCATGCTGATAAAAATATTAGATTTGAGAGAGAGGACATGGATTTAAACCCTAGCTCACTATTTATTTGGTTTCTCTTAACCTCTAACCGTGGTTTTCATCTAGAAAAACAAAGGAGTTGGACTAGATGGTCTTTAAGGTCTCTCTTTCCATCTCTAAATTGTTTTAATCCTAGTAATACTTCTATCTCCTTAAAATTAGCTGAGTGGTAGAAATCCTTGTTAGCACTTCTGTCTTCTTCCTTAAGGAGTGTTCTATAAGACATGAATTTGTGTGATGCATATATTTTTGGTGTTAGTACACAAAGCAATATTCGGTTCATTTTGCTGCAGGAGCTCAGAACATTGTTTACATTGGAGGAGGCATTCTGTTTAGGTGAATACAAAAGATAATAATTTTACACATCATTTCCTTCTTAGAAAATAAAAGCTACACATCCATAAGAACAGAAGCTTTGTCTGTGTTAGAGTTGCTGCTTCAAAAACTTGAAGGTGAGTATTTCACCTGACTATTGAGAATTATCCTAACTTTCTTATCTTCTGGTCCAAACCAGGTTTTGTGTCCTACTTCTGTAACTGTACATCTGGGTGAGAAACCTAAGGACCTTAGTAATTTGCAGTGTGTAAGCAAAGATTATGTAATGCTGATTTCTAACCTTTAATTATCAGCAGGGTTTTGTTATCAAATAACTTTTCCATATGACTTTTTTACTTCTTTGGTTACAATTCTTTTGAGAAGTTTTATGGGTTGGTTTTTTTTTTTCAGGTAGTATTTAAAGATTACAGCAAGCTACTTTTTTCAGTATGACAATTTGATTTCTGTTATTTACGGTATTGGTGACTATGGCAGCAGCCTAGAGAAGAGAATTCAATGTTTAAGCTACCAGAGCAGTAGATTGAGAGATTAAATAGAAATAAATCTATGAATCTGATGTAAAGCTTATTCTTTACAAGTTTTTATCTGTTTTTAATGCATGTTGAAGTTGGTGTTTTAGAATCTCTCAGAAGATTTATCTAAACAGCCTCTTTTGGTAATAATAAAGGGAGAACTGCCAAAGTTTTATTAAAGGCCCATTTCCCCTTACCCCATGTTATCTATGAAGTGGAATAACTTCCTATTTATGTCTCACTTTCATAAGTAAGGTCCTGGGTATCTGTTGCTTGTTTTTCCATTATTTGCTACAGTATTACAAAGTTTATTTTTAGAAACACTTAAAGTTAAAGACTTTGATTTTACAAACCTTAAAGAATTATGTAAATGTTAGTCGTCATTACTGGAGAACCTAATTTTTAGAACTGATTGGTGTTTATGTATGGATATAAATTTGATTTTTTTCCCCCTTCATTTAAAAAAGTTGAGAGTCCCTTTTTACACTGATTCTAATCATTAGGATTCTTTAAAATAGTTGGTGTTCATAGTTCTACAACAGGATGTGGAATAATTTTGTATAGGGATTTAATGCATAGGGAGTAACATTCTGTTATTTTTATGTCTCTCTTACAAAGATATGGTATATCCTTTTAGAATAAAGTTGTATTTATACTATAGGATTATGCCCTAGTATTTTCCACTTAAGCTTTTCAAACTTTGTGGTTTAAACACTTCACATTCTTTAGTGTGACTAACAGGACTAACACTCAGCTTATTGACTTATTATATCAGATTGTTCTTACATGTATCTGTAATGATAGAATTTGGTCATTGGTATATTCAAACACATTTAATTAGTTGCTCTGGCCAGAGGGTTGTATTTTTTCAACTCGCAACTTTTCTCATTCTTATTTTTTTAATAAACTAGACTCTAATATTTTTCCTTTCAAATGATTTGTTTATAGAGTCTAAACAATGGGAAAGTTTGACACCTGAATGCAGAGTACTACTCATTGAGTCATTAACTACCATGGAGACTGACAGCAGACCTGAGCTGCAGGAGAAAGCATCATCATTGAAGAAAACACTTGAAAATCTGGAGTAAATTAAGAGAAACAATTCTCCTTCCCTCCATTAACCAAGTGCCATGTAAAACAAAAATTGAAAGAAAAAATTCAGTGTTTTCTGAAAACCAAGTGGGGAAAGTAAAGGTTAATCTGTAGCATGCATCATTCCTTGGCCGAAATAAAAAAAAATGCCTTAAATTCTGTTCCCCATTAGCTTTATTTTATTGTGGTGTTTAAGCAACTTGACTGAATGTGGTTATCGGTAACCTCAGATTTGAAAAGAAGTAGTTGAAGAAATCTGTTAGTAAATACTGATGAAAGGACTCTTAAATGGCTAAAGTCTATAGGGTTTAAAAAAAAAAGGATATTCCTTTTAGGATTAGTTAAGCATTGGTCTGATCAGCCACAGTCAGACACACTGCAGCTTGACTCTAACAGTGATGTCATTTTGGTCCTCTTTGAGAATGAAGGACAACAGTCACTCAACCAACCACTTAAGCATGTAGGTGGATTTGCTGTAGAAAATTGTAATTCTAGGGGCAGTTAGGTGAGCAGCAGATAGAGCACCAGGCCTGGATTCAGGAGGACCTGAGTTCAAATGCAGCCTCAGACACTTGCCACTTACTAGCTGTGTGACCCTGGGCAAGTCACTTAACCCCATTGTCTAGCCAAAAGAAAGAAAGTTGTAATTCTCATGCAGCAAGACAAACTGTAATGTTAAAGAATTACTGAACATAGAAAGGTTGAAGACTGCATATCATTGGAAAAAGGGGAGGGAACCTGGTTGTTTGGTATGTTTTTTGAGGGGATAAGAAATTTTTGGTGGCTTTTACATTTTAAGTCACTATTAAAGATGGGAGAATTTATTCTCCATGCTATCTTTCTCTGTTTATCATACCATTTTCTCAGGCGTGTGAGGTTGAGTGATATTTCATTACACATCTAACTGGATATTTGGTGAAAAACCAAGCTGCCAGCTTTGAGAGTTTCCTTAATAGATTTTACATTTCAACATCATCCACCCCTCTGGTGAAAGACTGAATTTATGTGAATTGATTCAGGAATGAATGGTGGGTAGGGATAGCACTTAATTAGCCAGATGAGAAACGTTTTATTATTACATATTAACACTTCTTGGAAGCATTTGGCCGTGGCATTTCAGTGGCTGCAACATGTACTCTATTTCCATCCCCATTAATGAAACAACTCACAATTTTTCTACGAATATTTTTCAAATCATGATTGAATTTTATATAATAGTGATATAAATTTCCATGTTCATAGCCCTATATAGCCGTGCTCTTATTTAGAAAAATGGTAATAATTTCGACTTCAATGTTTTTTTTGTTTTGTTTTTCCTGAAAGCAAACTGATTTATAGCTCATAGATTTTAGAGGGAAAAATTACAGCAAAGCTCCCCATCTGGGCAGAAATTCCATTCTTATTGTCTTTAATATTCCATGTGGACAGAATACTAAAACCTATCTTCAGCAACTGACACCTCTTTGGTCTATTCTTGAGTTGAAAAGGAGAGATTTATAAAACGAAGACTAAATCAAGTAGGTACTTTATACCAGAAAGTGATAGCTTGTTGTGGATGCTGAAATACAAACATTTTTTTCCCCCAGCAATGTCATAGTTCTGAATTTTAAGGTGACTGATTTTTTTTTTAAATGCCTAGCTGTCTCCTCGTTTGAGAAATCAGTGTCTGTGGCTTTCTTTCATGAGAGTGAGGATCACATCTTTTTTAGTACACTTTACCTTCACTTAGACTGTTTTTGGGGACCACTCTATTTACTCCTCTACCCTATGATATTAAGCGCCCTCTTTCCATTACATTAAATGTGCTTTCAGCATACTCTAGCTTGCATTGTTGCTGGGAAGAGGAATGACTGTAGGCTGGGTCCAGTTGATAGAATCTTAGAGAACAAGTGTATTTAAGCCTAAACAATGAGTCTCTTTGCACATTTTAGGTGGATAAGCATCACCAAGTTTTATACATCACAAGCGTAGCATTTAACATGGGAAATTCCCTTGGTGCTGAGAGCTGGTGCTAACACACTTGAACGGCTTAGTGATAGCTTGCTGTTTGTTTACATTTTTTTGGCTTACTAAGCACACTTCTAATTTTTACACCTAATGCCTTCATTTCCTGTAGTAGCCAAATCATTTGCACAACATAATACTATGTCTCCCCTCCCAGAAATAATGAAAAATTTTCATTCACCTTCTGTGTGTGTATATATGGACAGAGTGTATGTGGAGTTGGGTATGTATGTATATTTGTATGTATGACTGTATGTTTCTAAAGGGACCAGTGTTAAGGAGAAAGCTTGGTTTTGTTGTGAGATTTTGACCCAGGTGAACAAAACTGGCAATAGATGGAGTACAGACTGGTCGGCACCTCCCTAGGGATAGTCTGTGGTTCTGATTGGATAACATCTGATCAAATTGTAAGAGTCGGTCCTTTTTTGCTGTTATGTTACAGTGCACTAAAGAAAAAAGTGTACATTTCTGTAAATGTGAAAAGAAAGGATCTGCACCCTTGCCTCTGTCTAGAACAATTGGAAACAGGGACAGTGAAACAGTTTCAAACTTTTTTTGATGACAAAGAGCAATATGAAATTTTCTAACTTTTAAATTATTTTATTTAGCCTAGTGTGTATGCCTATATACACAAAGTCTATCTGCACAACAAAACTGAGATTTTGATTTAATCCCTATTGACTTCCCTTCTCTCTCCTATCTCAAACTTAATTTATGAGCTTGATTTTTTAAAAAAATGTGGCCTTGCTAGATTCTTTCCTCTAAAAGTGGTCGCACTATGTAAAAACTGTGCTTTGCCCCATGTGGGTTTTCCTTGTGCTACTGCTACAATGTGTCTGCTGCTTGTGAACCAGGAGTGAAAGGTGGAATTTTAACAACAGCACTGATTCTAATGTGCAAGCTTTTGCTTAAATTGATGTATAGTAAGAAGGGTTTTCTACATGCAAGGTCTTCATAGAATTCACTACAATCTGTACGTAGCTATCTAAGCATGTGATGAATTTATTTGAAAGGCTATCCATCCCTTTATTTGAAAGGCTATACCAAGAAGGTATAAAATGGTAAATAAAGCTGCATGACCAACTATCCCTCTGGATGTAATGGGTAATTTTTTCCCCTCTTGGAGTGTACTCAACTGACCATCTTTCAAAGTCTGTGGCCTGTCATACTTATTTTGAGAAACTGAATCTTGATTTTACAATTTCAACTAGAAATTATCCTTAGTGGCTGGGATTTCAAAGAAATAAATTGTAAATAGAAAAAGCCATAGATAACACAGTTTCAAAGTTGATAAATATGATTTTAGAAAAAAAGCTAGCCTGTCTTTAGGAAAATTCAAATTAGAGGTTAATTTTGGTTCTCTGAAATCAAAGTTTTTATTTTGAAGTGTGTATTCTCATGCCAAATCAGTTCGTCTTCTGTGAATTTATATTCTTTCCACTGGGCATGTGACACTTGCTCTGTCTTCATTGACCTTCCTATTCTACCTCCACCACTTGTTTTACCTCACCTGGCTCAGCTATTTCACCACCTTCTGGGTGTTGTGTCCATCTTATTTAAACAGATGTGTCTACAAGCTAGCAAATTGATCAGAGAGGTGAAACTGCCATATCCTCCTGTGGATTCAAAGAATGACCTTTAAGGTAAGTGACTTCAAGCTTCATGATGAAAGGAAATGCATTTGGAAATATTCACTTCAGCTTTGCTAGCCTCTTCTGCCATTTTTTGTACATTGCTTCCATTTTAAATAAATGAATGGGAAAAAATATTTATTAAGCACTTACTATGTGCCAAGCACCACATGGCATACAAATACAAAAGCAAAGACAGTTCTGGCCTTCAAGAAGGGGGTTTTCATATTACATTCTGATGGGAAGGGGCAGCACATAAAGGGGAATGGTGGCCAGGGAGGTACATTTTAGTTTGGAAAGTCATAGAGATAGTGAATGGAGCTATATTGGGGTGAATTGACATACCCTTCCCAGAAATCATGGTAATTGCTTTGATTATAGTTCCAGAACTGAAAGAATGAATTTGAGGATGGAGTTGGTTCGGCTAAAGCCTGATTCTAGAAACTAAAACAACCACCAATCAAGTCAGCAGGAGCCCTAGGACAGAGTTTGAGGATGTTCCTTTCTAATCCTTTCTTAGCGTTTCTGTATGGCATAATAAACTCTCACTATAGTCTAATGTTCTCATTACAATGAAAAGCAGCTCTTTTGTTAAGTAATTTTCAGTTTTTCATTTGTCAACTCTAATAAAACTAGTCTCCAAGTGATATTAGACTATAAAATTAAATTTAAAAGTGTCAGTGGTGTTCTCAAAGATAAATCTGGGTAAGAAAAAAAATCAGTATGACTGTAGCTAATAAGCCAAGTATTGTGCTTAAATTGGTTTGTTGATAAAGTAGAAATCATTAAGAGTGACAAATATTTTTCAGATCTCAAAAGCTTACTGCCCTTTCCATCTGTGTATAAGGTTGTTGTGCTGTGTTTTTTTTTTATCCTTGACTTTGGTTTGTTTTTTAATTCAGTATTTTTTTTAAAAATTCAGTACCTGTAGTCTCCCCAGCATATACATTGTTTAACTGGGCAGATATTCACAACAATTTACATAATATCAGAACACAGTATACTCATTTTGCTTTTTAAAGTATTAGGGCTATTAGGGCATATTTATTTCTGCACCCTCTAACTCAAGTAATAATAAAATAGGCTCGTAGAGATAATATGAAATTAAACCAAAAAGATATGCAGAAAACTTGTGGATATGAACAGTTTATCTTAATCTCCATTATCTACACAGTGCAAAGGAAGGAGCATTGTACATAATCCAAAAATCATTTCTGCTGTGCATTCGTCGTTGGAATGTTGTCAGATGCGTTTAATCACATGTCATACTCAGCTCCTCTGTTTCATCTTTATCCTCAGTTTCACTCTATCTAGCAAGATGATGGGACAGTTTATAGACAGTCCACAGAGGATACCATGTAAAGTTCATTATTTACACCGTTCATTAATAGCATGGTACAGTAGAGCAATGGATAGGATGTGAAAGATCTGGGTTTAATCCCACTTCTGACACTACCTGTATGACCCTGGACCAGTCACTTAACCTCTCTGAACCTCAGTTTCCTCATCTGTAAAACGAAGGGAGTTGGATTAGATAGCCTTTAAAGTATTTTTCAGCTTTAACTATGCGACCCTTTAAATTTGGAATCCTAAATCCTACCAAAAGTATTGTAGCCTTATTACTTTTACTGTATGGGCTTAGAAAGCTAGATTTTTGGACACTAACACAAGTAGGTGCCACCAAGTGAATGGTGGCATGCTACCATAGAGTCTAACTAAACTAAGCTACTCTTTCCCCAAGAATAGACAGTTGGATAATAGTAAGCAATATTTAGAGAAATTTTCATGTAAAGATACAGTCTGACAAGACCACAACTGTTTGCTGACTAAATTTCAGCTTTTCTCATTTTGTTTGAAGGAAAACCTTTGACTCTAACCTACTCTAACCTGTGTTAAAATCCTTTAAGGAAAGAAGATTGGGTTCAGCTGCTTGCAGCTGTACTGTCCTGCTAACTGATTTCCTACTAGCTCCAAAACTTAAGGAATTGCCTGTGTTCTGTGCTGGACAAGGCAGGGTAAACACTCCCTTTGCAAGAGGGAGGAATAGTGTTGACTCAACATGCTGAGCTTCCTCTTGGTAGTCACAGTCAGAGTGGAAAGAGATCTGTGGCCATCTTGAGCTTCTACAAGAATTACTTAAACAACATCACCTAAAAGTGGTCAGACGACCCTTACCTAAAGACCTTTTTAGGGGGAACCTAATTAGAAGCAGCCATCATGGCTCCACACAAGCTTTGTCTTCTCCAGATGATCCATCCACAGTTCCTTCAACCAGTCCAAATGAACACATACCTTCACTCCTCTCCAACTGCTACTGGCTCATTTCCTTATTTTATACCCAGGTTCTAAGATAATCTGTTTTCTCATAGGGTTAACAGAAATGCATAGCTGTCTTAATGAATTAATTCTGAGCCCCCCATCAGTTTATACTGCGGGACCCTGTTTTTTTCTATAAGATTTTGTTCACCTCTCAGTGTCAAACTTCTATCTCATGGGTTTAGATAAACATCAGTGTTACTGGCTATACAATCAGTTAACAGCATAACAAAAAGATTTAAATCTCAAAAATATGTAGACTAAGATCACAACCGAAGTCATCTCTAATAAGTACAACTGCTAATTTCTCCACAGACACTGACATCAGTTCCACCATTCAGCTTTCATGATGGCAAAGTCTCTCCACAATTCTTTTCAGGATATCTTTTCCACAGGATGAGTTTCTTCATTGTCAAAGATGATAATTGACTCAGTCTCTACTTTCTGACCTGGCATTGAAGTACTTTCACTCTGGGCCTACTATGGCTTCTGATTGGTGAACATTTATCATAACCCAGTCCAGACCCACCATGCCACTACTGCTGTCCACACATAATCTTGCCTCATTGTGAATTGTGTGTCCATCCCTTCCCCACTACCTATTTAGCTCTGGGACCAGTGGTCAAATCTACACTACCACCTTAGAAAGAACATTTCAAATAATTGCTTTATGACTGCACTCTACATTACTGACATTCTTAATCATAATACCTATTCTTTACCCCCACTCCTATTTTAATATTGTTTTCTCATGCTAAATTATAAAGTCCTTGAGGGTGAGGATTGTTTTGCTTTGTGTATTTTTTATCACCAGCATTTAACACACTACCTGGAACACAGTAAGTTCTTAATATAAACACTTTTTAATTCTTCATTCATTCATTCTTGGTGCTTAGCACAGTGCCTAGCATATAGTAGGTACTAAATAAATGTTTGTTGACTTGACAACTTGACTTTTCCTCTATGCATCACACAATCTCTCTGAGACATGAGACTTAATTCACTCCAAGTGACAGTTAAGCTGTCCCCAATATTTTATTTCTTTTCTATTAAAGATGCAGTAAAAAAAAATACCACCCAGAATCTATGCTAGAGGGGCTTTTGAGGCTAATGTTACATAAACATATACAAACGTGGGAGGTCAGTTAGCAGTTGGGGAGATCAGGAAAAGCCTCCTGGAAAAGGTAGTCCTTAGAGTTTTGAAGGAAACAGTTGATTTTAAGAGGTGAAAGGGAGGAAGGAATTGCATTTCAGTCATTTGAGTCAACTAGTGCAAAGGCCTAGAGATAGAAAATAGAGCATTATGTATAAGAAATAGCAAGAAAGACCGTTTGACTGGTCCATAGAGTGAAAAAAATAGAATGATGTGTAAGGCTAGAAAGGTAGTTTGGGGATAGATTGTAATGGGCTTCAAAAGCCAGAGGAATTTCTATTTGATCCCAGAGGAAATGGGGAGTCTTGGAGTTCATCAACTAGAGAGGGTAGTGATGCAATCAGACTTGAAAGTGGAAAACCACTTTGGTAGTTATGTAGAGATAAACATTCCCTAGTTTATCAGGGACGTGATTGAAATGCAGTTGCAAAGTATTTAACAAAAAGACAGTAGAACAGTGTTTAGTCGTTTTTTAGTCACATCTGACTCTTTGTGACTCCCTCGGTAAAGATACTGGAGTAGTTTGCCACTTCCTTCTCCAGCTCATTTTTACAGATGAGGAAACTGAGGCAAACAGGGTGAAGTGACTTGCCCAGGATCATAAGCCAATAAGTGTTTGAGGCCAGATTTGAACTCAGAAAGATGAGTTCATAATTCCTACTAGGTCCAGCACTCTGTGCCACCTAGCTGCCTCACGGTAAAGCATAGATAATGTTAATTTGTGGTTTTTTAAGTATATGGTCAGCCTAGATCCTTATCTGTGGTTTAGGGGCCCTCATTTCTGCTTGAGTTCAACACCACTGAGGTAGAGGTTATGTTGGTGTGGGGAGAGTTTAGAGGTAAGGAGACAAAATTAAAAGGCTATTGCAATAATCCAAGTGAAAACTAACGAGGGTGATGATCATGTAAGTAAAGAGAGAGGGGGTTGGATACAGGTGATATTGTGGAAGTAAGAATTATATGCGTTACTTACTACTGACTCCAGGAAAAGACAGGAGAATGTTTTTTCTTAGTTAACAGAGTTGTCTATATGTATCTCATTCAGGCTTAAGGTAAACCACATCTGAAGCACCAAATCCTCCTTCCATTTCCACTTCCAGAGCAGTGGCCCAACTGTAGCATAGGCCAGATGAAGTGTGTCCTATATCCATAGAAGCATTTGTCTAAAGCTGGAAGGGGTCTCAGAGACAATCTAGTTCAACCTTATTTTGTAGATAAGGAAAATGAAACCCTCTGAAGTAACCCCAGTCACACCAGTATTAAGTGTTAGATGTGGTTGATATCTTGTTATCCTGAGTGCTTGCATGGAAACTGAGGTCCCTTTTCCAAACCAAAGTCCCCCAAACCTGGATGGGGCATGAGCAGTAGAAGTTTGTATGAGAAAGTCCCTAACATCAACCTATGTGTAAGGCCACAGCCTTGACAATGAGCTACAAGTTATCATGGAAGAACAGTTAGACTCCTTCATACTGAGTATGAGACAACTGCAGAATCTTTCATAGTTTGGCATTTCAATAGGAGAAAAACAGGCATGGACAACATGGGAGGTAGAAGACCTTGGATACAGGAAAACTTTGGTCCAAATCCTGCTTCTGACATATACTGGGAATGTGATGTTGGGCAAATCACCTAATCTCTCAACGCCCCCAAACAATTCATTAAGACTATTATAGAGTATATAGGAGTTGCCGAAGTACATCAGGGGACACAGATGAAAATATATGTCTGTATCTAAATAAAAGTGGGGTGTATCTGTATATTATACCAATGCAGATTGGTGAGTTGTATAACTTAGGACACAAAGAGAATAAGTGACTTATCAAAGTTCATTTCACTAATATGTGTCAGAAGCATGACTTGAACCCATCTCGTCCTAACTCCAAGGTCTGCCTTCTACCTACTATGCCATGCTCTCTCTGCTTGACTTGCCTTAGGTTTCTGAGGTGGTGAGCTCTGAGGGGACTTCTCACCCTGGCCTTGAGGTAGCTGAGAAACAAGTGCACGGCAGCATCCTGTAGGCACTTTATTCATAGCACCAACGTAAGGTGGCAGTAGGCTGCAGAAGTAAAGCTGGGGAGGGTGAACAGGGTGCTGGTGTTGACTCTGTGTAGGGTAGGGACTGATGGCCCTTTGGGCCCCACTCCTGTCTTAATTCCTATTCCGTTATCCCTCTGATACTGCAGTTGGGTATAAAGAATGAACAGTCTAGTGAAATGAACTGATAATCCCAGAGCCATTTATCTGAATCTCTGGAACACAAAATGGAATGGTTGCCCGTGTGGCCTGAGATCCATCAGGACTTTGATCCCTTTTCTCTCCATCCACTTATCATAGATCTTGCCTTGGGAGTCTGATCCCACTTTACAGAGGCATTCAAATGTAGGCCAAGCATGAGTCTCTCCTCCTTTTGTGAAGATGTTAATAGCTGGCTCTCCAGAACTTGATCAGATGAGGCCTGACTCTTCTGCCAATCTGTAGAACAGTCCCCTCTGAGCCAGTAGCTGGGGTGGGGTACCAAATTCTGCCACTACTCCATTGTCCATGACTAGAATCCTAGGAGAGAAAGCAAGATAAACACATTGTTCCTGTGAAGCTAAATTAGCTCTAAGATTCACAATCTGAGGTCAGTGGGGCCTATAAGAGCTAGTTTTCTTTTATTCTTTTTTCTGTTTTAAGGTTAAAAACTCAAACTCAACTCACCAGACATTTATTAAGTGCCTAGTATCACTGAACTTCTGAGTTTGAAGATTCCCTAATGACCATCTAACCCAATTCTTTCCAGAAAAAAATGCCCGGAACTACCACAACTCAGCAAACAGGTCATCCAGACTGCTTGAAATCCTCCACGAAAGGGGAACCCACCATCTCTGGTGGCAGCCTATTGCATAGTTAGATAGCTGTTAGGAAGTTTTTCTAAACAAGCCTAAACTTGCCTTTGTCTACCTCTACCCATCATTCTGGTTCTGATTGTTGTTATTCAGTCTCATCTGACTCTTTGGGATCCTGTGAACCATAATACCCGTGGAGTTTTCTTGGCAAAGATACTGGTGTGATTTCCATTTCCTTCTCCAGTGGATTAAGGCAAACAGAAGTTAAGTGACTTGCCCAGGGTCACACAGCTAGTAAGCATCTGAAGCTGGATTTGAACTCAGGTCTTCCTGACTTCAGGCCCAGCATTCTGTCCGCTGCACCATCTACTGCCTCCTTGAGGTCAAATAGAACAAATCTAATCCCTTTTCTACATGCCAGCCTTTCAAGTATTTGAAGATGATAGCTGTCATATCTCCCCACCCCCCAGCTTGTTTCTTTTCCTGGGGCAAATATCCCCAGTCTCATCAATCAGTCAGTCCTCATAATATCATGGATTTGTGCCCTTTGACACTCTAATCACCCTTCTCTAGATGCTCTCCTGCTTATTAGCATCCTTTCTAAAATGTAATGTTCAGAAACGAACACAAAATTCCATATATGGTCAGACCAGGGCAAAATACTGTGTGACTGTTACCTCCATAGTCCTGGAAGCTATGCCTCTGTTACAGTGATCACACATTATACTGTTGACTAATATTGAACTTGCAGTCCCCTAAAACCCTCTGATCTTTTTTAAACAAACTATCAAGTTGTTTCTGCCCTCTCGTCCCCCTATTTTGTACTTGTAGTGTTGGTTTCTTTAAGGTAAAATTTTGCATTTGCACTCATTAAATTTTATTTTATTAGATTCAGCCAAATTCTCTAGCCTATCAAAACATTTTTGGATCTCAACTACTTTCAATGTACTAGCCACCCCTCCCAGCATCATATCACCTATAAATTTGATATGAATGCCATTTATACTTTATCCAAATAATTTATAAAAATGTTAAACAGCATATAAGGTCTAGCACAGCCTCCTGGGGTATTCTA